CGTCACCTTCAAGACTACATTTTCAAGTTCGGTTGTCCTCGCAAAGCACATCCAGTCTTTCATCAATTCTCTGAGAGAGAGAGAGATAGCATCTGGTCTAGGGAGTATTTTCTCACCTCCCGTGCTCTTCCGCAAGCCTCGCTTCGCTCTTTCGTTTTCGCGTGAAACATACGAGCTGGCTAGCGAGCAGCGATAAAAGCTCAGGTTGTTCGGACTGATACTGGATTAGGACGATTTTATCTCAACAACCATTTCATCTCGGCTGGTTAGCTGTGGCATGTCTGGGCAGCTCACTCTACATGGAGCCTTTTCTCAGAAACGGTGACATTTCTTCTATCTCTAGTTTGAGTACAATACGTGTCATAGGCGTTAATACAGCGAAGATTTAATTTTTAAGCTTCTAGCGCTCCCGCTTCATGCAACCCTAATGACGTTCGTTAGTTTCCAGCCCAAGGATATTAGTAAACGCACCACTGTTTTGGGAAACGAGCTCACGCAGTTGTGGCACTCACATATTCATCGCCGTTCTGCTTCCTCCTTTTCTGACCCATTCTTCATTCTTTCAAGTCGCGGGTATCAATGGATGCACCATCTCTTCGGGACAGCAACCCTTCCCTCTTCTCGCTTCTGCACTCCGTGGCTCAACCTGAACAGCCGGCGAAGGAACAGCAGCAGCTGGAGGTTTTGAAACGACGGGTTACCACCTCAGCACATCCATCTCGATGTAGTCAAGCTTCAGTCAATCACACGGGCGACTGCGCAGGTCGTGACAACAACATCAACATTATTATCAAGATTAGCAGCAACAGCACTGGCAAGAACAACAGCAACAGCAACAATACAGAACGGACACACTGCGACGCACCAGCCTGCATAATTGAAAGATCAGGGCAGCAAAGGGCTCGCAATGCTTTCCCAAATACAGTTTTTCGAGTCGACACTCCTCAATCTGAAAGCAGCAGCGCAGCTCACCCGAGCAATGATTCACCAGCCCTCCCAGTCGAGAACGGTCCCAGGATTTTCCCTGGTGCCAGGAGCAATGGCTCCGATGCCAGAGTCTTGCCGCGTTTACGGAATTTGCTTAGTCACAGAAATTCACCCTGTGACACGAACTCTTTTAGCGACAGGACTTTGCTAAGAGACGGGAATTTTTCTAGAGACAGGAGTTCTGGGGCGAGGAACCATAGAAGCGTGCGTCCTTCCCAGCTTTCATCTCGGGTGCTTGTTCTCAGTGAAAATGAAGGAGCTTTGGGAGTAGGAAGGGAAGGGATGGGAGGGATTAATGGTGCAGGCTCGCAGCAGCAGGGCAGGTCGACGAAGAGGCAGAGAGCGTTGAGTAGCAGTGACGGAGTGTCCTCTGCTTCAATGCCGAAGCAGCAGGCTCACTTCAACCGCTGTAAGTGTTTCTCTGATGTTTTCTTTGTGTGTGTTGCGTTTGGTTTGGTTGCCAGTGCCCCTGGCAACGTCCCACATGCTGCACGGGGGATGGGTGCATACCTTCACTGCTGCTACTTGCAGAATTGAGTCGACTTGGATATGCTGCTGCTCTCACTGAAGCTACTTTTGAAATTGTTATAGCTGTATGTTTGCTTTGCCTGTACGGTTTCCCAAGCTGCTTGAGATTCCACTTATTTCATCTGAATGTCTGAAGGATGATTCAGTCTGAAATTTCCCTGTATTTGTGGGTGTAGATCTGAAGGGTGGTGGTTTAATCTGACCTCATGCTTTCCCCTTGCTCCTCCTTATGCATGTGTCTCGCAGATGTGATTGTAGATGTGGATGATGATGGTTTTATGTCCCACTCTCCCATGTATCCGAACTGTCGCATGCGTTCTGGCTTGCTGCTACTTACGTACATGTATGGCAGATGCGGATGGCATGGGATGGTGGGGAGATTCAGCCGTGGGTGTAGACGTGGAGGAGGTGGGCATGAGTGGAACCACATGGGAGGGGCATGTCTTCTTGTATCATGACCCTGAAGTTTTTTGAGATGACTACCGTACCAGTTTTAAAGACTCAGCAAAGAATGGGAGATGCAGGCAGCACGAAATGGGGGTGGGTTTATATGTGAAAGTGGAGTGGGTTTGTATGGAAATACTTGGGAGGTCATGTTGCGTTTCATGCTTCTGATGGCAGTTAACCTACGTGTGATGAGTCCTGGTAAAACCATTTCCATGGTACGATTTTTCGTACCGGTATGAGCCCGTCTTCTATTCTCCTGATGGCTTATTTGCACATGCGTTTGGACAATTCTTTGCAGTATCTGATATACAAACATCTACAACATAACAGTTCACTTTTAGGATGATCCTCCCCGCATCAAATACGATAAGCATGTTGTACCATGAACATTAGTCAAATTCATTTACCATAAGTTCAGCTCTAAGTTTCGTTTGGATTCCATACCGTAGATTCTATCACGAAGCATGTTGTAGCAGCGTGCAACTCAGGAGGCGCTGGTTCTGACACTAAAAGCAGAAGGCTCCACTGGCAGCCTAGGCGTCAAGCCCATCGTTTTTTTTCATGCGTAGCAGTAGCATTCCCGAACAAAATCGTTACAATACCAGCTCGACGACATGGGCTCAATTTTCTTTCGCGAATCGCCTCTTGGATGGCGTCGGCGTTGTCTAGTCCTCGCTCCTCTCTCACTAGTCCTTTTCTGCGTTTTACCGTTTCCGGTTAGCGCCTATTCTCACCCCTACCAGCCTATTCATGCCGTCGTGCCACGAGCTTTAAGTCCCGAAGACGTTCCGCTACCCTTCTGGGGCACGAGTGTGACTAGTATGAAAGTTTCTATGAACGCGTCGCTAGTGCGTGCGTACAACGGGGACGACAAGAACAACATTATCGTAGATATCGAGGGTCAGGGCCCCATTCCGTTCTCCCTGTCGCGGTGGAATCAGGGGGATTTCGCGCCGCGGCTCGCTCCCAGGCACCCGTACTCGCAGACGAATCTCGGCATTCCCGGGGGAAAGGATGGCTACCAGTCGGATAACCCGATGGAATTCGCACTTCAGGTAGTTTTTTTGAATGTCCCTGTTCGAAATAAACTTCTCCTTGATGCGTTAGGGTTCGTTTCTTGTTTTTAGCTGCAATTTCAATTCTTGGACTATTGGGGGAATTGACAAAACTGGCGCATGGTGTGGTATTTGGGCCTGTCCGATCCTGTTTGTCAGGCCTGGCGTCCGAGCCTGGATAAGGGTGTGGTGCTTGGTTCGGTGGCTCAAAACGGGCAGCAATGGAACGATGGCGCACCGTTTTTCTACGGTACTGTGGTGCGTGTTGTCGTTTCACCCATCCCGTCCCATCCCATCCCATCCCATCCCATCCCATCCCATCCCATCCCATCCCATCCCATCCCATCCCATCCCATCCCATCCCATCCCATCCCATCCCATCCCATCCCATCCCATCCCATCCCATCCCATCCCATCCCATCCCATCCCATCCTACTCCATGTCATCCCATCCTCCCCCCATCCATGTGGTACCCATGTCATTTCATGTCACGTCATGCCATGCCATACCATGACATTCCATACCATAGCATAGCATACCATACCATTTCACACCATACCATGCCATCCCGTGTCATCTCGTTCAACTCAAACCCACTCCCTCTCGTTTCCGACCCCCTCCCATGTGTTCCCTTGCTCAGTCATGCATATACGACTCACACGGTTACGGTTACAGGTACGAGTTTTTGGACTCACATAGTTACATTTACACATAAAACACTGTTGAACTAGCTGTTCTTCCCCAGTCAACGGGTCTGTGCAAATACTCTCTTCCTTCGTTTCATTGTTCCATTGTCTTTGCTAATTCCCTGCACAGCAATAATGAGCCTGAGAAACATATAATTGGACGCTTATCCCGTCCCTCCCCTCCCCCCCTTTCCCCTCCTCCCCCCATTCCCCCCTTCTCTCCTTGTTTTGTCACACACAGCATGACCACAGGGGAGTTTGGCAATGACAATCCTAACATCGACAGTACGTGTCCTCCTCATCGCTCCCTGCATCCATGCATGCACGCATGCTTCCTCTGTCCTCCCTACAGTCCAACCTCTTGCTGAGCGTGTGTGCTCTCTGCACGTGCTCTCTTGGTCTCTTTTGATTCGGAAATTTTGGCGTTTCAGGGAAAAAAACAAAAACGTTGCTGCTTTGCGACTTTTCGGTCACTATCGGGTAAAGTATTAGACGTCTAAAAAACCAACCTGTTGCTGCTATGTGCGTCTTTCTTTCTGCACGTGCACCTGTCTCACTGTATCAGTTGCTATTGGGAAGGCAGGCGAGCAGGACGAGGGTGTGATTGATGTCTCCATTGCATGGTTTCCTTACCACCAAGGTACGTAGTGTGTTGTGGGAAGGGGGAAAGGGGAAGGGGTGATTTTCGATGCATAGTCGACACCTTCATTGCTATTGGGATGGGGAGGCAGGAGCGCAGGACGGGGGCAACATTGGCGTCTCCATCGCATGCTTCCGTTACCATCAAGGTACAGTGTGGTTGCGGGAAAAGGAAGGGGGGGGGAAGTAAATACCAAAACATGTGTGTGTGTGGTGGTGCTATGGTAGCCAACCACCACTGGATAGTGTACTAGTATACAGTTCAGTTGCCATTGGGACGAGAGCGCAGGACAGGACGAGAGCAACATTGGCGTAACCATCGCATGCATCCCTCTGATCTCTCCCGCATCATGCGCTGGGACGGCCGGGGAGGGGAGCCAACCTCCCAACCGAACCCAACAACTTTATACCCCACCCCATTACCGTTGCACCTTGCAGGCTGGACCGCTGGGTAGGTGGATGCTCCCTCTCAGTTGGAGAAGGGAGCAGAGACAACGTGGGCCACCGACGTGTACCACTCGCCCAACCTCCCCTCTTACCTCTCCTGCTCCTTACACTGTGTGCACTGCGCATCCCCCCTTGTTCCTTGAAACCCCCCCCCAAAAATCCCCTCAAAAATCCCCTCGAGCTGGTTTTTGAGAATTCTCAGAAACCCGCCATGTGCACTGCGCATCCCCCCTCGTTCCTCTCCCTCCCAGGCTGGACCGCTGGGTACGTGGACGCTCCTCCGCAGCTGGAAAAGGGAGCGGAGTCCAAGTGGGCCGCCAACGCATTCTATTCGCCAACCTCCCCGCTGATCTCTCCCGCATATGCCATGCGCCATGTGTTGTGCGCGTGCTCCCTCTCCTCCTTCCCCTCCCAGGCTGGACCGCTGGGTACGTAGATGCACCCTCTCAGCTGGAGAAGGGAGCAGAGGCCAAATGGGCTACAAACGCGTCCCACTCCCCCAACCTTCCACTCTTACATCTCCCGCTCCTTACACTGTGTGCAATGCGCATCTTCCTTGTTCCTTTCCCTACCAGGCTGGACCGCTGGGTACGTGGATGCCCCTTCTCAGCTGGAGAAGGGAGCAGAGGCCAAGTGGGCTACAAACGCGTCCCACTCCCCCAACCTCCCCGCCGATCTCTCCCGCATCATGCGCTGGGACGGCCGGGGAGCCAGTCTGGAGCTGCCAGGTGTCAACCCGTCACAGGACGGCATGCTCTTCCTCACCTCGTGAGTGGCCGTTCGTGACCATAAGTCGACTTTTGAGTGACTCTTGTTTTGAGTTGGCTCAAGAGTCAGGACGGCCGGGGAGCCAGTCTGGAGCTGCCAGGTGTCAACCCGTCACTGGAAGGCATGCTCTTCCTCACCACATGAGTGGGGTTTTTTTTCTTTTCTTTTTTTTTTTTTTTTAAACCATGTTTTCTCCATTTATGCTAGTCTGCTAGCCTTGGTCTGCTGAATTTTCTTTTTGTCTGCATCTATTGTGAGCAGGACGGACCCGGGTCGATGGAGCAACGAGCTGAACATCATGAGCACATATGTGAAAAGAAAGTGAGTGTCTGAGCTGTGCACATATGAAGTGTTTGACTGTGTCTATCTTACAACATACATGCGTTTAGTGACTGAGCTGGTATAGAGAGAGTGAGTGAGTGGCCTGTTACTCCTTGCTTGTCCGCTTACCCACACCCTGCCTCCTCCTATCATCCACCAGTGGCCGTGGCTGGCGCATTCAGGCACGGGAGGACGCTGTTTGGCGATGTGACAGAGCTGGTGGAGAGTCGGAGTGACCTGTAATGATTGCTTCCCCCCCACCCTCCCCATTTACTCACCAGTGGCCGCGGGTGGCGCATTCAAGCACGGGAGGATGCGTTCGGGGATGTCACAGAGCTGGGGGAGAGTCAGGAGCACATGTCAATGCTTGCTTGCTTACTTGTCCTCTTCCCCGCATCACCCACCAGTGGTCGCAGGTGGCGCATTCAAGCACGGGAGGACGCGTTTGGAGATGTGACAGAGCTGGTGGAGAGTCAGGAGCACATGTTCGCATTCCTCTACATCCCCTTCTCTGCCACTGGGTAAGCAGGCTTGTTGCACGGCTGCTTTTCTCCTCGTTTACTGTAGGAGCATATGCTGCTGCTGCTGCTGTGCCAGCTGGTGGAAACGAGAGTCAGGAGCACATGTTTGCGTTCCTCTACATCCCCTTCTCTACCACTGCCACATGTTAACGTTACCCCTATCTTAGACTTTTGAGTCGACTCAAAAGTCACCTTGTTTGCGTTCCTCTACATCCCCTTCTCTACCACTGCCACATGTTAACATTACCCCTATCTTAGACTTTTGAGTCGACTCAAAAGTCACCCTGTTTGCGTTCCTCTACATCCCCTTCTCTACCACTGCCACATGTTAACGTTACCCCTATCTTGCACCCCCTCTAGTTTTCTATCTGCCTTTCTTTCTCAACCCGCATGCACCACTGGTATGAAAGAAAGCCATGTTGGTTTTTGAGAATTCTCAAAAACCAACCTGCATGCACCACTGGTATGAAAGAAAGCCATGTTGGTTTTTGAGAATTCTCAAAAACCAACCTGCATGCACCACTGGTATGAAAGAAAGCCATGTTGGTTTTTGAGAATTCTCAAAAACCAACCTGCATGCACCACTGGTATGAAAGAAAGCCATGTTGGTTTTTGAGAATTCTTAAAAACCAACCTGCATGCACCACTGGTATGAAAGAAAGCCATGTGCGCCAAGGTGAAAGATGGTATTATCACCTTAAAAGTGGTGTCACAGAATTTACAGTCAAGAACAATCTATTCAGTTCAAAGCTTAGTGAGGTGTAGAAGGGTGTAGCTTGTAGTATTCAGTTTCAGGGAGGGGTGGTTGGGTTCTTGAGAGTGACGCTAAGTTGGTAGTACATTGAGGTCGTTTTCGAGGCGCCTAAAAAACGACCTTTTTGAGAGTGACGCGAAGTTGGTAGTACAGGGACCTGCTGGGTACAAAGGTGTGGGATTCAGGAAGCCTAGAGAGACAGGAAATCTGAATTGGCCAATCCAAGGCCCAGGCGACTCGAGCCCAATTCACTCCCCGAGAAATTGGCAACACGGGTGAGGGTGAATAAAGTAGCCTAGCGTAGCAACCGCAACCTTCTTCTCTCGTTTTACTACCTACTATAGTGGATGCAAGTTGCCGATCTAAAGCTATTACGGCCAGGTGAAGAGGCCACTCAAGGTAGCCACCAGGTGGGAGCAAGGAAGGAAGGCTGAGGGCCACTACTTGAAACTCTCAAGTAGTGGCTGAGGCAGAGAAAGGAAGGGAAGACAGGAAAGGAGCACTGGAGAGGGGACGGTAAGGACAGGGAGGAGAGGGGACGGTAAGGTCAGGGAGGAGAGGGGACGGTAAGGACAGGGAGGAGAGGGGACGGTAAGGACAGGAAGGAGAGGGCGAGCCATGGGAAGCCACAGGAAAGGGGTTTTCCGACAGTGGAGAGTCAAGAGCACATGTGCGCATTCCTCTACGTACCCTTCTCTGCCATTGGGTGAGCAAGTGTGCTGCCTAGTACCCATAAATCAAGCGCTGCTGCTCTCTCTTCTTTCCTGTCATGCCCCCCCCCTCTAGCTTTCTATCAACCTGTCTTTCACTTCCTTTCCCCCCCTCCCCCTTCACTTTTCTGTCTTTCGTTCCCTCTTTCCCCATCCCCTACCCCCCAGGGCTTTTAGGAGCCTCGATAGCAGTGGATGGGTCAGTGTTGCATGAATGGATCAAGGCAGGGGAGGGTAGCATGAGTTTTACACGTAGTCTCTTTTGCTCTCTCCTTTCCCCCACCAGGCTTATAGCAGCCACAATAGCAGCGGATGGATCTGTGGTGCGTTGAGCAGGTGTTTTCTCGCGCAGGAGGCTGGGCCTTGGGATGTACGAGATCAGCATTCCTGATCCTCCTCTCTTCCCACCTGCCTGTCTCGTTCCTGTCTCGCCTGGCCTTCAGACGTGCCACGATAGCTGCAAATGGGCCAGTGGTGCGGGGAGCAGGGGTGTTCACGTGCAGGAGGTTGGTCCCTGGGATGTACGAGTTTAGCATTTCTGGTGCTTCTCTCTTCCCACCCTCCCCTCCTCCTTCCCCACCCTCCCCCCCAGCCTGATAGGAGCCACGATAGCAGCGGATGGGTCGGTGGTGAGGGGAGCAGGGGTCTTCTCGTGCAGGAGGCTGGGCCCTGGGATGTACGAGATCAGCATTCCTAATCCTCCTTGCCTCCCTCCCTCCCCTCCTTCTCCCCCACCCCTTGCCTCGTTCCCGTCTCCCCTCGCCCCCAGCGTGATAGGAGCAACCATAGCAGCGGATGGGTCAGTGGTGCGTGGAGCGGGGGTGTGTTCGTGCAGGAGGTTGGTTGGGCCTTGGGATGTACGAGATCAGCATTTCTGGTATGGTCCTCCTTGCTTCCCTCCTTCCCCTCCTTCTCCCCCGCCCTCTTGTCTCCTTTCCGGCTCCCCTCCCCCCCAGCCTGATAGGAGCCACGATAGCAGCAGATGGTTCGGTGGTGCGTGGGGCAGGGGTGTTCTCGTGCAGGAGGCTGGGCCTTGGGATGTACGAGATCAGCATTAATAACGGGTTTAGAGGCACAAGTGAGTGGGAGGGGATAAAGGGTGGTTGAATGCGGTGAAAAGGAATGAAAGGAAAGGGGGGTAGGGTGTTCTTGTGCAGGAGGGTGGGCCTTGGGATTTAGGAGGCATTCTGTCGCGTGTAGGCGAGCAGGCACCCTGTGTATCACGCCTCCCTCTTGCTCTACTTCATCTCCTCAATCCCCTCCTTCCCTCTCCTTTTTGTTCATCATAGGGATGGCATTTTACTGCTCCAAGTGATGGGGCGGGATGACAGCAACAGGCGCTATGCCCGACACGCCTTCCTCTCCTACAACTTCACGGCACAGGGGTCGCTGCTGGTGGAGGGGCATCGGCTCGTGAAAGAACCCACGCAGATGTTCAAGGAAACGTTTCCCTACACCGATACAGGTGTGCTCTTTGTTCGGAAATGGTGTGTGCCGAGGCCAAAGGGAATGAGAACAGCTTCACGGCACAGGGGTCGTTGCTCGTGGAGGGGCATCGGCTCGTGAAGGAACCGGCTCAAATGTTCAAGGAAACATTTCCATACACCGATACAGGTATTATGAGCGTAGTTTTTCTCTAATAAAGAGTGTGGAGATGCATAGTAACGGGGATGGAGGAAGTAACACAGGGGTTCCTTGCTGGTGGAGGGGCATTGGCTCGTGAAAGAACCGGCTCAGATGTTCAAGGAGACGTTTCCATACACCGATACGGGTACTGTAGTGTTGTTTCCATAGGAGAGTTTTGTTGAGGTGCCCTGCCTTATAACGGGGATGGAGAAAGCAGCACAGAATGGCTTTCTGGTGGAGGGGCGCAGGGTCGTGAAAGAACCTGCTCAAATGCTCAAGGAGACATTTCCATACAGCGATACAGGTATTATGCTTCTAGCTTTGCTTAGATCAAAACGGTTTGGAGATGCATTGTCTGGGGATGGAGGAAGCAGCACAGGGGTTGCTGCTGGTGGAAGGCCATGAGCTCGTGAAGGAACCAGTTCATATGTTCAAGGAGACGTTTCTGTACACCGATTCAGGTATTGTACCTCATTTTTGGTTGTTGTACAAGCAGTGTGGGGATACAGACAGGTAAGCTTGTAACGAGATCAATGCCTCAGGGTTTCGTTCGTGGGGGTGTGTGGGTGCGGGAGAGGAGGACCTAGTGCTAGTGCTACTTGATAGGCTGGGTAAGGACCTAGTGCTAGTGCTACTTGATAGGCCGGGTAAGGACCTAGTGCTAGTGCTACTTGATAGGCTGGGTAAGGACCTAGTGCTAGTGCTACTTGATAGGCTGGGTAAGGACCTAGTGCTAGTGCTACTTGATAGGCTGGGTAAGGACCTAGTGCTAGTGCTACTTGATAGGCTGGGTAAGGACCTAGTGCTAGTGCTACTTGATAGGCTGGGTAAGGACCTAGTGCTAGTGCTACTTGATAGGCTGGGTAAGGACCTAGTGCTAGTGCTACTTGATAGGCTGGGTAAGGACCTAGTGCTAGTGCTACTTGATAGGCTGGGTAAGGACCTAGTGCTAGTGCTACTTGATAGGCTGGGTAAGGACCTAGTGCTAGTGCTACTTGGATGGAGTCAATATTTTAGGAGCCCAATGATACGGCAAGGGAAGGGCACCTTCTTTCAGAAGTATGGGGCATCCTTTTATTAGGATGATCTTAGAACGGGGACGATACAGGCAGGGTAGGCTGGTAAAGGAACCTTCTTTCCAGACGGTGTTACATATTCAGTTCGCATTGAGAAGCCTACAGCACATAAGCACACTGATCACCTTTTTGCTCAAGTCACCCTCTCTTCTCATCTGCTGTTTTCCATGTGTGTCATTCCATGCCATGCCATGCCATGCCATGCCATGCCATACCACGCCTTACCATTTCACACCACGCCACACCATCCCCTCACTCAGACTTTGCCTTCGTGTGGGTTGACTTCCGCAACCCTCTCAGCCCCACGCTCCGCTCCTATACCGGTCAGTACCACTCAGTACCACTCGATAATGATCAGTACCACTCAGTACCACTCGATAATGATCAGTACCACTCAGTGCTGGTCAGTAGCAGTCAGCACCGGTCAATATTGGTCAGTCCAGTCATACCTGTCAGGATCAGGCAGTATCAGTCAGAACCGGTCAGCAGCGGTCAGTACCGGTCAGTACCACTCACTACAACTCACTATCACTCAGTACCAGTCAGTACCACACACTTCCTACCCCATCTTTGTATCCCCTTCCCCTACTATCCTCGTCTCCCTCTCCCATTCCCCCACCTTCAACCTCCTAAACCTATGCTTCATGAAATATTTATTATTCATCATTGCTACTCTAACTTTTCATCATTTCCATTGTATTGCTTATAACTGCTGGTATACTTTTAGTTGCGAATACTAGAAACGTAACTGTTTGTTGTGACTCTGACAAACTAAATAATGCCTATCAGTGTCTTCTCACTCTTACTCGCAGGTCCTCTCCCACCTCGACTATCTGGTTACCGCTTCTGGAGCGGGATCGTAACGGGAATAATTGTCATGGCGATTGCGACTGTAGCTGCTCTGTTCTTCCTCTCCCGCCACTCCATCTCTCTGGTAAGCGGACCAAGCACCTCTGGTAAGCAGATTAAGCACCTCCGGTAACCAGAAGGATCATCTCAGCAGGTAAATTACCAAGGGGAATAGTCGTCATGGCGATAGCGTCTGCATCTGCTGTCTTTTTCCTCTCCCACCACTCCATCTCTCTGGTAAGCAGACTAGCTCCCCAGCACGTGATTCCACGTAATGGGAGGTAGGTCACAAAGGGATCTTGCAAGGTACTGCATCATCTCTCTTTCTTGCAAGCTACTTCCCACGCAGGTGCCTAGCCTCCCTTCTGCTCCTCTAGAATCACTCCCAACCCTAACATTCCATCGTTCTTCATCGACCGGCCCTACCATCCCATAGCTGCCCCCCCTCCTCTCTCCCCTTTCGTCACTCTATCCCTTTCGTTTTGCAGTCTCCCAAACCTCTCTATCCTCTCCTCTGCCTGTCCCCACTATTCCACAGGTGCCCTCTGTTTTCGTTCCTCTGACGTCACTACAACCCACCGATTCGGTATCGGCAGAAACAGAGCTTGCAGAAGAGCTGCTTAGAGGAGTGTACATAAATGCTGAAGACTGAATATGTACGTATTGGTGATTGTCCCAATGCATCATTTAAGTCCCGCTTAGAGTGTCGGGCTGCGTGTACAGCGTAATCATTCCAGGTATGCTTCATCAGTCTTCATAGCTTATGTGGTGATTTATAGAAAAGGTATGCCTTGATGTCATGGGGAGCATTAGTCTTCACATTGTGGTGTTGGGCATGATGAACCTAGTGCCATTGTTTTTGGGCAGTCGAAACAATAGGTTATAATAATGAAAAACGTTATGCACAGCACACATACAAACTGCGTCCCTGTCACTAAAAATATTGACAAGAAGGCTTGTGTATTTGTGATTAATGGTTTCCTCCAAAAGTGGCTTTACAAATCGTGCAAGGCGTGGCATTACGAGAAAATTACGCCAAAGAACACGTTCACAATCGAGTTTCCTGACGTTGGAAACGCATCGACTTGTTAACGAACCTCTCTGATGCTGTTGACAGTTGGAGTCATGTTGTACGTCAGGCCAGGTGCGACAAATTAGCAGTCAGAACATGCTGACTGAGGAGCAAACTTCACCTGGCAGGCAGCTTATTGGGCTGCAGGGGAAAATTGTCTATCTGGAAGAAACTTTTATTGCGGGCTGAAACGTCACCACCACACAATCCTGATTGTTTTAAAGCTTGAGCAGAGATGTCCGCCCTCTTTCCGCTTCCTCTCTCTTACTACCTTGTATTGCGCTAGTTGGGTTTAAGCGTCTTTTAAAAACCGACACTTTTGAACCTTGATGGACACAGAGTGTAATATAGGGAGCCCGATGATCCCGTGGTGCAACCTAAATATAACTCAATATTTCTGTCTCTTCTCGCCACCTACTATAATTTCCGCTGCTCTGCGCCATCAGCTTCCGCAAACCTCGCAGCAACGCGTTCACTTTCCCCCGGCTCGCCTTCCCCCTCTCCCCTTCCTTTCCCCTTGACCATTCACCACCTTGCCCCAAAACTCAACCTCACGCCTTCGCCCTCACCCTCCCCATGCCCCCCACCAAACCCGCCAACACTCATTCCCCCCGCACAACACCCCAAGGAGAGCGCGCACACACGCCCCAGCAACTGGTCCCGCCACCCTGCTCACCCCCTCCCTGCACAGCACCGATACTGTAGCTGTACGTACTGTACACCCCCACGCCTCTGCTCCCTTTACCATCCCCCTCTCGCTCACCTCCCCTCCCCTTCCCCCTTGTCAGCGAGCCATACCCTGCTGCCGACTTCCACAACACAACCACAGCCATTCCTTCTCCTCCCGTCTGTTAGCTGGTGGGGCGAGTTGTGGTCCTCTCTCCGTTCCCTTCTCAACATCCTCTGTTCAAATTCACATCTCCGAATAATAATATCGCCTCGTCAACTCTCTCAAATCCTTCGCAAATAGTTCAATCAAACTACGATTATTCTGGTCGTGCTTAAGTAGGAAGGTCCTCGTAGCTCGGTTAGTTTCAAAATGGCTCGGTTCGTCGCCGTCGTAGCTCTTACTCTCATGCTGTGTCTCACCGTCGCTTCCGCGCGTCCCGACGGAGCGGCGGACCTCGCAGCAGCCAAGGAGGCCCTCAGGAAGCAGGGCTCCTTCAAAACTTTCCTCAAGCTACTCAAAGACTCCGGTGCGTGTTCTTCCTGAGAGTTATCAAAAGCAGGGCTCCTCGAGACTTTCCACAAGCTGCTCAAAGTTTCACGCGCGTGTTCCCTTCCCCTCCCCCCCAGCAACGTCAGCATTCCCTCCCTTCTCTTCCGCACCACCCTTCTCCCCCGCGCAACGCCTGTCCGCAACCAACCCCCCGCACCGTCATTCTAACCCTAAGACTATTGGCATTTGGCTAGTTTACAAGTTCGTGCCATATGGCGCATTTCCCCCCTTTAATCTAACCTTACCGATTTATGTAGTTTTCTTTCCTCCCCGGTCACCGTTAGCTTTCCGCGGTTTCGAATCATTAGTTCCTCCTGGTGCGGTCATTTTTCTCCGTGTTACTATCCAATCATTTTCCCTATCTTTCCTTATTCCCCACCCCCCCCCCCTCCCCCCCCCCCCCCCCCCCCCCCCCCCCCGCCTCCCCCTCCCCACCCCTCTTTTCTCAACAGGCTTCGAGTCTATCCTCGCGCGTTACGTGCAGACCCAGCCCGTGACGCTCCTCGTCCCCACCGATCGCGCGTTCGCGACGCTACCGCTGCGCGTCAAATCGCAGCTCTCCGGGTCGAAGCTCATCAAGCTTCTCGAATACCACATGATCCTGCAGAAGCTTCCCGTCGGCTTCCTCCGCCGCGCGCAGCCCGGGGCGCGCTTCCGCACGGTCTACGGCGTGCAACTCGTGAAGCAAAAGTCGGCTCTTAAGAACACCGTGATTTTCTCGCCGCCTGGCGCGAACGACGCGACGCAGATGGCGGTGGTTACCTGGGGAGACATCGCGGCCGCGAAGCTGATTCTGCTCTGCGTTCACGGCACTAACGGCGTGCTGCTGCCTCCTAACGTCTTCTTCTAAGCCTCGTTCACGCCCGCGGGGTGGTTAGGTTCGCTCAGGACGCGACCCGGCCTCTTTCCCCCCCCCCCCCCCCCCCCCCCCCCCCCGCCCTCCCCCCTCCGCCCCTCGTCTTCTCCCGCTTGTTGTTTATCTCGGGGTTTCCTTTCTCCCTTCGTAGCGTTTTGCGGAATCTGTTGTTTATTTCCTCGATGTTTCTCACTGAACGTGACTCTGGCGCCGCCATACCCTTTCATTACCGTATTGTATACCGGTACTGATTTGGTGCCTCTTTTCCCAGTACCACTGGATTTTTGAACTTGCAACACTTATGTAAACAAACGTATAATTTTCTAGAGCACTCATGCTGCGTAGACAACCTCTCTCACAAAGCTGCCCAATCAGATATTTGGCTGGCAGACAGCGGCTCTCCGGCGAGTTTGTACAACCGCTGGTGATGAAACCTGGTGCCTGAGCTTATCAATTAACAAAACTAAAATGGTACAGTATAAGCTTGCAGCATCTGCTGCCAGGCTGGAAGCAGCAGATGCCTCCGCGGTGCTGTGCGGTGCTGTGACATACGGAGTCAGTGGGCGGCTCTTATTGTTACGTTGCTGGCACCCCCCCAACAAGTCCATCTGACGCGAGGCTGGGTGGCAGTGGCTTGCCGCTGCGGTGCTGTAACCGCTGGTGTAGCGTGTCGAGTAACTGGGCGGCAAACTCAGCATCGACGCAGCCAATCAGAGTAGGGTCCTCTGCTGCTGTCACGTAGGTCGCTGTGACTGCCCCTTCCACCACTGATAGCACCACACCGGCCTGTAGCAATGCATTGGGTACACATGGTAGACGGAGGGAGGGAATGGATCGGAGTGGGATCCTATGCTGCTGTGACGCAGATTCCTGTGACTGCTCCTTCCACCACTGATAGCACCACACCCGCCTGAGGGAATGAAAAAGCGGAGAGAAAAACATGAAGAAAAAACACCAAGTGGGGTCCTCTGCTGCTGTGACGCAGGTGGCTGTGACTGCCCCTTCCACCACCGATAGCACCACACCCGCCTGTAGCAGTGAGAATGAGCAGACGCAAGGGAGAAGGTGAGGGAAATGATGAGGAACTGACAGTAGCCAGAGGGAAAGGAGAGACTGGATCAGTGTGAAATCCACACAGCCAATCAGCGCTGGGCCCTCCACTGCTGTGACGTAGTGGAAACAGAGAGAAGAGAGACGAGACGGACAATGGTTGGGAAAAGCGGAGAGAGCAGAGTGGGAGCCTTGCAGACCCACCAAACCCATACCATACTCACCTTGCCCACACTTACCAAACCCAGGCACAGACACACAGACACCCACACGCACAGTTACTCACCATTGCTGCTCCTGTCACTATCCCCATCGCCCCAACAAACACCACCAGCTCCTGAGCCACGAACCACCCCCACACGTCCGCTGGCATCTTGGCCACCATTTCCACCGCATTCAATCCCACTCAACTACCTCCTCCAACCAAACCAGCACTTACTAATGCCACAACCACTCACCATTGCTGCTCCTGTCACGATACCCATCGCCCCAACAACCACCACCAGCTCCTGAGCCACGAACCACCCCCCACGAACCATCCAGACACACAGACATTCATCAAGACACAGATAGATTCACACAGAGACACATAGAAGCACTCACCATTGCTGCTCCTGTAACAATCCCCATCGCTCCAACAACCACCACCAGCTCTTGAGCCACGAACCACCCCCACACGCCCGCGGCTGTCCCGGCCACCATCGCTGCGAGCATCACGGCCATCAGCAGCACGGCGCCTGAGAGGTCGTATGCTATCACTGCTTCAACGCCTGTGGATTGGAACAACTCCCATGCCTCGACAGACGAGCGATTGAAACTGTTGCCATATGTTGCCAGCTGCAGGATGAGGGTACGGGCAGTAGGGGGTGGGAGGGAGCAGGGTGAGCAGAGCAGCATCACATGAATGCCATCAGCAGCACAGCGCCTGAGAGGTCGTGTGCTAACACTGCCTCCACTCCTGCGGATTGGCACAGATGAGCACTCCATCCAGTCTCGTCTCGTGCCTCCACGAATGAGTGATTGAAGCTGTTGTGGTACATTGCTAGCTGGGTGGGGGAGGAGGGGGTAAGACTGGCAGTGGCAACAGCGGCAGCAGCGGCAGCAGTGGCAGCAGCGGCAGCAGTGGCAGCAGTGGCAGCAGCGGCAGCAGTGGCAGCAGCGGCAGCAGTGGCAGCAGTGGCAACAGCGGCAGCAGCGGCAGCAGTGGCAGCAGCGGCAGCAGTGGCAGCAGCGGCAGCAGCGGCAGCAGCGGCAGCAGTGGCAGCAGCGGCAGCAGTGGCAGCAGTGGCAGCAGCGGCAGCAGTGGCAGCAGCGGCAGCAGCGGCAGCAGTGGCAGCAGCGGCAGCAGTGGCAGCAGTGGCAGCAGCGGCAGCAGTGGCAGCAGCGGCAGCAGTGGCAGCAGCGGCAGCAGTGGCAGCAGTGGCAGCAGTGGCAGCAGCGGCAGCAGTGGCAGCAGTGGCAGCAGCGGCAGCAGTGGCAGCAGCGGCAGCAGTGGCAGCAGTGGCAGCAGCGGCAGCAGTGGCAGCAGCGGCAGCAGTGGCAGCAGTGGCAGCAGCGGCAGCAGTGGCAGCAGCGGCAGCAGCGGCAGCAGCGGCAGCAGCGGCAGCAGCGGCAGCAGTGGCAGCAGCGGCAGCAGTGGCAGCAGTGGCAGCAGTGGCAACAGCGGCAGCAGCGGCAGCAGTGGCAGCAGCGGCAGCAGTGGCAGCAGCGGCAGCAGTGGCAGCAGTGGCAGCAGCGGCAGCAGTGGCAGCAGTGGCAACAGCGGCAGCAGCGGCAGCAGTGGCAGCAGCGGCAGCAGTGGCAGCAGCGGCAGCAGTGGCAGCAGTGGCAACAGCGGCAACAGTGGCAGCAGTGGCAGCAGCGGCAGCAGTGGCAGCAGCGGCAGCAGTGGCAGCAGCGGCAGCAGTGGCAGCAGCGGCAGCAGTGGCAGCAGCGGCAGCAGTGGCAACAGCGGCAGCAGTGGCAACAGCGGCAGCAGTGGCAACAGCGGCAGCAGCGGCAGCAGTGGCAGCAGCGGCAGCAGTGGCAGCAGTGGCAGCAGCGGCAGCAGTGGCAGCAGCGGCAGCAGTGGCAGCAGTGGCAACAGCGGCAGCAGCGGCAGCAGTGGCAGCAGCGGCAGCAGTGGCAGCAGCGGCAGCAGCGGCAGCAGCGGCAGCAGTGGCAGCAGCGGCAGCAGTGGCAGCAGTGGCAGCAGCGGCAGCAGTGGCAGCAGCGGCAGCAGCGGCAGCAGTGGCAGCAGCGGCAGCAGTGGCAGCAGTGGCAGCAGCGGCAGCAGTGGCAGCAGCGGCAGCAGTGGCAGCAGCGGCAGCAGTGGCAGCAGTGGCAGCAGTGGCAGCAGCGGCAGCAGTGGCAGCAGTGGCAGCAGCGGCAGCAGTGGCAGCAGCGGCAGCAGTGGCAGCAGTGGCAGCAGCGGCAGCAGTGGCAGCAGCGGCAGCAGTGGCAGCAGTGGCAGCAGCGGCAGCAGTGGCAGCAGCGGCAGCAGCGGCAGCAGCGGCAGCAGCGGCAGCAGCGGCAGCAGTGGCAGCAGCGGCAGCAGTGGCAGCAGTGGCAGCAGTGGCAACAGCGGCAGCAGCGGCAGCAGTGGCAGCAGCGGCAGCAGTGGCAGCAGCGGCAGCAGTGGCAGCAGTGGCAGCAGCGGCAGCAGTGGCAGCAGTGGCAACAGCGGCAGCAGCGGCAGCAGTGGCAGCAGCGGCAGCAGTGGCAGCAGCGGCAGCAGTGGCAGCAGTGGCAACAGCGGCAACAGTGGCAGCAGTGGCAGCAGCGGCAGCAGTGGCAGCAGCGGCAGCAGTGGCAGCAGCGGCAGCAGTGGCAGCAGCGGCAGCAGTGGCAGCAGCGGCAGCAGTGGCAGCAGCGGCAGCAGTGGCAGCAGCGGCAGCAGTGGCAGCAGCGGCAGCAGTGGCAGCAGTGGCAGCAGTGGCAGCAGTGGCAGCAGTGGCAACAGCGGCAGCAGTGGCAACAGCGGCAGCAGTGGCAACAGCAGCAGCAGTGGCAGCAGCAGCAGTGGCAGCAGTGGCAGCAGTGGCAGCAGCGGCAGCAGTGGCAGCAGCGGCAGCAGTGGCAGCAGCGGCAGCAGTGGCAGCAGCGGCAGCAGTGGCAGCAGTGGCAGCAGTGGCAGCAGTGGCAGCAGCGGCAGCAGTGGCAGCAGCGGCAGCAGTGGCAGCAGTGGCAGCAGTGGCAGCAGTGGCAACAGCGGCAGCAGTGGCAACAGCGGCAGCAGTGGCAACAGCGGCAGCAGCGGCAGCAGTGGCAGCAGCGGCAGCAGTGGCAGCAGCGGCAGCAGCGGCAGCAGTGGCAGCAGCGGCAGCAGTGGCAGCAGTGGCAGCAGTGGCAGCAGCGGCAGCAGTGGCAGCAGTGGCAACAGCGGCAGCAGCGGCAGCAGTGGCAGCAGCGGCAGCAGTTGCAACAGCGGCAGCAGTGGCAGCAGCGGCAGCAGTGGCAGCAGCGGCAGCAGTGGCAGCAGTGGCAGCAGTGGCAGCAGTGGCAGCAGTGGCAGCAGCGGCAGCAGTGGCAGCAGCGGCAGCAGTGGCAGCAGCGGCAGCAGTGGCAGCAGTGGCAGCAGTGGCAGCAGTGGCAGCAGTGGCAGCAGCGGCAGCAGTGGCAGCAGTGGCAACAGCGGCAGCAGTGGCAACAGCAGCAGCAGTGGCAGCAGCAGCAGTGGCAGCAGTGGCAGCAGTGGCAGCAGTGGCAGCAGCGGCAGCAGTGGCAGCAGTGGCAGCAGCGGCAGCAGTGGCAGCAGCGGCAGCAGTGGCAGCAGTGGCAACAGCGGCAGCAGTGGCAGCAGTAGCAGCAGCGGCAGCAGTGGCAACAGCGGCAGCAGAGGCAGCAGTTGCAACAGCGGCAGCAGTGGCAACAGCGGCAGCAGCGGCAGCAGTGGCAGCAGCGGCAGCAGTGGCAGCAGTGGCAACAGCTGCAGCAGTGGCAGCAGTGGCAGCAGTGGCAGCAGTGGCAGCAGTGGCAGCAGTGGCAGCAGTGGCAACAGCGGCAGCAGTTGCAACAGCAGCAGCAGTGGCAGCAGCGGCAGCAGTGGCAACACTCATTGGCTATGTTTTTTAAGCCAAACGCGTTGAACGCGCGGGTGAGAGCTTCAATGAAGTTGAATGCGAGATTAATGATAAAGAAGAAGCACTCGTTGGCTATGCACCATGCGTCCTTGAAACACATTCACACCTCAAGTCCAGGGCATCTCACCATTGCTCCACTCAACTCACCGTGACAAAGCCAAAGGCGTTGAATGCGCGGGTGAGAGCTTCGATAAAGTTGAAAGCAAGGTTGATGATGAAGAAGAAGCACTCGTTCGCTATGCACCAAGCTCTTACGCCGCGAATCTGAAGTTTTGGGTAGCATGGTGGTGCAGAGGCAACATGGTGGGTAACATGGGAGGGAAGAGGCAGGCACAGTGGGAGTGGTGGTGATGAGGTTGATGGTAAAGAGGGAACACTTGTTGGCTATGCACCATGCGCGCAATCCCCTTATTTGGAATGTGGGTGGCATGGTGGTGCATGCGGGAGGAAACTTTTGAGTCGGCTCAAAAGTCACCTCGGATCTGGAATGTGGGTGGCATGGTGGTGCATGCGGGCGGAAACACGGACGCAAGAGCTCCAATGAAGTTGAATTGAATGCAAGGTTGATGATGAAGAGGAAACACTCGTTGGCTATGCACCATGCTCGCACTCCCCGGATCTAGTTTGAGGTATGGGAATGCGTGCAGGAGGAAACATGATTGTGGAGAGGAGGAAGGTGTTGAGGGTAGGTCCGAGTGTGTTTGAAGAAGTGTTTTGAGACGTCTCAAAACACTTCTTCAAACCCGAGTGTGCGTCCAAAGGGTCGACAGGGGAAGCAGTTGCAAGGGGAGCTGCAGGCTGCATGCTGGTCAGCCTTAACTCGCGTGCTGCTCACCAATCAGAGCAGGTGTTTCGTTCTCCGTGCTCTCATTGGTGAGCAGCAGCACGCGAGTTAAGGCTGACCAGCATGCAGCCTCCAGATCCTCCTTCCATCAGGGAGAGGCAGGTATGAAGTTGAATGCAAGATTGATGATGGGGAAGAAGCATTCGTTTCCGATGCACCATGCTCGCACTCCGCGGATCTGGGTTGTGGGGGTATATAGGTGGGGTGGCAGGTATGCAGAGGTGACAAAAACGGAGAGCAGGGAAAGGTAGGGCAATCGTCGATGAGAGTGGGTATAGCGAGAGTGGGTATAGTGAGAGTGGGGTTGATGATGGAGAAGAAGCATTTGTTTCCAACGAACCTGCCCACACATCCCAGATCTAGTTTGATGTATAGAGAGACAGCAAAAACAGGGGAACAGGGGAACAGGGGCAGGGCAGGGCAGGGCAGGGCAGGGCAGGCGCGGTGGGAGTGGTGAGGGAGGCTGCGAGATAAATGATGGAGCACTCGTTTGCAGTGCACCACACTAGGACTGTCAATCCTCACCATCCATCGGATCACTCGAATCGGAGGGCTGAAAAGCGACCCGTAGCAGATGCTCCCAAGGCCAATCAGAGCATGCCACGTGGCCTCCAGAGTGACACGCCCCGGCGCCAGCTGGAACTGCTGAGGTGGCACCGCTGCACCCCCCCGCCCCTCCTCTGATGCAGAAGCCGCCTCCCCCGCTGCCGCTGAGCTGGCGTTCTGCTCCGCTGAGCTGGCGGCGAACCACGATGACATCACACCAGCTGTCACCACGTGCACCATGTTGCAGACGACCGCCGCCGTCCAGAAGATGCTCATGGCGAAGAGCTGACGTGGCAGCGGGGGATTGGTTGATTGGTTGGGTGGGTGAATGGGTTGAGTTGGGTTGGGCCATATAAAAAATCAGACCAGGAGGAATTAAGGGGGGATTATGTGCGACGGCTGTACTTGACAAAGCACCAGCTTTACAAAGAGCATGCACTTCTTAAAGACATTCTGCATGCAAAGTTTATCCCCACACACACAGCCTCTCACCAGCAGAATCCACCACCGCTCCAGCTTCGCCTAGTCCTCCTGAGCCATGATTCCCCACACTGTTAACTCCCATATTCTCCCCTCTAAAAGCCTCCCCTCTAAAAGCCTCCCCAGCAGAATCCACCACCGCTCCAGCTTCACTTGGCTTGGTCCTGAGCCATGATCCCTGACACGCGAAACGTCCACACGCCCATGCAACTACTCACACTTCCTCACTCCATATTTTTCCACCCCAATAATCTCTCACCAGTAATATCCACCACCGTTCTAGCTTAGCTTGGTCCTGTGCCATGATCCCTGACACACCGAACGTCCACACGCCCATCCACGTGGCAAGCAGCAGCGCTGCCACGTGGGCGAAGAGGATCAGCAGGGGAAAGCCCCGGGCGAATCCCAAGGCTCGTCTCACCACCAGCATGGTGTATGCGATTCTGATGGGGTGGTGTGGGGGAGAGGAGGAGGGCGCGGGGAAGGGCGCAGGGTTTTGGAGGGGCCAAAGAGGATCACGAGGGGGAAACCCCGAGCGAATCCCAAGGCTCGTCTCACCACCAGCACGGTGTATGCGATTCTGCATGGGGGTTGGGGGGGGAGGGGGGGGATGCAGGGGGGCGGGGGAAGAGAGGTTGAGGGAGGGGGCGAGGAGAATCAGCAAGGGGAAGCCTCGAGCGAATCCCAGGGCTGTACGCACAACCAGCATGGTGTACGCGATTCTGATCGGGATGGGGGGCCGAGGGGAGTGGGGTGGCAGAGGCAGGAAGGGGAGGGGGCGAAGAAGATCATCCGCCAATAGCAAAGAACTTCACCCTAAAAGTACTCCTTATCCCACGAGCACATGACACAATAATAACTCTTCCGTAATTTGTTCATACTCTTTATAACCCACCTCGTTAGTAGCACAAAACAATGCGTACAGTCACTCACCTATCCACCACCGCGATGGCGTATACAAATTGCAGCACGGCGCCTATAGCGAAGATCGCCCAAAAGTACTCCTTATCCCAGAAGCAGAACACAATAATACTCGTTATAACCCAACTCGTTAGTAGCACTTAACGACGCGTACAGTAACTCACCTATCCACCACCGCAATGGCGTATACGAATTGCAGCACAGCGCCTATAGCGAAGAAAATCCCCCAGAAGTACTCCTTATCCCAGAAGCAGAACACAATAATACTGGGTTGAGTAAACTCGAGTAAACATGGAATAAGTTGACAGTTAACAAAGCTATCACCCCCATTACACAAACATTTAGCACGCTCTAGTAAACCCATGAGCCCAGCAATCACAATGAGACCACCCAGCAGTCACAACAAAACCACCCACCTCGTTAGTAGCACTTAACAACGCGTACAGTAACTCACCTATCCACCACCGCAATGGCGTATACGAATTGCAGCACAGCGCCGATAGCGAAGAAAATCCCCCAAAAGTACTCCTTATCCCAAAAGCAGAACACGCTAACTACCGCTATATACGTCGTCAGCACGTGCACTACCACTTTAATCGCCATATTAGTGTAGAAAAATAGTAGCTGCAGTAGGACCGTCCCTGCTGCTAGCGCCACCGCTGCTGCTACCATCAAAACCGGCCAGAACTCCTTCGTAGAGTGATTAATTTGCGTCCCGCTATTAGCGCCTCCGCTACTACTACTGTTACTACTGCTAGGCGGCGGAATCGTCCATCGCGAACAACCGATCCGAACCGACGCGTATCCCGTGCCGACCAGACATGCTAAGAAGAGAACCAGGAAAAGAAGATCGTGCGGTCTCCGCGGTTTCCGGATCGACGGATCTAATGACGGCAGCGACCGGCCGGCACGGAGGCCACTAGAAACGCGACTTGACGGGTGGGCGGAGTCTAAGGAATGGTGACTAAAAGGAGAGGAAGATTCGCGGGCGGAAAAACCATGCGCGGAGGAAAACGAGTCTCGGGGGGAGAAGAACGTGTCCACCGCAGCGTCGGAAAGGGGAGTGGCGGAGGGGGAGGCATCGGGGCGCGCAAGCGGCGGAACGGCCGCGAGGCCGCCGCCGCGCGCGGAAGGCGGGAAGGCGGACGGCGGAAGCGGGGAGATGGCGGAAGGGGAGGGGCGTTGCGGGGGCGCGAGAACGATCACGGCGGGCGTTGCGCCTGGCGCGGTGGCGAGCGGAGCGGCCGCGGCGGCGGCGGCTGCGGCGTCGAGGCGCGACATGTGAGAACTACCGCCAAACGCGATGCCATATCTATGCTCCGCAGGTTGAGATGCGGCTCCAGGCGCGGCTCGAGATGTCGGTGCCGGTACCGCCGCTCCAGGAGGCGCAACTGCTGATGGGACCGCTGACGGTGTGGATGACACGTGGGTGGCGGAGGGGGACGAGGACACGTGGCTGGCGGTTTGCTGAGAACGTGACGTTGCTGATGACGACGAGTCTGACGTGGAGAACAAGTCGGTTAAACGCCAACCCATGGCGGAAATTAGATAAAAAAACTAGTAGAATTATGCAAAAAAAAAAAAAAAAACGAGTGCTTGCACTATGCAAAACCCAATTCCCGCCGAATGCGCATTGTACTATGATATAAGGGCTCGTGAATTTCTATCTGTTAGTAAAAGTAGCCGCAACATCGACCTATCGCCAGACTAATACCTACTAGGTAGCAAAGGCCACGTAGTAAAGACGTCTCTATACTCCTCTACTACCGAGGACGTGACGAGGAGCCTCACTATCAACGTATCGCCAAACCGCGAATACCACCTCGGAACGCGGAAGGAGGCGTCTCGGAACTCAATGACTTGCGGCGAGACAGTGACCAACAAACTGGCGGGTGAATCCAAACAACCACGTTAGCGACATGTGTATCTATTCGCGATTCGAGCCGCGCCGCTCCGCAGGTGGATCTCGTGATGGTGTGCAGTGAGGTGGAGTTAGCAACACAATCAAGGTCTGGAGGGAAAGGAATAGTCGCGATGCAAGAACCAGAAACAAGCAGAACCAGAAATAAGCAGCCACTAATATATGTGTCTGGTGAGTGTTGCTCCTAGATGAGTGCCTCTTCGCGATCTCTTCTTTCCTCTACGTATCACGGTTTTGTTCGGTAAGTTACGGTCCAACGAGATTTTAAATTAACAAACGTATGGTACCCAGTGTAACTCAGACGAACCGGACTGAACGATCTTCAGACGCACTCACGGGATAATGTGTAGGCCACAGGCTGGCCTTACCTTGCAGATCCGCCGTGTGCGCTGTGCAGCCGTCAAACATTCAAGCACCTGTGTGCTGTAGATTATCGCGGCCGACAGATCGGATGGTACAGATTTATCCGCTGCGCTGCCGCGCAATTGGTTGGGTTCGTTTTCGTTACCACGCAGACTGCTTGACGCTTGGTTCGGACAGATTATTATTCAAAGCTAGCAAAAAACCTTCTGTAACGTACAGTAACGCACATAATCGTAGTGAACCAGGGCATCGCAGATAGATGTCAGAATTTTGGACGTCTGGGATGGGATGGGATTCCCTTCCATCCCCAAACCCGTTTCCGTCTCAGGACGCGTCAGCTCTTTCCATAGGCAGGGTCGAGGCAGGTTCGACGCTGATTACCGAACCCGCCACGTTCGGTGTGCACGTCGGTGTGCCCCACTGCATTTTATTGGGTCGCGGGGCTCCACCCAGCCACAGGTGACAGCGTCGAAAATTCATGGGAAAAAAATGCACGATCGCCACAATTTCACGATCGATCGCCAGATTTCGGCACATAAATAGCGTGAGCGGTGACACCTTTGCGCTGACCAGTGTAATGTGCGTTCTCGAATTTTCCCGAAAATGGAAACATTGTGGTTCGCAAAATCGCGAAAGCACTCCACCCCTGACAAACCGACCGTGTGCACTATCGATCGGCATGCTGAAGAAAGAGGTGACGTGTCCTCGCCTTGGAGGAAGGGTACACGAAAGTGCTCTCACCCAATGGGTGACGTGTTTCTTGCATGGGAAACAGGAAAGACATATCCAATCAAGATCGATATTTTCCCGCTGGAAACCAATGCTTACAGAATGGCGTTGCCTCCACCACACCATGATGATGTCATCATCTTTCTAGTTTATAAGATGCTGCGATAAACGTTATTAAGGTGATATGCGAGCTTGCATACACGAGTAGTTCGTCCTGCAAAGGTTTCCACAACCTACTTGGGTGTAAATTCATGGGACGTCTCCTTAGCATAAACCTTGCTTTCATCAACTCGAACCCCCCGCCTGTCCCGCCTTAGTCAATTATACAGATATCTCCCTTGGCGACTCTCTTCGTTTCAGCGTACAGCAAGCAGCCTCTCCTTTCGCCTTAGAAAAGCAGCTCACCCGTTTCACCCTAAATACGCAATCTCCTCGTTATTGTAGTCTCCGGTGTTTGCTGACGCATGGCGCGGAGCCGCAAGTCGCGGAAGGGGAAGAAGGAGTGGCGGCGGAACATCAGCACGGCGGACCACGACAAGTTCCTCGAGGAGAAGGGCCGCGAGGAGCGCAGCGGCGGCGCGCTCGACGCCGTCCCCAGCGAAAACATCTTCTTCGTCGATAAGTCAAAAGGTAGTCCACGCGTGCAGTCTAACATTGAAGCGTCAATGCTTCAGAACAGTCCGGCCCGGCTCTATGCCGTTCCGAGCGAGAACATCTTTCTTCGTCGATAAGTCCAAGGGTATGGCGCTCGACACTTCATCCCAACCACACATTTTCCGCGCAACACCTCGCCACTACCCACGCGCTACTCACCTCTCCCCCGCTCCCCCCTTCTCCCCCGCCTCCGCTCCCCTTTTCTCGCCAGTTGCGCCCAAGATCCGCAAGGTGGACAAGTGGCGCGCGCGCGAGTCCCACGCGGACGCCATTCTCAAACGCAGCTCGCTCGTTCCGCCGCTCGTTCCCGAACCTCTCCGCCCTTCCTCTGCGCGCGCCAAAAGCGACGCTAAACCTTCCGATAAACCCTCGGATAAACCCGCGAATAAACCCTCAGATGCATCTGCGGATAATCCCGCCGATGCACCCGCGGATAAACCCGCGGATACATCTGGGGAGGGGCTGGCTTCCGCGGAAGCGCCATCTGGGGGGGATGGGGGCAGCGGTGGAGGGGAAATCGTTGCAGCAGCAAGCGGGGAAGGGGCTATGGTTATTGGTTCAAGCGGTGGCGCGAGTTCTGACAGGATAGCGTTGGTGCCCGCGGATTCAGGAATTGCAGGAGGGAAACGGCGTGCCAAGAAGGTGCGGGGTTCAGGGTTTCTTCATTCAGGGTGCGCGGGATGCTAGAAGATGCTTTTTTCCCACAGGTCTCGAAAGTTCGTCCAACAAGATGTAGGTGTTCAGCATCCGGGTTTCGGGTTTGGAGGGTTTGGACCCTTCTTTCTTTTGGCTTTGTATAATTGGTCAGCAGGACGGGGCTTGGCCAGGAAAATAGCTTTTGGAAGAGAATAACGGATTTCGTGGGGGCTTGGGGTTCCGGTTTTGCAGGCCAGGAAGAACTCTCAGAAGCTGCTGTTCGACCTTTGGGCGGACGAAGGTGAGATGGAGGGGTTGAGGAATGGAAGGGGAGGTGGAGTGGGGAACGGGAGGGGGAAAATGGGGTGGGCAAGGCGGGTCTAGGGTTTTTCAAGCGAGGAAGAACTCTCAGAAGCCGCTTTTTTATCTGTGGGCGGACGAAGGTGAGATGGAGGGGGTGGATGATGGTATGGACAAGGTTCGAGTGTTGGAAGATGAGGGGCGAGTGTGGGAAGATGAGGGGCGAGTGTGGGAAGAGGAGGGGCGAGTGTGGGAAGAGGAGGGGCGAGTGTAGGAAGAGGAGGGGCGAGTGTGGGAAGAGGAGGGGCGAGTGTAGGAAGAGGAGGGGCGAGTGTGGGAAGAGGAGGGGCGAGTGTGGGAAGAGGAGGGGCGAGTGTGGGAAGAGGAGGGGCGAGTGTGGGAAGAGGAGGGGCGAGTGTAGGAAGAGGAGGGGCGAGTGTGGGATCTGAAGGGTGGGGATGGGAAGGGATGGGGCCGTGCATGGATGTGCAAGCATACATACTGGGCCAAGGGCCGAGGGCGGAGGGGGAAAGAGCTTTGTGCTGAGTCACCCTTGTATGTGTAATCTCCTGTGCTTAGGGGAAAACTTCTGAGGCGCCTCAAAACTCGAAGGTCCTTCGTGCTGAGTCACCCTCGTATGTGTAATTTCCTGTGCTTAGGGGAATTTTTTGCGTGTTGTAGTAGTGTGTAACCACTTGTGTTTGGTGTAACGTTCGTGTGTTACCATGTGTGCAGACCTAGCTGGTAACCGCCGCGTTGCTCGAACCACGGACAACACAACAACACCAGGAGGAGGAGGAGGAGGAGGAGGGGAGGTGGGCGAGAGAGTGAGGAGGAGGGGCGATGGGAAGATGATAGGAGGCAAGGAGGAGAGGAACAAGCCAGGGTCTGCAATCCCTGCAGTCGAGATCGACGCCCCTGGCTGCTCCTTCAACCCCTCTGTGGAAGAGCATCAGGTAGGTTTCACCGCTCTTAACCGGACACCACCTGTGCTTGCTGAGGCATTATTGGGGGCCTGCGATTCCTGCAGTCGAGATCGACGCTCCTGGGTGTTCCTTCAACCCCTCTGTGGAAGAACATCAGGTAGGCTTCATCCTTTTTAACCGGTTTCATGGTAGATGAAGGTTTCACCGCTCTTAACCGGACACCACCAGTGTTTGCTGCTGATGCGTTATCAGGGTCTGCAATCTCTGCAGTCGAGATCGACGCTCCTGGGTGCTCCTTCAACCCTTCTGTGGAGGAACACTAGGTACATTTCACCGCTCTTGACCGGGCAGTACCATTGTCTGCTTATGTAGCACCGGGTTCGCGATCCTTGCAGTTGAGTGAGATCGACGCTCCTGGCTGCTCCTTTAACCCTTCTATTGAAGAGCATCAGGTAGGTATAGTTTTCACCGCTCTTAACCGGACAGCACACACCACCCTGCGGTTGAGATCGACGCTCCTGGGTGCTCCTTCAACCCCTCTCTGGAAGAGCATCAGGTACTTTACACCGCTCTTAACCGTTGGGGTTGCTGCAAGTGAGGAGCACAGGCGATAGGAATATGATAGGAGGCAAGGAGGAGAGGAACAAGCCAGGGTCTGCAATCCCTGCCCTGCAGTTGAGATTGATGCCCCTGGCTGCTCCTTCAACCCTTCTCACTTTGCTCCCTCTCCGTCCCCCCGTCAGGATGCCATTGCAGTGGCAGTGGCGGAGGAGCTTAAAGAGAGCTACCAGGCTGCGCTGGCGCCCACGCCGCGTCAGCTGCTGGTGTCAATGCCCTAACCGCTACCTTGTTTCGCTCACGCTTCGTCCCTTGTCCCTCGTGTCAACCGGACGCCATTGCTGTGGCAGTGGCAGAGGAACTGCAAGAGAGCTACCAGGCAGCGCTGGCGCCCATGCCCCATCTCACTCCTCTCTACCATTGTCGTCCCCACACTACTTCACGCTAACAGGATGCGATCGCAGTTGCAGTGGCAGAGGAGCTAAAGGAGAGCTACCAGGCAGCGTTGGCGCCCACACCCCCTCAGCTGCTGGTGTCGCGGGCAGAGGAGGAGGAAGCACGGATGCAGGAGGCAGCGGTGAGATTAAGGATGTAGAGTGCGGTGGAGTGAGGTACGGTGCTATGGATGTGGGTATCGTATGGGAGGTAGCAGTGGGCCGCACTAGCACCCATGCCTCCTCAGCTGCTGGTGTCACGAGCAGAGGAGGAGGAAGCACGGATGCAGGAGGCAGCGGTGAGAATGGTTGGAGTGGAATGCTGTGGGGTTGATTGCGGTTGAGTGAGGGGTACAGTGCACTAGGTGTGGGTAGTATAGTGCTGGCGCCCACACCGCCCCAGCTGCTGGTGTCGCGAGCAGAGGAGGAGGAAGCACGGATGCGGGAGGATCGGTGAGATTGGATGGAATGCGGTGGGGTTGATAGCGGTGGAGTGAGATGAAGTGCAGTGGGTGTGGGTAGTGCTGGCGCCCATGCCGCCTCAGCTGCTGGTGTCGCGAGCAGAAGAGGGGGAAGCAAGGATGCAGGAGGCAGCGGTGAGATGAGAATGGGTGGAGGGGAATGCAGTGGGGTTGATTGCGGTGGAGTGAGGTAAAGTGGCATGAGTGTGTGGGTATTACAGGTGATGGTAGGACGAAAGGGGGGGGGGGGGGATTATTATTATCAATTCTCTGTTTTGAGTCGTCTCAAAACTCAACTTTTGTCACGTGGCTATGAATTTGAATGCTCTCCTGCTGCGTATATGCCTCCCCTCCCTCTTCTTTCCCCTTTCCTCTTTTTCCGAGGTGATTTTGATCTGTTGCTGCTGCTCTGCTTTCCCTCCTCCTCCTTCGCCCCTGCCACTCCTTCCCTTCTCTTTCTCTTATGTTCCATGCCCTCAGGATTTTTTCCTGACTCAAGCAGAGGAAGACGAAGAGGAGGAGGAGGAAGAGGAGGAGGACGAGGATGGCACCACTGCTGCTGTCACCAAGTAAGCAACCTTCTTCTCCCTTCAAAATGCCTTTTTTCTGCTGCTCTCACCAAGTAAGCAGCCTTTTTCCCCCTTTCGAAATTGCACCCCTTTTCTGTTTTTGTATTTTTTCCTCTTCCCGTTTTGTACTACTCTTCAAATACTAATTATAACTTAACTTTTTCTCTTTAACCTAAACCATCCTCTAAAATCTATATTTTTCCATGTTTCAACATTTCTTTAAAAAAGAAAGTGTATTCTGTCATTGCACATACCAGCCCAAATAGCAGGAGCAAACTTTTAAAGCGTTTACTCTCTAAACCCAAAACTCTACACAAGTGTGTTCTGTCTGTCATTACGCGTACCAGACAGAAAAACAGCAGGAGCCAAGCCAAGCACCAATCTCACCCTCTCGTCCATCTCGCTTCTCCCTTATTTTTCTTCTCATGTCCCCTCCCACTTTCCTCCCACCAACCAGGCACAAAGTGCCAAATCGCTTGACTCGGGCTGATCTGAACCGGCGCATGCAGCGGCACCTGACTGGTGGAAGCAGAATTGGCAACGCGGAGGAAACTGAAGGCGATGGTTAACCTTTTGCCCCTCACCTTCCTCTCCCAGGCACAGGGTGCCCAAGCGCCTGACCACAGCGGATCTGAATCGGCGCATGCAGCACCGGCTGGTGGAAGCAGAACTGGCAAAACGAATGAAACGGAAGGTGCTGCGGAGGAAATCGAAGGCCATGGTTAACCCTCCCTTTTGCCTTCCCCTCCCACGTCCCCTTCCTCTTCCCCCCACCAGGCACAAAGTCCCCAAGCGACTCACCAGGGCGGATCTGAACCGGCGCATGCGGCACCGGCTGGTGGAAGCAGAACTGGCGAAGCGGAGGAAGCTGAAGGCGATGCGGAAGGATTTAGACCGGTTGAAGGATTTGCAGAGGGAGTTGGAGGAGGAGAGGGAGGAGGCGGAGAAGAGGCGCGTGAGGAGGGAGATTGCTCGGGTGGAACTGAGGATGAAGAGGGCTCCGAGACTGGGACGACACAAGTGAGTGGGTTGACCTTGTTGGCTTGACCTGACCTGGTTGAATGAGCAGCGGGAGGAGGGAGATCGCACGGGTGGAACTGAGGATGGAGAGGGCTCCTAGATCCAGGTTGACTTGGGTGACCGAGGGGCAGGAGGAAGTCTGGTTCTGCCCAGGTTCAAGCCCGAGCCAATGAATGCGCTCACATCAGACTGTATCTGTGCATGTGCATGTGTGCATGTGTGCATGTATGCATGTGTGCATGTGTGCATGTGTGCATGTGCATGTGTGCATGTGTGCATGTATGCATGTGTGCATGTGTGCATGTGTGCATGTGCATGTGTGCATGTGTGCATGTATGCATGTGTGCATGTGTGCATGTGTGCATGTGCATGTGTGCATGTGTGCATGTATGCATGTGTGCATGTGTGCATGTGTGCATGTGCATGTGTGCATGTGTGCATGTATGCATGTGTGCATGTGTGCATGTGTGCATGTGTGTATGTGTGCATGTGTGCATGTGTCTTTTGGTTCTGCCCAGGTTTAAGCCTGAGCCAATGAGTGCGCTCACATCAGATAAAGTCGCTGCCTTTTTTTCCCTTAAGTAGCTAAAGCAAGTGCAACGCTTCCCTTACTGCGTGTTGTGGACACACGCGTCGTTTGGTTGTGCAAGTTCAAGCCCGAGCCAAGGAGTGCGCTCACATCACACCAAGAGCAAACCACCTCATCTCATCACCCGTTGCTGTGCACGTTCCCCTGTGGGCTGTGCTGTGTCTTTTGCTTGTCACCAGGTTCAAGCCAGACCAGAGCCAATGAGTGTGCTCACATCACATTAGATCAAGTCACCACCGGGTCGGCCGTTTCCACTCAATCACTTCACTAAACCTAACTTTTTCTCTTCTGCGTATTGTGTGTGCCCACACTCGTGGTTTTCTTCCCACCAGGTTTAAGCCCGAGCCAATGAGTGTGCTGACATCCGACCAAGTCACTGGGTCGCTCAGGCAACTCAAGGTAACTTTCATTCCTCTCTCTCTCCCGCCCGGCATACCCTGTGTGCGTAAGTGGCTTTTGAGGCCCCTTAAAAGCGAATGAGTGTGCTCACATCAGACCAAGTCACTGGGTCGCTCTGGCAACTCAAGGTAACACCCGTTCCACTCTTATCCACTGTCGTGTGTGTGCATGAGTATATGCATGTCTGCACTTCAACGCCCGCATCCCTACATTACGTGCCTCCCTGTCTGCAGCGAGGTAGACACAATGTCTTTTTTTTTTCACTATTGAGAATTCTCAAAAGTGATTTCAACATAGCGAGGCAAGACACAATGCCTTTTTTTCTCTCTCTCTCTCCTTCATTCACGTCTCGCCATTCTTCCTCTCCGCCCTTTCTCCTCTTCATGTGTCTTTTCTCTCCAAACCTTCCGTTCCACTCTCTCCCTCCTCTTCTCCTCTCCAGGGCTCCTTCACTCTCGTCCATGACCGCTTCAAGAGCTGTCAAAAGCGAGAGGGTTGATCGAGACTTGTCGTCCGTGTGCATGTACTCATCTCTCTCCCTCCACACCTCCCCATCTCTCTTCTCTCTCTCCACTACCAGGGCTCCTTCACTCTCGTCCGTGACCGCTTCAAGGGCTTTCAGAAGAGAGGGCTGATTCAGACTCACGGTGCTTTTCCTTCTTGCCTCTCCTCTTGCCGTCATTCCCATGTTTACTTCCTCTGTCACCCCCCCCAATCAGGGCTCCTTCACTCTCGTCCGTGATCGCTTCAAGAGCTTCCAGAAGAGAGGGCTGATCGAAACCCACGGACCCACCATGTGAGTCTGAGTTTCTTTTCCCTAACATCTGATAACTTTGTCTTGCCCACCATCTGAGGTTTTTTTTCTTTTGAGAGAGACGGGCAAGAAGGGGAGTGATGGCGAGGAATGTGTGCGTTGAGATTCTTGAGGAGATTTCTGAGGTGTTTCATAAGGAGAGGCACATGCTCATTATGTTTGGATCGACTAAAAAAGAAAAACCGATGCCCACTTGGTTTGATGTGTTGCAGCATTCTCTTGCACTCCCTTGCTCTGCTCCCTCTCTTCCACTTTCCATCCCACCAGCAAGCAGTCCCTGTCACGGAAGCGAAGGGTGGTGGAGCAGGGCAGTCGGGGAGCGAGGGAGCAGGAGATGCATGCTGAATTGGCCTTTTTCCTTCCCGTTTATCCCCTTTTGTGTGTTCTAACAGCAAGCAGTCTCTATCAAGGAAGCGAAGGGTGGTGGAGCAGGGCAGTCGGGGAGCGAGGGAGCGGGAGATGCATGCTGAAATCCTGGCCATGCGGGCGGCAAGGCACGAGACCAAGAAGGCTGCGGCAAAAGCTGCTGCGGAGTCGAGCAATCTGGAGTTGTGATTCTTCCGCGTGGAGTGTTTCGCCACTTGAGGCGTACCTTATAACGAGGGTAAAGCCACGCGGGTGGCAAGGCAGGAAACCAAGAAGTCTGCAGCAAAAGCCGCTGCTGAGTCTAGCAACCTGGAGCGGTGATTCTTTCGTGTGGAGTGTTTTGCCTCTTGAGGCGTGCCTTATAACGGGGGTAAAGCCATGCAGGCGGCAAGGCACGAGACCAAGAAGGCCGCAGCAAAAGCTGCTGCAGAGTCGAGCAATCTGGAGCTGCAAATTTTTATGTGGGATGTTTTGAGGCTCGCCTTGTTATGAGGATAAAGCAGTGCGTGCGGTTTGCAGGCGCGCTGAATCCAAAGCAGCTGCTGCGTAGAGCAACCTAAAGCTTTGAGCTGGAGCGTCTTGAGTTCCTTGTAACGAGGATAGGGTTGTTCATGCGGAGCATAGGGCTGCTGCCGTATGCATAATTGGTATTAAATGGGAACCAGGACTTGAAGGATGAGGTGTCAACAAGAGGTTCTGGTCACTGAAATGGGGAAGGCATGTGAATTGGGCATGTGCTGCCCAGATTCTTCATCCGAAAATCTTTGAGCTGGCTTCTCTGACTCACCCTCCTTTTTGTAAAATCTTGTGTTTACCACTGCTGGTCGTAGTTCGCAACATTCTAGCTTACTGTTGTGCGGAAATCCCTTCAAAAGTATAAGCACATCCTTTCTTTGGAAAATCATAAGGGTTATCTAGTTTGGTGGAGTGTATATTCGCCTTTCCATGAATTGACCGTTGTAGTGGGGACCAGTGAATTGCGGCTCACCCAATCAAAGTTTCTTCAACGGTTGTTTCTGGGCGTCAGCAGCCAGGCTCAAATTTGTTCACGCTGCCCAGAACCGTTCGGTCACCCGAACACTCCGTCAGTGCGGCTTTCTCAGCAAAACCCCAAGGGAGTCGTGCTCCTATATTCTAATTTTCGTGCCCAGAAAGGCAATATCGTGTTAGAAATTCGACGTTGAGATTTTTTAATTTGCCCTTGAATCCTCCAACAAGGCCCAACAACCAGAACCCCTCAGCAGGCGAGTCTTCCAGGGTCGTCGTCATCATGGGGTGCGTTCCTGGCGCGTGTCAAACTTCCGGTCTTCCCAGGAAGACCCAAAGGTTTAGGTCAAACTTCCTGTCAAACTTCGAGTCTTTCAGAAACAGGGGCAAATTTTAGCTGGAAGACCCGAAGTTGGTCTCGCATGACCCGAAGTGGGGCCAGCTTCGTGTTATCCCCGGAAGACCGGAAGTTTGACACGCGCCAGGAACGGACCCATGGATTCGAGTGGGATGAAATTCGATGCTGTTCCGTGTGACCCTTCAGGGGCCTCGCTCAAGAAAGCCATTCGCTGTCGTTGTTGCTCACACAACGCTCAAATTCCTTGGGATTCTCCGTCATTGTTGCTCTCCCCACCTTGTTGCGACTTCGCATGTTGGGTTAGCGTGATCGTGAGTAAAAATCCCTTTTCCGCCATTGTTCGGCATGACCTGCTTGGTAGCCCAGCTACCAAGTCTCGAAACCCGTTTTAGTTAGATTCCATCTCCAGAAGAACGCTTATGTAGATTTGCATTTACGCAGTATCGCTCCGTAAAAACAGTGTTTTGAAACTTTCACCGAGCTTTGAGTGCATGGACGAAGCCACTAGCTGAGTGCTTGCGCAGGACGAATTTCCACGTTGGAGAATAAAAGCAGCAAAATCCAGGTCTGAATACATTTCCGGGATACTCGGGCCAAGCGATAGTTGATCAGAGAAGCCAGAGGTCGCACAGCGAACGAGAAAGGGTCGATTAGCGTGCGAACAGAGACAGAGCAAGCCACCAGTCGCACGTCGACCACCTCCGAATCGCGCAGTTATCGCATAGTCGCAAAGCAATCGCACAGACGTCGCACAGCGATCGAGCGACATGGCGAATCTGGGATTCTTCAAGGAAGTGATGGCGGAAGCGGTAGACAGGGCGAAGGGCGCCGTGGTGGAGAAGACGCAGGCAGCGGTGGGGAAAGCCAGGGAGATGGTCGGCCTGGTGGATGCCTCGGCGGAACCCTCGGCACCTCCCCCGGAGCCGTCAATTCTGGACGAGCTAAATCAGTACTGCTCGCTCACGCTGAAACAGGTGCGCTGCTTTCTTTCTTGTTTGGTTGCGGTTTGGCTTTTTGTGGAAGGCTGCGGGGAAGGTCGTGGGGAAGGCCAGGGAGATGGTCGGTCTGGTGGATAGCTCAGCGGAACCCTCGGCGCCTCCCTCGGAGCCGTCGATTCTGGACGAACTAAATCAGTACTGCTCACTGACACTGAAACAGGTGCGTTCCTTTTGCTCTTTGAATGGTTATGGGTAAGGCCGTGGGACGGCTGTGGGGAAAGCTGTGGGAACGGTTAGGGAGATGGTCGGTTTGGTGGATGGCTCGGCGGAACCGTCACCTCCCCCGGAGCCGTGGATTCTGGACGAATTAAATCAGTACTGCTCGCTCACGCTGAAACAGGTTCGTTCGTGGAATGCTTGTTGTTTGAAAAGTTGTGGGGGGGAAGGCGGGGGAGGCCGTGGGGAAGGCCGTGGAAAAGGCCGGGGGGAAGGCCGTGGGGAAGGCCGGGGGGAAGGCCGTGGGGAAGGTCGTGGGGAAGGCCGTGGGGGAAGGCCGGGGGAAGGCTGGGGGGAAGGCTGGGGGGAAGGCCGGGGGGAAGGCCGGGGGGAAGGCTGGGGGGAAGGCTGGGGGGAAGGCCGGGGGGGAGTCCCGGGGAAGGCCGGGAGGAAGGCTGGGGGAAAGTTGAGGAAGATTGTGGGTCTGGCGGATGGCTTGGAACTTTCGGAGCTTCCCGGGAGGCGTCAGTTCTTGTATCGATTGTATCATGCATCATGTGCCGACATGCATTATGTACCGTGTGTTACATTCCATGCATCGCCATCATTTATCACGCAATGTTAGTCACGCGTCTTGCTGCATGCATGTCTCTTTCTATGCTGTCTCAGAGAATATACGGCTTTGCCACGTGTCTCTGCATCGGCATCTTCTGCACGCTCATGGTAACCACCTTTCTGTTGTAGCTGGTAACCATAATAACCATTCTTTATAGCCACCCTCTGATGGTATCCGGCTTTGCCACGTGTCTCTGCATCGGCATCTTCTGCACGCTCATGGTAACCACTTTTCTGTGGTGTAGGGTACCTTGGTAACCATTCCATAAGCGCTCATGTTCTCACTGTATTTGATTATGCCACGTGTCTCTGCATCGGCATCTTCTGCACGCTCATGGTTACCACCTTCCCACCTTCGCTTGTTGACCGCCTTTGTGTGGTCACCTTTTGATAATCAAATTCATCGCCCATCAAGTTTTTGCCTCCCGCTTCCAGCCACTCAACTTTCCTGAGTCCGTCTCCTCCTACCCATGCCCCTTCTCTCCTTTTGATCCCAACACCAGTCCGTCCTTGTGTTTCCATCTTCCATCTAGCTCATATCTTCCACTCCTAGCCGCTTAACATCCCTCTTCCCCCTCCCCCCCCCCCCCCCCCCCCCCCCCCCCCCCCCACCCCCCTTCCGGCTCCCTCACCTATCCCAACGCCAGTCCATTCTTGTGTTCCCACATTCCATCAAATTCGCCCTCACCTACTCACAGCCACTCGTCTTCCCATCCCCCATCCCTCCCACCTCCTTCCCCTCCCCCTTCTTCCCACCCCACTGATTCCAACGCCAGTCCATTCTTGTGTTCCCACATCCCATCAAATTCGCTCTCACCTACTCGATTGGGAACCTCATGGCCATTGGCAGGTGAGAGGGGTGAGGTGAGGTGAGGTGAGGTGAGGTGCAGTCAGGTCAGGTCAAGTGAGGTCAGGTCAGGGCCTGATAGCTAGCCGGTCAGTGCTCGTGGCCCGTCAAATTTGCTCTCACCTACTCACTCGCATGGCCATTGACAGGTGAGAGAAGCGATGGTGAGGTCAGGTCAGGGCCTGACACCATCGACATTTTCCCCACCCCTCCTTCAACCCACGAGAGAAGACGCATGCACCTGGGCATGGGGACGTGCACAGGTGCAATCCACGGCATAGGGTTCACAGGTGCACTCCACAGCATAGGGTTCTTAATGTACTTCTCGCAACAGCTCAAGATGATGCCTGATCCAATCCTTGTCCTTTCCCCTGTCCCCTCTCTCCCCTTTTCTGTTCCTTCTTCCCTCCCTTCTCCCCCTGCTGCAAACAGCACAGGGTTCTTGAAAGGCTTAACGTGGCAGCTCAAGATGATGTTCGATCGAACCCCTTTCTACTTCCCTTTTCTGATCCTTCTTCCTTTCCTCCTCCCGCTGGTAACAGCACAGGGTTTCTCATAGGCTTCACGCGGCAGCTCAAGATGATGTTTGATCCGATCCGAATCGGTGCTGCTATCGTCTTTGTCCTTTCACTCGTCCTCACACTCGTTGCTGCTCTCTATGTGAGTACACTTTCGCATGTATTTCTGTTCATCTCGTATTTTCGCGCGTACTAATTGACCGTGAAATCAATATGCACTAAACATCCTCACGCTCTTTATTGGTGTGTATCCGTGAGAAAGATATAATGTGTTGCTATTGACGTACACTTTTTGTGAGTTATTCCGCTGCTATTTACATGGGTTATTTGCCCTTTCTCCCTTGACTCCTGCTGGTGAGCAGGTTCAAGACGCCCTTCTCACTCTCCTCTGCATCGTCGTGCAAGCGTGTTCCCTCATATGGTATGCCATGTAGTTATGCCATGTATCGTGTTAGCCATTGTGAATTGGTGCAATGCGCTCCCATATGGCATGTGATGCGCGCTCTTACATGCTGTGGCGTGTGCCTCATATGGTTTGACATCCGCCCTTAGATGATCTGCCATGAACACTCATATCACATGTAACACTCACATCACATGTAACACTCATATCACATGTAACACTCACATCACATGTAACACTCATATCACATGTAACACTCACATCACATGTTTTGCATGCATGTAAGCATCTTCCCATGTTCCTTCTCGTCGGCCTCATCTCTGTACAGCACCCTTTCCCGTTTATCTCTTGCTTCACTTCTCATCGTTTCACCTCCCTTACCTTTCCTTCTCTTCATAAGCAAAAGTGCTTTCCAGGGAGCTAAGGGAGCTTAGTGGGTTCACATGAGAAGCACTCAACGCGTTTAAGTCCCACACTCCCTCCCCTGCCTATTTGTTTCCTTTCCTTTCCCGCTGTTTCCTTGAACTCATTAGGTACTCATTAAGCTACATCCCCTTTGCCCAGTCGTCAGCCAAAAGGTGCATGCGCATGTGCTACGAAGCGGAGTTCTGAAGTGCACAGATGTTTTATATACAGAGAAAGGTGCAAGGATAGGCCTACAGTACCATACGCCAAAAGGTGCATGCGCATGTGATACGAAGCGGAGTTCTGAAGTGCACATATGTTTTCCCGATCAGAGACAGCTGCGATGATAAGTTGACAAAACCATACGGCAAAAGGTGCATACATATGCATGTGGTACCCACGAGGTGGAGTTTTAAGTGCAGAGATGTTTTCCTGTGCAGACATGTGTGATGATATGTTCACAGCACCATACGAATGTGCTACAAGGCAGAGTTCTGGAGTGCACAGAAATTGCCCTTTTCAGAGAATGGAGTGAGGATAGACCCCCCGTATCACCATATGCCAAACTGTGCATGCCCTTGTGCTAGGAGGCAGTGTGTTCAGTTCTAGGCTAGGAGATGCCGTTCAATTCAAGGAAAGTAGTCATATACTTGATTAAAGATTATTATGTACAGTAAGTGCAATTGAATGTATTTTGTACGAACTAGTGCAACATTAGGAACCTACGATAAAATCAACCAAATAATACAATTACTTTCTCCCTGCGCGCAAGTTTGTGCAACCACCGCAGTCGCCGCAGCAATAGGCGCCTCGCCGCGAAACCTAGGAAGGATCTACTCACGCGGCCCCTACGATTCGGCGCTTTAGCCGTCAGAATCCAGGACCACTGTTATCGGCACAACTGGCAGCAAGCGTGGTTCGAACCTCCTCGGATTCTCAGAAAACAACCGCGTGTTTCGGACTGGGGCGGGTTATCGTTGGCGTGAATGCGAGCGTCAGCACCACGACCATCACAAGCACGGGCAGCAACAGCAGCTCGTCCGGCGGCGGACCGACGCGCGGCAACATAGCTGGCAGCAGCATCACCACCACCATCGCAACCACCGTTACAAGAAACACCGACGACCATGGTGCAAGAATCTGCGGTTGCGCTGCTGCCGCCGCGGCCGCTTCCGCCAGGTCATCCGCGCAGACGGCGCTTCTGCGGAAACCCTTTCTCTGCGTCAAACCCGCGCCCGCGGCTGAACTCGTGGCGCAACTTTGGGGGGCTCCTGTTCCCGCTTCCGCCAGGGTCGCGTCCGCGCAATTGTCTGCGCGGAAGCTGGCGTGCGGAGCGGCGGAAGCATGCGCCGAGGGCTCGCGCATCAGCAGGCGGTTCAAACTCCGCTGCGACCCGCTGCTCTCTCCGCTCCGTCGCGCCGACATCCCCGCGAAATCATCCGCTCGACTCCCGCCGATTAAGCTACCAGCAGCGGCGGCGACGGCTCGGCTTCTGATGTGCGACCCCGAGCCGCACTCCCGCCAGCTCCCGTATCCTTCAGTTCTAAGCGCGTCTGTCTTCGCGCCAAGATGGCCGAACGCGGCGCCTCTACGCTCCGAACGAACCGAGGAGGGCTGCGTGAAGTGCGGAAGCTCTTGAAGCTCGGGAGCGGCTCTGGCGCTGACGTGTGCATGAGAGGCGACATACGCGTTAGTAGCCGCTGTGGGGGATTCGGCGACGCTTGAGCATCGACGGAAATGCCGGTTGTTGCTACTACCGGTGCTCGGGGGGTCGCTTTGGGGGCTGAGGTTTGGCGGCGACAGTGTGTGCGACGGTGTGTGCGACAGCGCGTGCGACAGTAGCGATTTTCCGCTGGCGCCGCCATGCATGGAGCTACCGGGAGATGAGTCTCTGGAACCGCCGTGAAGCGCGGTGATGAAGTCGCGTGGATCCTCCACGACGCGGCGCGGGTGGTCGTTGAGAGTCGGGGCTGCTGACGACAATGGCGTGTTGGATATACACATTTTTACAACGGCTGAAAAGTCTACCTCTGAAAGATGAGTACGGCTAAGACAAGCGAGCCTGGTACTTGAGATCTGATGTATAGCTCTGGAAATAAAAAGTGAAGGGGGCTGCTGGTCTACGAAGCTCAAGCGGGAGCATAAAAATCGAGATTATTTAGTCTCAGCTTAGTAGAATCTGGAAATGGCGCCGATGCGTTCATGAAGCGGATTCGATGGAACATGCTGTTGACGATGCGTGGCTTTAGGAAGGAGGAGTTGGGAGGATGCTTTGACGATGTCACCTAATAATGCAAACGCGGCGAAATATGACGAGAAGTGCACTGCTCCAGAAGGAAAGCGAGAAACTGTGCTCAACGTCGAACTGTTTTTGGAACGGCCAACGAGCGTGTGGAGAGGAAGAGAGTGGTGTGGTGTCCCCAGCACGTGGACGGAGTACTGTTTTGAAGAAGAGCCCGTGCGATGCCAGAGAATTGAAAAGAGTCAATACAGTAGGTGTTGTGCGATTTAAGCGCCTTCAAATTGGTTTTGTGAGTCTGATGGTTGGCACCATCTGTTGCTTTGATGCGCTGGACGTTGCCATCGTTGCGCGCTGCAGTGGGGAAACGCGCGTGTGTGAGCTGTTGCGCGTGGCCTTGGGTGCCTGTTGCGGAAACGCGGCAAGCGCGCCAAACTGAACCGCAACCGCACAGTTCCGCGAGCACGAGGGTAGCACAAGACCGCGGGCGAACACGAGCTAGGGAATGGATTTCGATTCTAGTGATGTACATCGCTGGAAACCCTAAACAAACGCTCGTTACTGGGATAATGTAGATAGTTAAAAGTAGATGGCCTTAGAGCACGATGATTTGGCTGTGCTAGCTAAACATGGATGGAATTGCTCGTTTTTTGAGTGGTTTGGAAGGATGATGGCTCGAGAGTTTGAATCAGTGGGGGTGGATATCAAAGCCTATTGCTCGGTATGATTGAAAACCGAAGTAACGTCAAGAAATGTTCTGAGGGGTGGTTTGGAGAAACCAAATGCTCTGAACTGTACCGTAGCTCGTGTTTCGTTTCATCATCAACCATCAACATCATGCGTGTCATGTCCTCACTGGCTGTGTTCATGCGCTGGCAGAATGTTCGATGGGAAAACCTCCGCCGTCGTGATGCTGATGCTGACGTGACAAGCCCAATCAGGAAAGAGTGTGGCGGGGGAGACGCAAGGAGTTTCATCTGCAATTCCCCGAACATCACGCAAGGGGTGAGGGAGGGAGGGAGGAAGGGGAGAGAGAGGAGGACGGGGAGAGGGCAATGGAAGTGGAGGGAAATGGTGACACGTCAGATTCGCACTGCAGCGCTTTTACACACCCAAACACAGCACGGGGGGCGGGGAAATTCAAATAAAGGGCCGCGGTTCTGCAACAGCGTCAGACGCAATATTTTTTAAGCCCAGGCGTTCCGAGGTCTGCTTACACGAAACACGAGTGCTGCAACGGAATTGAAACAGAGACCGCCTCTGCAATTCACCGTAAGAATGAGCACTTCTGATGATACAATCAGGTTTGTCAAAACACCATCGAGCAATTTTAAGAGTTGATGACAGCGCGCAGAATCGCTGCCACCTAGATCAGGAATAGCTTATCCATGTGGGCAGATTCGGGGATTCCGCCGCAGCTGCAGATACTGGTCACGTGATGTGCAATCCCAGAAGATATGACTCAATTGCATTCTTCTAGAATTTCCAGTGTGGACGCACAACAGCTTTTAGAGGATGATTAACATTTGCTATTTCCAACATCTTACGCGTCAAAACACACTGAAATTTCCCTAAACCCTCTCTAAATTTACCAGGCAACGTCGACAAGAGGTTTGCCTGGTGAGAGTGTAGGAACCAGCCCTTACAAATGTTTTATCAATGGCGTTGTTCTGCAGGCGTTATTGGCCCCGCACCAATTTGACCGCGGTAGCTTTCCATCTAATTTCTAGGCGCATTCAAGCTGGTTGCATTGCGCGGATGTTGCTGCCCCGCATAACTTGTGCGGAGGCTGATGCTAGCTCCCGAGGTAGAATCAGCACCGCACTAGTTGTGCGACCAGTTGCCCCGCGAATCAACTGTTACGAATAGTAACATTTAATTGTTACTGAGCACTCCTCACCGCAGCAAAGAGAAGCACGCAGTATCGAAGCAAGAACTTGGATATTGCGCGGATGTTGCTGCCCCGCATAACTTGTGCGGAGGCTGATGCTAGCTCCCGAGGTAGAATCAGCACCGCACTAGTTGTGCGACCATTTGCCCCGCGAATCAACAACTTCGAACCTACGGACAGTTGAATTTGCACGCCCCAAAAGTGGTGTTCTGCAGGCTGAGGCGTTAAATTTGACACGAACAGGTTTGGCAGGACCTCCCTTATCACCAAACCTTGATAGGCAGAAGACCGCATATCTACGAAGATTATGCGGACCCAGTTTCTGGAAATTTAAAACCGAGATATAAAATAGTGAACCCCGACCCAGCTTGAAAAGGTGCTGCGACTAGGGAAAGAGATCGGGCCGATAAAGAACTCCCTTAACTGATGTGATTGGCTGTTGCCAATCTATGATTTTTATTGGTTCCCGCCAAAACATCGTCACCCGTTGCATGTTTTCGTGCACCACCCACACGATCGCTGCCAAGCGATGTTTTGAGTCGCCAGGCCCAACTTCAGTTTCAAGCTGGAACTGGATTCATTACTCACTTTTGTCAGAATCCCAGCCACTAACCACTGGGATAAAAGGGCTTGTTTGTGTAGCGGGTGAGTGCGCCCATAACCCCCCAGGCCGCCGTGCCTGTAACCCTTCCCTAGGATCAATCGGGGATCACCAGTGGACCTCTGACACCCCCCCGCACTGGGATGCCCGAGGTGCACACACCGGGATTCGAACCCGAGACCTTCGCTCTGATACCATGTCAAAATCCCAGCCACTAACCACTGGGATAAAAGGGCTTGTTTGTGTAGCGGGTGAGTGCGCCCATAACCCCCCAGGCCGCCGTGCCTGTAACCCTTCCCTAGGATCAATCGGGGATCACCAGTGGACCTCTGACAACTTTTCTGCTTCCCTTGTCACCAGTCTTTGCCTAGCTAAAAATAGTTGAAATCTTAGTCGGTTGACACATAGGCATGCTATTACTCACATTAGTAAGACGTGATCTAGTGTCGTAATTGTGTTGGACCCGTCGCGAGCTTTTTCCGTCAATCCCCCCGTCGTCGTCGGCCCCGCTCACTTCCCTCGCCGAGTCGCCGTCCATGGCGGTAACCACCGTGCCTCCCCTGCCATCGCCCAGTCGTCGCTATCGCGCTCGCCCTTCCTCTGCCTCTCATCGCCCCTCCTCTCTCCCTTCCCATTACTCACCTCGTTGCTATCGCGCTCATGCCAAATCTCCCGCACATTCCTCTCTCCCTTCCCTTCTCTCGCTCTCTCCCATCACTGCTCATCACATCTCTATCCACCCTCGCTGGCCGCATCCTCGCTATCTCCTTTCGCTGCCCGTCACCTCTATCTCCCGTCGCCCGGGCTCATCATCATGTCGGGGAGCTCGGCGGACGGGCAGGCGGCGGTGACGCTCTGCGACCAGCTGGCGGAGATGGTGCCCGCCACGCAAACCAAGTGCGTCACGGACTCGGTTTTCTTCGTCGGACAGTGCGCGCTCGAGGTTGATGTTGCGCTGGCTCCCCATGTGCGTGCGCTAGCGCTAGCGCTTCCTCTTTCAGTCACGCAGTAGCATATCATAGCTTGGAAAGTCAGATTTTTACTGGCCAAGGCACGTGCCGTAACTATCGACCTAGCTCACATGCCAAATATATTAGCTTAGTATGAATCGTCACTTTCTCACCCGCCCTCACGTTCTCCCGTTTTGCAACTCTATCTCCTTTTTCTATACGCCCTCTCACTCTCAACTCTCGTCGCCGTCTAGTTTTCCCTCTGCTATCGCGTTACCGTGTCCCATTTCGGATTCTGTTATTGTTTTAGTTTTACTTTTTGTTTTTTTTTTTCTTCGTGCAGTTAATCCATCCATTCCCGTCGCCATCGCTCTCTCCCCTCTCTTCCCGTCGCCCTCGCTCTCTGCCCTCCATTCCCGTCGCCCTCGCTCTCTCCCTCCCCTTCCCGTCGCCCTCGCTCTCTCCCCTCCATTCCCGTCGCCATCGCTCTCTCCCCTCCCTTCCCGTCGCCCTCGCTCTCTGCCCTCCATTCCGTCGCCCTCGCTCTCTCCCTCCCCTTCCCGTCGCCATCGCTCTCTCCCCTCCCTTCCCGTCGCCCTCGCTCTCTCCCCTCCATTCCCGTCGCCATCGCTCTCTCCCCTCCCTTCCCGTCGCCCTCGCTCTCTCCCCTCCATTTCCGTCGCCCTCGCTCTCTGCCCTCCATTCCGTCGCCCTCGCTCTCTCCCTCCCCTTCCCGTCGCCATCGCTCTCTCCCCTCCCTTCCCGTCGACCTCGCTCTCTCCCCTCCATTCCCGTCGCCATCGCTCTCTCCCCTCCCTTCCCGTCGCCCTCGCTCTCTCCCCTCCATTTCCGTCGCCCTCGCTCTCTCCGTTCCCTTCCCGTCGCCATCGCTCTCTCCCCTCCTTTCCCGTCGCCCTCGATGCAGTCGTCGTGCTCTTCGCGCCCTTCCTCCCTGCCCTCCCATCACCCTACCTCTTTCCGCGATTTTTCCTTCACTTATATCTCTCCTCATGCCCTCGTTTCCGTCGCCTATTCTCGTTCTTCTCTGGTCACCTAGCTAACTCTCCGTTTTTTCCCTCCTTTTTGTTCCTCGATGCTGTTTCTGCCACCTTTGCAGGTTTTTGTCTAAGGCGTTTTGCTGTGCGTGCATTGCACTACTGTGAAATTGGCATTGGATGTGAATGAGACTTGCGTGTCGCAAACTTGCGACACGTATGCAGTGCCGATGCTTGCGACGCTTTTTGCTGGATAAAGTATGCTTGCGACGTTTTTTGCTTTCTTCCCATCAAACGCGTTTGACAAAAAAAAAAAAAAAAACATACCGTAACAACACCCAACTTTCAAGTGGACCCAACTAGAAAGTGGGGGTCACTATTTTAGCTGCTGGCTTTAACGCCTACAAAACAGCGCCAATATATTCGCAACCATTTGACAATACGGTACATGCATGCTCCTGATAAAGGCCATCTAAACCATTGTACACTGCTACCGTACCTTCTGTGTCACTCTTACTGCAATACCATCACGCCTTTCACACTTCAATATTTACAGCTTAATAGTACACAAACATCCCAGTTGGAAGCCGAACTCGAGTAAACAAGAATATACACACACAAACACCACTATTTCGCTGAAGCTTACCACAATGACATGCTCCCTGTAACTGCTACTTGTAACTTCACCACGTAACAGCCTCCAGTAACTGCGCCATATTACGGCCTCCTCCTGTTATTAAGCTGCCTTAAGCAACTGTTTCTTGTAACTGCTTCATGTGGCCCAAATTTATGTAGTGTCACCCATCGTCCTCCATGGCCATACCCATCAACCCATCATCCTCTTTTCCTGCCTCTTCCTCTTCCTAATCTCCCCATCCACCCACCCCCAACACCCCAGTCTCAACCCTGTCAGTCCATGGTTATTCTTGCCCCCTCATCCCCTACCCTGCTACCCCCTCGACCCTCTTTCCCTTCTTCCTCTTCTTTTTCCCCCCATCCTCCCACCCCGAGCACTTCAATCTTGATCCTGTCAGCCCATGGATATTCCTGCCCCTCACCTCCCTACCCTGCTCCTCCCCTCACCCTCTTTCCCTGCTTCTTCTTCTCTCTCTTCCCCTCATCCTCTCACCCCGAGCACTTCAACCTCGATCCTGTCAGCCCAAAAATGTCCACATGTGCGTTGAGCTGCGCCAATCGCAGCTGGACACGTGGCAGGTGGGTGCACTGCAAGCCGAGGAGGAACCACATGTTCCTCTCTGCATGTGGATTCGATGTAAGCAACCTCTTACAGGGAATGCGCATTGCTGATCCCTTTCTTTTTGCAGAGGCAGAGTTGGGAGAGGAAGCACCGGAAGAGGGAGCATTGGGAGAGGGAGCGTCGGGAGAAGCAGCAGCGTTGGGAGGAGCAGCTTTAGGTGGGGCAGCGTTAGGAGAGGCAGCGTAAGGAGAGGCAGAGTGCAGGGGTGGTTTGGCGTGTCGGGCTATGAATTCCCCCTTGCCACCGCAGCTCCTGCACGCATGGCGGAAGAAGAGGGAGCGCCACTGGGGGAGGGCGGGTGCGAAGGGGGAGAGCGGGGGGAAGTGTGAGAGAGATGGGGGGAGTGAGGGGAGAGGACAACAGAGCGGAATGGCCAGGAGGAGTTGAGGGGGGCAGGGGGGGCAGGGGAAGGACGAGATCTATACAAATCTCTCATGATGAAGATTGTATGGCGGGTTAAGTGAGAAATGGAGGGTTACCAGAAAAGGGGAAATCATGGGGAAGTATGTGTGCGAGAGGGGGGAAGTGAGGGAGGGGGTGAGGGAGGGAGGGAGGGAGTGAGGGAGGAATTGCGAGCTCACAGGTCGGAAGGAGGAAAGTTCTGTCTGGCCTCGCGGTCGTCTGGGTGGTTTCCATCCTTTCCTCTCGCACTCCCTCTGAAACAGATGCTCGCTCGCATGCGACCAGAACCGGCACACCTGCAGGGATATCGGGATAAGAAAGGACGGGGAAAGAGAATCGGAAAGGCATCTTCACATCCTTTCCTCTCGCGCTCCCTCTGAAACAGATGCTCGCTCGCATGTGACCAAAACCGGCACACCTGGGAGGATAATAGAGGGCGGGAAAGAGGAAAAAGTAACACGCTCGTTCGCCCATTGGCTGTTTTGCTGTATTTCTTCTCGCTCTCACCCTTACCTCTCGTTCGCTCTATTCCTTATCGCAAGCTCGACCCTTTTGTTGTAGAAGCACGCGGACGAAAAGGGTGCGAGCGAGAAGGGTAGAAAGGATGTAAAGCGCTTTCAACCTGGCAGGTGACGCGATCGCGAAATAGGGTTACCACCTTTGACGGGCCTCGCTGATGAAAGAGGGTACCTGCGACGCGGCGAGGAGCGTTTTGAACGGCAGTTTTGCAAAGATCGCAGAGAGAAGATCGAGTTCGCGTCGCTCCGTCAACTCTTGGAGCACGTGCGGTAGATCCTGCGGTCCCGCCATATGCGGCGACACAATCGCACGCGCTTGGCGATCCTTACTGCACGCGAATAGTCGGACTTGCGCGGAAGAAAAACCACGAATATGAAAAGGAAACGGAGGGTGACAATGTGACATGGAAGGTGCAATGTACGGTTTTGTAAGACGATGTACGTTCCAGAATGTTTGGTTGCTCTTTCAAACGTTCGGGTACGGTATTCAGCGGTTGTAACGCTTGGAGTAGCTCTATACGCGGTATGATCCTATACATGAGGCGCGGGTTTAAAAGTTTCATGCAGCTTGAAGGGGAGGAGTAGTGGATATACATATATGCATACATAATGCATGAAACTGTAACACAAAAGTTAACTATAGAGACTGCTAACGTGAGGAATTTAGAAGTTTTAACTGGAGCCTCAGAATCAGTCGAACGATGCAAGCAGTGTATATTATATTGGTACAACCTCTTGCATCAAATCCAAAGACACAAGCTCCTTCCACTTCTCCACAAATTCCATCCGATTTCCATCCTTGAGCAGCCTTGGGGAAACAAACACAACCTTGTTCACATCCCCAGGCACAGAAGATTCAAACATTTGTCCGGCAGGAAAAGCTTTCTTCAGCTGCCCGGGGAAAGATTGATATGCAGAAACCGCCCAGGGAACAACATTTATTGCTAGGAGCCCGTCCGGCCTTATCACTGTAGCAAGTGACCGGAGAAAACGAGGTGTGGTGAACTCTTTAGGGGGTGCGTTGAGACCGGAGCGAGGGTCCCAGGAGTCTATATCGAGGATCACCACATGGAATTGGAGGGGGGATGGAGTAGAGGGCGTGAAGTTGGAAGAAAATGGGGTGTCTGCTGGTGGTTGCAATGCTTCCTGCTGCTGCTGACGGCAATTTGAAATGTTACTTTCCTTCTTCCGTCTCTTATGCCGCCGCCGCCGCTGCTCCTGCTGCTGCTGCTGCTGATGCTGCTGCTGATGCTGCTGCTGTTGCTGTTTCATCTCCTCCATCTCTCGCTCCTCCAGTGCCAGTGCCTGATGCCCCATTCTCTCGTCTCTTGCCAAACGCAACCTGCATTGCTTCGATTCTTGAGGCGCCTCAAAAGTTCCAGCTACCCTTTGAATGTGTGCTGCCAGTCTCACTACATAGTTCCTAGCATCTCCAATATGCACACAAATGCCACCCTCCATCCCTCTCCTTCTATTACTCCTTGGTCCCTTTTCGCTTTCCCTCTTACCCCCTTTCTCTCCCCCGTTGTTCATCCCCCTCCACTTCCTCACCTGCCACTCTCTCCTCTCGCGCTCCTCCCTCCACTTGAGCCGCATTCCCTCATGCTCATGCTGATACCTTCCTTCGCGCCTTCTTTTTCTATGTTCCAAGTGACCCCAGGCCCTGCCTGTGAGCCCAAAGAGCCTCCGTGCGACGCGGTGCATGATGGGATCGATCTCCACCACCTGGAGAGAGGCAGAGTGGGAGTAAGAGGAAGGGGCTTTAAGGCGCCTCAAAAGCTACAAACTGCTCTTCGTCTTGCCTCACTTCCAAATGCTGCTGGTGAGCCCAGATACATCAGAGGATCTATCTCCACCAGCTGGTGGGAGAAGGAAGACTGGGGAGGGGGAGAGGACTTAAAGGCGCCCGGAAATGCAGCAAACAACTGCTGTGCGTCTTTCCTGTGTTCACTGCGGCCCCAGGCCGAAGAGCCTCTGTGCCTGGCCTGGCTGGTGAGCCCAAAGAGCCTCCGTGCCACGCGATGCATGAGAAGATCTATCTCCACAACCTGATTGGGTGGACGAGTGGGAGTGAAAGACAAAAAGACGAGGAGAGAGCGGAAAGCGAGGAGAGAGCTGAATAAGGAATAGGGAGGATCGCAAAAGGGGCAGTGAACTTAATACACCTGATCTAACGGGCAGGGCTGTGTGGGCTTGCCTGAATGTGATAATTTGGCCTATGCATGTGCAGGTATATGGGCAGAGTGAACGCGCCTCCTCCCAATACCAACACTCGCACTCCCGCCCTCCCCGTCTCTCCCTCTGTGTCTCTCTCCGAAGGCGGCTGGTCACTCTCCCCCCCATTGATTGCGTCAGAAACTCCCCTCTCTAAAAGCAGTTGGTCACTCTCCCCCCCATTGATTGCGTCAGAAACTCCCCTCTCTAAAAGCAGCTGGTCACTCTCCCCCCCATTGATTGCGTCAGAAACTCCCCTCTCTAAAAGCAGCTGGTCAGTCATCTCCCCATCGATTTCCTCAGAAACTCCCCCTGAAGGCAGCGGGCCTGTCCCTACCAAAGCAGGGGCGGCGAGAGGGAACCCGGCGAGGATAGGAGGGAGGTACTTGTGGGTCAGATGGGAGTAGTCTGGCAGGAGGCGATAGGTGGGAGGGAGGGGGAGAGGATGAGCAGGAGTCACTGTGACTGTATGGAGAAGGGCTTGAGCCTTTTGAGGGGTCTCAGGGGCAGTGCACGATGTGACAATACGGAGGGGGACTTCCGATTGGATGAGGTTGGGGAGGCGGCGGAATCGCAGGCGGCGGCGTAACACCACAGGGATCAGCTCGTTTGCAGCAGCACACTTACAGCCTTCAATGGGGTTACCACCACCAGTAGGGTTACCACCACCAGTGGGGTTACCACCACGAGTAGGGTTACCACTTCGAGTAAGGTTACCACCGCCATCCGCCGCCACTGCTACATCCTCCACTAACATTGGTCCAGAGAGCCTAGAGCACGCCACCAGACGAACCTTCCTGGCAATTACATCGTCCTGGAAGACAAGCCATGGGATGAGGGAAGGCGAGGAGGTGGGTGGTGCGCGTGAGTGAATGGAGGGTGGTGGTGGGTGTGATTGAAACGAGAGTGGTTGTAGGGAGAGGGGGGAGGCAGCAGAGTGGGGTTGGGGGGGAGAGAAGAGGCTTCGAGGGGCAAGCGCTGCGAGGAGAGGGGCCAAGGCAGCCTTGATGAAACCATCAGCATCAGCACCTTGAGCATCAGCACTATCATTGTGGTGATCATTGCTGTCTCTATACCCACGGACACCACCTTTGCCATCCCTATGCCTATCACCACCATCACCACCACCACTACAGCCGCTGCTGCTGCTGCTGCTGCTGCTGCGACCAGCGCTGTCACTGCCAGCACACCGCCGCATGAACAGCAAAGGCGCTTCTAGCGTATTCGGAAAAGCTGCTGCAGACCCCTTGGGAGAAGCCTCAGTCCTTGTCTGTGGATCCGTACTGTGGTGCGTGGCTCGGCAATCCCAATGGCTGTTGTTGCTGTTGCTGTTGATGCTCTTGCTCTCCCCTTCCCTGCCCGCACATGCTGCCAAAAGCTCCCACCTGCTGCCGCCCTGGCCAATCCAATCCGAATCTGATATCTGCCGCAAGCTGCAGACACCACTGTTACTGCCAGTGGTTTTTTCAGCAGATTTCCCATCTGATTCTCTCCAAAAGCTGCTCACCCTCCTGCGTTTCACACAAGTCCTCCTGCAGAATCGCAAAAGGAATGGCCGGAATCGAGACCCCACAGCCATGGCTGTAGCTGCGGCCAACACGGGATGCCTGCGCCTACATTGTTTGAACTTAGAACTCTTTTGAGTCGACTGAAGCAGAGAAACAGACGGCCTGGAGGCAGCGCGATCGGAATTGGCAGTGCGGTTCCGTCTTGTGATAATAACGAGCCTTCTCGTATTGGCACTTCGGAGCAGCTGCCACTGCCCGCCTGCTGACGTGTACACCCAATCTGTTTCGCTGCCACGTGGCACGAGCATGGCTGCGTGCAGGTGAGTATACTGAGGTGGATCCGAGGAGTCTTCGTTTGAATCACATTCGCCATCGGGAGCATCCAAAACGGTGACTGTAACGAGCGTTTCCTCGTCGGACCCATTTCGACCCTCTAACGGGTACAAGAACACTTTTCGCCTTCCTGGATGGAAACCCTCGAATTCGTCCTCTTGGCTCCCTTCCGCTACAGTCACGTCCGTTTCCATCGCAGCAGTACACGCACTCGAATCCAGGACACTGCGCATACGCATTCGCACTAGTTTTCCAGTCCTTTCACCGTTCGGCGCCTTGCTAGTGTACCCGCTTCAACACGTCTCGAGATGCACCCGCATACAGGTTCCAATCACAGACCTTTAGTAGAAGGAAGAACAATTTGTAACGCTGGGATAGTGAATTTATGGACTCCTAGATTCCAGGAGTAATAGTGACGCTATTGGGGATTCCGCGCAGCGGAACGCTGCGGTTTGCTTTCTGCGAGATCCTTGTGAATGCAGCACGGATCGCTGTCATTGTATTCGATACAAGATCATCTTATCCGTTGGTACTGTTTTCAAGAATCAGGAGGCGTTCTTTTCTGTTTCTCGCATGCGCTTCAGTGGATTTCTTTACGTTTCGACTCGGTTCAAATACTTGCTGCAGTGGCAACTCATATCCCTTTCACATCAGCGTGACTCTAAACAATAACCTCCACTGCACAAACTCAACGTTATATCTATAAAAGAAGGTGAATTGGCAGACTCTTTTAATTTTTATCGAAGCACCCTCTGCCCACACTCCTTGTGAACAACCTTTTCCAGCCATCCACCGACTTCACGGACAGCCTATCAAGGCGGCTAGTCTGTCCCCAGCAGTCTTATTAGGTATTTACCGAATTATCGGATTCCCCAATGTCAGATTTATTGTCACTGACGCTCTGCGAAGCTAGTAGAATCGTTTGAAGCCGTCAACTTCGCTAGGCGTTTCGTCAGCAGTCGTCAACGTCGCCAGGCGAATCAGTAGCAATCGCTCAGTGCGTTCGTCGATGGTGCTGCTGCTGCGATGGACGACGGCGGAGCTGCGAAATCTTTCCGTCCGGCCACGTCAGCACCGCGCAGCCGCCACGTCACCTTCTGGCTTATCCAAGCCATCCTCGGAATCGCTTTGGTCGCCTGGGTCTCTCGATCGCTCCTCTCCTCTTCCCTCCTCTCATTCTCCTGTGACCTATCGGTGAGAATTTTGGCGTTTTTTCCCCTATTCCCTGCTCTCCTCCTCTCCTCCTCTCCTCCTCCCTCCTCTCGTCCTCCGGCGACCTCTCGGCGAGAGATCCCCATCCCTTCAAATCTTCCTCGTCGCTCCTCTTATCGCTCCCTCCTCTCCTCCTTCCTCCTGTCATTCTCCTGCGATCTCTCGGTAAAAATCTGGCGTGTTTCTCATTACCACTTCCCGTTTCTATCTCTCTCTCCCCTGGTTCTCACTCTCCCTCCGCTCCTCCTCCCTCCTGACGTACTCCTGTAATCTATCAGTGAGAATTTGGCGTCTTTCCCAATCCCATATCCCTCCGTATCGCTCTGATCGCTTGGGTCTCTCTCCTCCTCCCTCCTCTCAATTTCCTGTGATGTGACCTGTCAGTGAAAATCCGGCATTTTTTTTTTTTTTTCCTCTACCTCTTCTCCTCCTCTCCTCCTCTCCTCTCTCCTCTCCTTTCGAGGCCCCTCAAAACAATCCCTTCCTTCCTCCCTCTCTCTTTCGCAACCTCCTCTCCTGTTCACCCATCACTCCTCTTCACCCCTCTTCCACACAACCATCAGGACCACATCAATGCCACCCTATCAGCCCACGTATCTCCCTTTGAAGCGCCTCAGATTTCTCCCTCCCCTTTCTCCCCCTCTCCTCTTCACTCTTCATTCACTCCCCCTCTCATTTCTCCCCTCTCTCCCGTTCCCCCTTTCCCTTATCACCCCTCTTCCACACCACAATCAGGACCACCTTAATGCCACCCTATCAGCTCAGTTACCACCTTTGAGGCAATTCCCTTTTAAAATTTCTCTCCTTTTTCTCCCCCCTCCTTTTTACCCCTCTTCCACACAACCACCAGGACCACATCAATGCCACCCTATCAGCCCAGGTACGTACCTCCTCCATCCCAACCCTGCCTCGCTCTTGTGTTTCGTTCGTTGCAAGACTAGCCATTCTATCTTAACTTAACAGAGCTGTTTAAAGCACATCTTGGTTGTTCGCCACCTCCCACCTCAAACCCCACCCATCTCATCATCCTTTCGTTGCCAGCTCAATCCTTTTCATAATTTATGCTCCTTGTTTTTGCTGCCTTTCATTGAGACAACTTGTGCCTTTCATTGAGACACATTGTGCCTTTCATTTCATGTCTTGCATGTTTGTATGCTTATGTTGTAATTCGACTCTAAAGTAACACATGAAAATGTCATGTCTTGTGCGCATACTTAATGCCTGTTTATCTGTGGCTCACTTGTATGTCATATTGCGTGTGACTGTGTGTCATGGCATGGCACATCATGGTACGATATGACTGGATGCCTTGTTGTGGCAGCAAGAGCACAACGAGGAGGCAGCTGAAGCGTTAAGTCAAGCCCTACGAGCCCTCATGGTGAGCCCCCATTACCATAGCATAGCCGCAGCTCTCCCTCTTTCCTCTCCCGCGCCTTGCTCCCCTAAAGCTTCTCTCCCCCATCCCCCTCTCTTGCACGCAGGTTGACAAGCCCCTGCCATCTCTAGCCGACGCTGCTGCTCGTGCTGCCTTCGTGCATCTGCTGCTCCCCATTCCCTCCAACCTCTCCTCCTCCTCTTCCCACTCCTCTACACCCACTTTCACCGACTCCCCACCTCCTGTTTCCAACTCTCAAGCCCCCTCTGCTGCCACCACTTTCGATCCTACTGACCTCACTGCTTCCTCCTCTCTTGTGAATAGCGTCTCCAGTGAATCTTCTAGGGATAGATTTTCCCCTGGATTCTCTGGGGATGACGAGCATGCGGGGTGTGATAGCTTCTGTGCGACCTGCATACGCCCCCTCAACTGCTCCCTCGTGCCCTCCTTTCCTTGCTCCTGCTGCCGCCGCCCCGACACTCCTGCTAATGTTGCTGATCTCGACGGGGGTTCGGAGGATGGTGATGGTGGTGGTGGTGATAGTAGTGGTGGTGGGGGAGGTGGTGTGACTATAACGGGAGCTCAGGGCGTGTCAGAAACATGTGAAAAAGGGGGTGGTGGTGGTGATAGTCCGGGGGGAGGGGGAGGAAGGGAGCAGAAGGGAGGAGTGGGGGAGGAAGGAGCAGGGGTAAGGGGAGGAGCAGGTGAGGAGGGAGGAGAAAGGGAGGGAGGGAAACCGGCGTGTGTTGATGGCACAGCGAAGGGACGATGGGTGAATTACACGTGGTGGGAGGCAGACGATTGCGAGTACAGGTGAGCAGGGCGGATGATGCTGTGGTGTGGTGTGGGTGGAGGGAGGATGGGTGAATCACACGTGGTGGGAAGCGGATGATTGTGAGTACTGGTGAGGACAGGCTGTGAACAACTGATGAGCATGCTGAGATGTCTCACTGAGATGTCTCACTCACAAGTGGCAAAATCTTCTTCCTCACAGGGAGGGGAGGAAACCTGCTTGTGTTGATGGCATGGCACGGCGGAGGGACGATGGGTGAATTACATGTGGTGGGAGGCAGATGAGGTGAGAAGCAGGGCGGATGAGAGGGGTTATTGCTGAGAGCAGAGTGTGTTGAAATGAATGAGACTGTATAACTACACAATGAGATGTGGGCAGGGCGGCAGGTAGGTGGATGGATGGTATGGACCGTATGGTGAACTGCTTTCAGTGAGAAGCAGGCGAGGTTTGGTCTGGTGGGAGGGACCAGTCGAACCCTCTCCTCTTCAACTTCTTTGATCGATCTTCTGCCCTATGCCCCTACCTATGCCCCTACCTATGCCGCTATGGCCTTCTCCCACTCCGCTCTCTCTTCCCTATCAGTGACTTCTATGACCCCGAGCGCTTCGAGTGCCTCAAGGGCCAGTGGCTCTCGAACCCTCTTTGGCGACCAGACCTCTCGAACGCTCTCCACCTTCTCTTCTCTCATGCCCTGGTCCCTCGTCTCTCCCCCTCCCCCCACCACACCCCTCCACACGTCACCTCACCGCACAGTGACTTCTCTGGTCGCGACTTACACGAGTGCCTCAAGGGCCAGTGGATTCACTTCTTTGGCGACCAGACCTCTCGAACGCTCTCCACCTTCTTTGCCAAGAAGATGCGAATCAAGAAGGTTGGGATCAAACCTCCAGAGGGGCTGAATCCCCCCTCCTCACCTTCCTCCTCTGTTTCACCATCCCCCTCCCCCCCCTCCTCCACCTCCTCCTCCTCTTCCTCCTCTCCCACTCCTACTGTGGATGAAGGAAGCTCTAATAACAGAAGAAGGCTTGCTTATAACGAGGGTAATACTGCCAGCGAAGGCACAAGCAGCAGCAGCAGCAGCAGCAGCAGCAGCAGCAGCAGCAGCAGCAGTGGTAGCGGAAGCAGTAGCAGCAACTCTAATGGAGGCTCTTCTAGTGACACTATTGATAGTGACAGTACCGAGAGAGCTAGTAGCGAAGGAGACAGTAACGAGAGAGCTAGCGCCGCAACTGATGACAGTAACGAGGATGGTGAGAGAGCAGCAGCAGGAGCAAGGGGGTGGCAGCCGGTTCCAAGGAGTGCTGATCGGCCCACTGTGTCGTATCTTTTCCGAGCCAAGATGGCCCACCAACGAGCCCCAGCAGTGAGTAACAGCTGAGGTATTGGTGGTATTATGGTAGTAAGGTATTATGGTAGTAAGGTATTATTGTAGTAAGGTATTATGGTAGTAAGGTATTATTGTAGTAAGGTATTATGGTAGTAAGGTATTATTGTAGTAAGGTATTATGGTAGTAAGGTATTATTGTAGTAAGGTATTATGGTAGTAAGGTATTATTGTAGTAAGGTATTATGGTAGTAAGGTATTATTGTAGTAAGGTATTATGGTAGTAAGGTATTATTGTTGATGCAGCAGCAGGAGCAGCAAGGGGTGGCAGCCGGTTCCAAGGAGTGCTGATCGCCCTGTCGTCTCGTACCTCTTCGAGCCAAGATCGCCCACCAACGCACCCCGGCAGTGAGTAACAGCTGCGGTATTGGTGGTATTGTGGTAGTAAGGTTGATGCAGCAGGGGGAGGGGCCAAGGCGTGGCAGCTAGTGGCAAGGAGTTTTGATCTCCCTGTCGTGTCGTGCCTTTTCCGAGCGGAGATGGCCCACCAACGCGCTCCAGCAGAGAGTGTATTGATGGTTATGCTTTGTTCTGCTGGTGGCATGGCATGTGGCTTGGACTCTAGCATGGGTTGCGCCAAGATGGCCCACCAACGCGCCGCAGCAGTGAGTGGTATTGATGGTTTATTTTTTTGTGCTGATGATGCCGCTCGTGGTACCGATTTCACCCCTTTCTCACCTCCCCCTTTCTCACCTCCCCCTTTCTCACCTCCCCCTTTCTCACCTCCCCCTTTCTCACCTCCCCCTTTCTCACCTCCCCCTTTCTCACCTCCCCCTTTCTCACCTCCCCCTTTCTCACCTCCCCCTTTCTCACCTCCCCCTTTCTCACCTCCCCCTTTCTCACCTCCCCCTTTCTCACCTCCCCCTTTCTCACCTCCCCCTTTCTCACCTCCCCCTTTCTCACCTCCCCCTTTCTCACCTCCCCCTTTGGCCCCTCTCCTCCCCTTCAACCCAGGGGACCCACCAGAAGACGACGTGAATGATATCTTGATGCGCTACAGGAATGATATCGTGATATCTTGATATCGTGAATGATATTTTGATGCACCACATCCCCTTAGCGGTTGACCTCATCGTGCTCTCTCTCTCTCTCTCAACCCGTCTTCCTTCTCCCGCGCCCATCCAACCCGCACCCCCCTAAACCAGCCAGGGGACCTACCAGAAGACGACGTGAACAATTTCTTTTTCGATGCACTGCAGGATCCTTCAGCAGATCGGCCGGATGTGCTTATAATGAGTATGGGCGCGCACGAGGTGTTCGGGTGGTCGGGGCGGCCGCGCGTGAAGCTTAACCTGACTGTCTATAAGGAGGATACGGAGGAGCTGCTGGGGAAGGTGCTGGGAAGCTTCCCGGAGCAACGGGTGATCTGGTGGAAGGCGCATTACATTCAACAAGGTGGGTGGGTGGGTGGGTGGGTGAGTGGGTGGGTGGGAGGGTGGGTGGGTGGGTGGGACGAATTCTTCTTAGCCTCTTAACGGGCACCTCAATGTGTGGTTCTCCGGAGCGGAGGGTGATCAGGTGGAAGGCGCATTATATCCAACAAGGTGGGTACTTGAGATGAATTCTTTAGCCGACTGGAAAGTCACCTCAGGTGGGCAGTTGAGATGAGGGGCTTTTCAGGCACCTCAAAGGGCGCCTCAAAGGGTTCGTCCTGGTTCAGAGGGTGATTCGGTGGAAGGCCCATTACAACAAGGTGGGCACTTTGGATGAAACTTCTCCCATATGGAGAAGCTGCAGGGAAGCTTCTTGGATTACGTGTGCTATGGTTGACGCTACGACGTATGGAGAAGGTGCAGGGAAGCTTCTTGGAGAGCAGCTGTATTGTAGTTACCACTCTCCTCATCTTCCCCCTCTCCCCTCTCCTCTATTCCTCCGTGTAGGCAAGATCAAGGGGGAGCAGTTATTCACCATTCGGAGATACCACAGCCGCTACCAGCGGCATGCCGCCGCCCGCTTTGCTGCCAACGGGCACTCGATTGCGGATTTTTATGGAACTACAAGGAGGAGGAGCGAGGCTTGTAGAGGGGATGGAGTGAACTATGATTCGGAAGTGGTTTGGCAACATGTGAAGATTCTTGCGCATATGCTTTGTTACAAACACGCTAACAAAAGATAAGCATGCGACGGATTATATTTGTGTTTACGTTTGCTAAGTTCCCAACACCAACACATCATATACCGTAGAAGGGTGTGAAACAGGGAACATATCGGGTGGGGTGGGGGGGGGGCGGGGGGGCTCCTTTCATATGCGCTGCTTTCCAATCAATCAACCGAAAATGCCTTTCAGAGCGTCTCAACACATCCGTTTATTTCTCGTCAGCCCAGTCCTTTATGGGAGCGAAGGATTGGCGGTGGATGGGGCAAGGGCCATGGGCCAAGAGTGCTTCCATGTGCGCTGCTGTGCCGTAGCCCTGATTTCTTCCAGGCCATCTTAAGTTTTCAAAACTTGCATTTGTTTCTCGTCCAAGACAGCCCAGTCCTTCATGGGAGCGAAGGATCGGCGGTGGATGGGGCAAGGGCCATGGGCCAAGAGTGCTTTCATGTGTGCTGCTGTGCCGTAGCCCTTGTGTTGCTTGAAGCCGTATGCTGGGTAGAGCCTGAAGGATGGAACAGGGAAAGATGAGAGTGCAAGACCTAGCCTGAGTTGGGATGGGTCAGAAGTACATGACATGGGATGGGATGGCATGACATGACATGACATGGCATGACATGACATGGGATGGGGATGGCATGACATGACATGGCATGGCATGACATGACATGGGATGGGGATGGCATGTCATGACATGGCATGGCATGAGATGGGATCAGCATGGAGTCTACAGCACCACTTATAGCTGTCAAATTTGAGCATGAGTAGCTCCCTCGTCACTTGGGCAAGGATGGAATGTGATGGCACGGCATTGCATGGCATTGCATGGCATGGCATGGCATGGCATGGCATGGCATGGCATGAAATGTGATCAGCATGAGGCCACAGCACCAGCCATACCTGTCAAACTTGAGCATGAGTCGGTCCCTTGTCACTTTAGCGAGGATGGAAGCAGCAGCGATGGCATAGCAGGTGGCGAGATGTCTTGAAACTAATGAGATGGCACAAGTGCCAACACGAGGCTACAGCACGCACCAGTGAAATACCTGTCGAGTTTGAGCATGAGTCGATCCCTTGTCACTTTGGCAAGGATGGAAGCAGCAGCGATGGCATAGCAGGTAGCATCGCCCTGCAAGCAAGCACATCACATCACACGGCAAAGAGCAGTGTGTTTGATTGACTGCCTGAAAACGGGTGTAGCATTTGAGAGCAGCACAGGGCAGCCCTGGAGGCACCCTGTTGCCTTTAGTCAGGGGAGGGGCTGCTGGGATCTTCGACAACCTTTGATATGCTGCTGCCCATTGCTAGCATCATTGCTACCACACGACACTGTACCGTACCGCACCCCTCCATACCTTGACAACGGCCTCAGCAGCGCACGGCAGCCCTGGAGGCACCCTGTTGCCATCCACAAGCACATAGTCGGGGGATGGGCTGTTAGGGTCCTCGGCAACCTTGGTTACCACATCAATACCACACCACACCGTATTGTACTGCTCACTACCTTGACAACAGCCTCGGCAGCGCAGGGCAGGCCTGGAGGAACCCTGTTGCCGTCCACGAGCACATAGTCCGGGGAAGGGCTGCTGGGATCCTCTAGCACTTTGGCTATGCTGTTGCCCATTGCCAGCATCGTTGCCTGAAGGATGGGTGGGGCAGAGGAAGGGGAAATGAAGGGAGAAACGAAGGGGAGGTGAAGGGGAAGGGATGAGTTAAGGGAGTTGGAGAAGGAGTGGCTCCTGGGTAACTTTTGAGTCAACTCAAAAGGGATCTTCGACAACCTTGGCTATGCTGTTGCCCATTGCTTGCATCGTTGCCTGAAGAATGGAGGGCGAGAGGAAGGGGAAAGGAGGAGGGAAGGAAGGGGAAAGGAAGGGGTAATGAAGGGGAAGGTATGGGTTAAGGGAGGGGGATGGGCTACTGGGATGGGAAAGGGTGGAGGTAAATAGAACTGGCCATCAAGTTATCAAAGAGGGTGATTTTAAGCTGATTCTGTTCTTTGAGAATTCTAAAAAAATAGTAGTCTGCCCATCAAGTCATTGTAGAGGGAGGGCGTAGAAAGAAAGAGTCAATGCAAGTCAATGCAAGTCGGTGCAAGTCAACGCTTGAGAGTCAGCGCACCTCAAGTATGTTGACTTTATCGATCTCTGCAGGGCCAACAATATCCACCTGTGAGACAGAGCATTACAAAAAAAAAAAAAAAAAAAAAAAAAAAAAAAAACCCAAGACGGAGAAAGGATGATCCGTGTGGTGAGAAAAGCATCAAAGCAAAAAGTATAGAGAAATGATGGATAAACAATTGTAAAATATAAAATATGGGAGGCAAACAGAAAAAAAAAAAAAAAAATCCAAAAAAAGGAGAACGAACAGTGAGCAATCAGAAATGCAAGATCCTGCTAATGCACCTGCAGCACGCAGAAAGAAACACAACCGTATCATACGGCGTACCTGCAGCACGCCGTATCATACGGCATAGAAAATTTTGGAGAGTCCGTATGATGGTGTCAACTGTTTCCTCGCGTGATTTGATTTAATTGAGTTTTGCGTTGACTCAGAAGCCACATCATATCATGCAGCCATACATACGGCATAGAAAATGTCAGGGTTTCCAATAATGGCATCAAATATCTCCTCCCGTTGCTTCTCCGTGAGCTTCTTGCTGTCTGCCAGACCTGCGACAGCATGGCAAGAAGGCAGGAAGCAGGTAGGCAGGGAGGGAAGCTTGGATCATAACAACAGGCGGTTTCCAATAATGGCATCAAATATCTCCTCCCGTTGCTTCTCCGTGAGCTTCTTGCTGTCTGCCAGACCTGCAACGGCACGGGAGAAAGACACACAGCAGGGCAGTGTGACAGCAGGAAGGCAGTGCGGCAGTGAGGCAGTGAGGCAGCGAGGCAGTGAGGCAGCGAGGCAGTGAGGCAGCGAGGCCAATACCTGCAAGACATGTGGGTGAGGCAGCGAGGCCAATACCAACCCAGTAGGCACGGCGCATGCAGCAGCCACCACGGGCCCTGCCAGTAGCCCCACCACCAGTGCGATGCATGTTGCTCACATGCACGCGTCAGTCGAAACATACACCTCTCACACAGCACACACAGCACACACACCTCTCTCATAGCACACTCCCACCTGGGATCTCCAGCCCAGCAGGCACGGCACATGCAGCCGCCACCACAGGCCCTGCCAGCGGCCCTCGCCCTGCCTCGTCCACGCCATACACGTGCTTGAATCCACGCGACCATAGGGATTGCTGGGAGGGGGCGCGGGGTGGAGTGGGGAAAGGGAGACGGAAAGAGGGGTTATAGCGAGTCTGCCAGCAGCCCTCGCCCCGCCTCATCCACGCCGTACACGTGCTTGAATCCGTGGGACCAGAGGGATTGCTGGAAAAAGTGCGGAGAGAGAGCAGGGAATAGCGCGCGCGCGCGCAAACACACGCACGCCCGCCCGCCCGCCCGCCCGCAACGCACGCAACGCATGCACACACACACACACACACACACACACACACACACACACACACACACACACACACACACACACACACACACAAGGTGGCATAGTCAGGGAAGACTGTGCTCGGCCAGCGGCCCCGCGCCGCCTCATCCACGCCGTACACGTGCTTGAACCCGAGGGACCACAGGGATTGCTGGGGGTTAAGGTATGGGGGAAAAGGGGAAGGTGGGCGACGAGCAGAGGGGTTACAATGAACCCTGCTATTGGCCCTCCTTCGACCCACCTCATCCACCCCGTACACGTGCTGGAATCCCCGCATCCAGCACCGGCAAACCTGTGCTTCGGAAGCTTCCCCTTGCTATCCCTAACCCAACCCTCCTCTCCTTTTCCGCCTTACCTCAAGCGCCCTGTCCGGTCCTTGCGCCTTTCCTGCCCCCCCCTGCTCGTTTCCACTTCAATTCACCGACACCAGCACCGGCACTGGCAATACCTGTGCTTTCAAAGCTCCCGCCTTCCTATCCCACCCCCTCTTCCCCCCCAACCAGTCTCCCCCTCTTCCCCCCCAACCAGTCTCCCCCCCTTTCCGCCTTACCTCCAGCGCCCTGTCCGGTCCTTGAACATTTCCTGCCCCCCCTGCCCCTCCTGCACGCTTCCGCTTCGATTCGCCAGCGCCAGCAGCAGCAGCGCCTCTGGCGGCTGCTGCTGCTGCTGCGGAAGCGCGTTTGACTGAGATGAATGGTTTGTTGCTCGACTTTTTAGGCGCCTTAGACGCAGCACCAACGGCTGCTGCTGATGCTGAGGAAGGTTCACTCGTAAGATTCGATTGCAAGGCGGCGAGTCGCGAGGACCTTCGAGGCGCCATGGTGGAAAACAGCCGCTCCGCTTATAGACTTTGTCTGGTTAGGGACGACGAGGAGATTCCGATGGACGAATAGGTCGCGGAGAACGGCGATATCCCTCGGCTCCGAAGCGCGGATTGCCGAAGCGGGAGAAAGGCCTCGAACCACGCGGTCATTTCTTATTGTTTGGATAAATGTATCAGGGACGTATTATTTGCTACATTCTTGCTAGTAATATTTACCGTTCTGTAGCGGAAGGAGCGACGGATAAGGTGCAAGAATATCCTTTTTCTTTCTTTCTTTTTTTCTGACTTTTTCCGTTCAAGGACCGACACTCCGGTTTAGGTTGCAGCGAAGGTACACCACATGCAAGCGGAGTGACGACGATGAACTAGAGAGACCCTCAGACACCACATGCAAACGGATGCGCTAGAGAGACCCACTGTTAGTCGACGGCAGTCAACGGTAGTAACGGCCTCGTTGCGAACTGCCGTTCGCGCATTCAGGACCTTCGTTGCGTAAGAGCGCGCCGCTAGTGCGACACCAACGGAGACGGCAACGGCTATTATTATCCCTGGATTTGAATACTCGGATGGCAAAGCTTGATCATCGTCTTGTTCCTTCGTGAGTGGGTCGATGCCATGGAACGTATCCAGCTCGAAACGGTTCAGAATGAAAGACGGGTCAGTTACAACCCGTGAATTCAGGGCTGGTTTGGCAGCATGATAAACATCGCACGAAGTACATGCGATCGAAGACGCCTGGTGGAAACGCGCCCGGAAAGAAATTGTTCAAAGTGTGACTCGCTTGGGAACTAGCATAAAGAGTACCTCCCTTCTAGATGCAAACCGCTTAAATGCGTTTACATAGTGAGTAGAATGCAAGCACTAGAAGGCGCCATACAAGGTTCTTATTCATTTGGTCCCAGCTCCACAGCACCTGCACAAACAGAGTTACAAACGAAGTAGAAAAGAAGTTGCAAGATTGTGAAACGTTCATCATATGGACACCTTCATTATCTCTCCAGCACAAGCAAAGCGACTTGATGAAACTGTTGCTACTCAACCTCTGTCCATGCACCTCTCATACACCACATGCACACATGCACCTGTACCTAGCTCATTAGCTTATGGCATGATGTTACTCATACCCCAACTTTACTCATTCAAGCAAGTACCGGTAACTGATATGCTTTAACGGTGGTCACTTGCATGCACACCACTTACAACGCTTTCCAGCAGCTTTCATAGAGCCAAACAGACACCTATTGTGTGCACTTATTTCAAAGACATTATTGTAAAACGCACCTCTTGTATCTCTTCCCAGAGCCACAGGGGCACGGGCTGTTGCGAGCCGGGGCTGCTGCTGCCGAGCCTGCACCGCCAGCCGAACCAGAACTGGCTCCCGAGCCTGCTCCCTTTTTGGGTGGTGACCATGGGCCACCCATCATTTGTTCGATCTGCAGAAAAGAAAACGAGTAGGAGAGAAGGTAGGTGTCATGACTCATGCTGCATGTGCAGCAGAGGAACTGGAAGCAGCAGCAGCAGAAGCAGAAGCGGCGGCACTAGCGTTTGAACCTGCTCCTGATTTGGGAGGGGACCAAGATTCGACCATAATTCTCACCTCTGCAAATGACCGAGGAAGCGGTTTGCCTTGGTCCTGTTAGCCGCCTCCTTACACACTCGTACTCAGCTAAGAGCATGTCAAAAACAGCACTATCTTTCTATCTCAGTACTTCACTAAAAGCACCCACATCTCTCACCTCAGCAAAGGACCGAGGAAGCGGCTTCCCTTCATCTTGTAGCGCCTGCATTCTGTTGGCCGCCTCTGCGAACCACTCGTACTTAGCTAAGAGCATGTCGATTTCGCCCATGGTGCTGCCAGTTTCGCTGGCAACGCGCTGCCGCACACTGAAAGGGATCGAGAGCTGAAGGGGGAACGGGAGATGGGAGAGGAAGCATGGAAGAGGAGTGGGGGATGGGAAGTATGGGTTACTAGGGGCTAAGGGCGTGTCAATCTCGCCCGTGGTGCTGCCTGTCTCGCTGGCAACGCGCTGCCGCACACTGAAGGGGATGGATAGCTGGGGAAGTGGGGAGAGGGGGGGGGGGGGGGGGGGGGGGGGGAGGGTCAGGGGATGGGGAGAGGAAGAACGAAATAGGAGGAGTGCGGGATGCGAACCACTCGTACTTGGCTGGGAGCATGTCAATCTCGCCCATGGTGCTGCCTGTCTCCCTTGCAATGCGCTGCCGCACACTGAAAGGGATGGATAGCTGTATTGGGCGGAGGGGGGGTTGGGGGGAGTGGGGGATGGGAGAGGAAGCATAGAATAGGGGGAGAGGGGGGGATGGGAGAGGAAGCATAGAATAGGGGGAGAGAGGGGGATGGGAGGCATGGTTTACTCAGGGCTAAGGGCATGTCGACCTCGCCCATGCTGCTGCCGGTCTCGCTCGCTACGCGCTGCCGCACACTCAAGGGGATGGAAAGCTGGGAAGAGAGGAGGGGGTATGAGGCGTTGGGGAAGGGAAGCACATAGGTTGCAAGGGCAAAGCGCATGTCGATCTCGCCCATGGTGCTGGGATTGGATAGCTGGGAGAGGGGAGGATGGAGGTGGGGGATGGAGGGAAGCATGGGTTACTAGGAGCTAAGAGACGTCTCAAAACATCACTTTTATCACGTTACTAGGAGCTAAGAGACGTCTCAAAACATCACTTTTATCACGTTACTAGGAGCTAAGAGACGTCTCAAAACATCACTTTTATCACGTTACTAGGAGCTAAGAGACGTCTCAAAACATCACTTTTATCACGTTACTAGGAGCTAAGAGACGTCTCAAAACATCACTTTTATCACGTTACTAGGAGCTAAGAGACGTCTCAAAACATCACTTTTATCACGTTACTAGGAGCTAAGAGACGTCTCAAAACATCACTTTTATCACGTTACTAGGAGCTAAGAGACGTCTCAAAACATCACTTTTATCACGTTACTAGGAGCTAAGAGACGTCTCAAAACATCACTTTTATCACGTTACTAGGAGCTAAGAGACGTCTCAAAACATCACTTTTATCACGTTACTAGGAGCTAAGAGACGTCTCAAAACATCACTTTTATCACGTTACTAGGAGCTAAGAGACGTCTCAAAACATCACTTTTATCACGTTACTAGGAGCTAAGAGACGTCTCAAAACATCACTTTTATCACGTTACTAGGAGCTAAGAGACGTCTCAAAACATCACTTTTATCACGTTACTAGGAGCTAAGAGACGTCTCAAAACATCACTTTTATCACGTTACTAGGAGCTAAGAGACGTCTCAAAACATCACTTTTATCACGTTACTAGGAGCTAAGAGACGTCTCAAAACATCACTTTTATCACGTTACTAGGAGCTAAGAGACGTCTCAAAACATCACTTTTATCACGTTACTAGGAGCTAAGAGACGTCTCAAAACATCACTTTTATCACGTTACTAGGAGCTAAGAGACGTCTCAAAACATCACTTTTATCACGTTACTAGGAGCTAAGAGACGTCTCAAAACATCACTTTTATCACGTTACTAGGAGCTAAGAGACGTCTCAAAACATCACTTTTATCACGTTACTAGGAGCTAAGAGACGTCTCAAAACATCACTTTTATCACGTTACTAGGAGCTAAGAGACGTCTCAAAACATCACTTTTATCACGTTACTAGGAGCTAAGAGACGTCTCAAAACATCACTTTTATCACGTTACTAGGAGCTAAGAGACGTCTCAAAACATCACTTTTATCACGTTACTAGGAGCTAAGAGACGTCTCAAAACATCACTTTTATCACGTTACTAGGAGCTAAGAGACGTCTCAAAACATCACTTTTATCACGTTACTAGGAGCTAAGAGACGTCTCAAAACATCACTTTTATCACGTTACTAGGAGCTAAGAGACGTCTCAAAACATCACTTTTATCACGTTACTAGGAGCTAAGAGACGTCTCAAAACATCACTTTTATCACGTTACTAGGAGCTAAGAGACGTCTCAAAACATCACTTTTATCACGTTACTAGGAGCTAAGAGCCAGTCAATCTCGCCCATGGTGCTTCCGGTTTCGCTTGCAACGCGCTGCCGCACACTCAAGGGGATGGATAGCTGGGGGAGGAGGCAACGGGTGGGGAGGGAGGCGAAGGGGTCTAAAAGAAAACCATGAAGAAGAGGGAACGGGATACGGGACAAGGTATGCAATTGCTGAGAGCATGTCAATCTCGCCCACGGGGCTGCCTGCTTGTCTGTGCCAGAGTGATTACCTCCTGCTTCCTCAGAAAGCTGGTTTTTTACCCTTACCCCCTTCAACTGATACCTTTCAGAAACAGACAAGTGATTCCTGACCCGCTCGTCAGCCAGATTGGATTGGCTTCAGCGGCATATTCAGAAAGCGCCAGAGTAATAACCTCCTCCTGCTTTCCCAGAGAGCTGGTTGGTTAGCCTTACTCCCTTTAACAAAAATCTTCTAGAAACAAACAAGCCACCACTCGTCGGCCGACGACCAGTTTGGCCTCAGCAGCATAGGCAGCCAGCGCCAGGGTGACAACTTCTTGCGTCCTCAAAGAGCTGGTTACCACCTTGAATGGTTACGCTCTCATTACTCACCCGCTCGTCGGCCAGTTTGGCTTCTTGCTTCCTCAGAGAGATTGTTGCTTACTCCCTTTAACAGATACCTTCTAGAAACAAACAAGCCACCACTCACCCGCTCGTCGGCCAGTTTGGCTTCAGCAGCATAGGCAGCCAGAGCCAAAGTGATAACCTCCTGCTTCCTCAGAGAGTTTGTCACCACGCTCTGCCCGCCCTTGGGCAGACTCTTTCCGAAAGTTGTCAGCTGCCCGAACTGCCGCGCTCTCTTCAGCTGATTGGCGAATTCTGGAAGAGGAGCGGGACGGAGAGGATTCAAAATAGTATAAATAGATTATGCATATCAGTTATTATTGAGGAGTCTGGAAAACTGTACTGTTTGGAGTGATTTATTTGCTTGCCTTCGCCCCATCCCCCACTCTCACAACCCTCCACACTCCCTTCTGCCCTTTCAATCCCCCGTCTTACCCCACCATCCTCCCCCCTCCCACCTTCATACCCCCCTTCCCCCCCCTTCTCCTTCCCCCGCGTAAAGGCCCTCCGCGTGCGTCAAGCACTTCGGCTCCCCCGCCTTCCCCTTACCCTCCCTCCCCTCCCCCTGCCCCCCCTCCCCGTCTTTCCCCTTCCCTCTACTCCCCCCTCCCTGCCTTCCCCCCACTTTCCCTTTCCCCCTCTTTCCCCCTCCCCCCTCCACCCCTCCCCTCCCCTCCCCTCCCCTCCCCTCCCCTCCCATCCCCCTGCCCACCTGTAAGACCCTCCGCGTGCGTCAAGCGCTTCTTCTCCCCCGCCTTCCCCGCGCCGCCCTTCCCAAGCCGCAGAAAGGTCTGGAACCGCGACAGCCATCCGCCGCCGCTCTCCCCCTTGCCCTCCGCCTCCGCCGCTGCTCCGCCTCCCCTTCCCCCCGCTCCCTGCCCCTCTCTCTCTTCCCCTCCCCCGCCGAACAGCAGATTCCAGCCCCTGCGCTCGCTCCCAGCCTTATCCGAGCCTGGACTCGAGGCTCGGTTGGCGCTCGCTGCCGAGGCTAGTGGCGAGCCTGCTGGTGCGCTCGCTGCCGGAGCTGCGGTTCGGCCCGTGCCTGAAACGTAACTCCGCGCCGCGAAAGGAACGGCTGGTATTCGGCCCCTCCTTTCACTCGTCGCGAGAGGAACGACCGCATCAGCCGCCGCGAAACGCGACGCGATCGGCGCGAAAGGCGGCGCGGCCTCCTGGAACGAGTCAAGACGCGCGTCGCCGATCGCGCGACTCGAGAGGATTTGCGGAATTGTCGCGGGAATTATTCCCGAGGACAGAGCATTCCGCGACTTGCTCGTCAGATCGGGCTTGCGACGCGAGACTTTAGAGGCCGACGCGGAAACGACGCGCAACGCAGCATGGCGCATCGCGTTAGACCCGATAAAACGGAGATGTAATGCAAGAGAAGGTGCTGCCAGAAAAAGGCGAGGATAGCCCGATAGAAACAAGGATTCTGGGGAACTGCAGGCAACAGCCTGTACTCGCTACAGCACGCTGCACTGATTGGACTCTGATTGTGTACAATATTACTGATCCACAGGCGAATTGGCAGACGCAGGACAATTTCATGGCATATGAAAAAAAAAAAAAATCACAACCATCAACTATTGCTTGAGCATTTCTTCTTCTTTTAACAGCAGGGCGCGAAGAAATTGCTCTCCTCTCGCCGTCTCCCTGACAGCCATCGGATCGTCGGCGATGAACCAAGTAGAATCAACGGCCGAGATCTGCACGCAATCAGAGTGGCCGACTGTGAGCTCAATGTTAAAGATGAGAACAAGAAAAAGAAAAAGGGGGGGGCCTTCCCGCGCCTACCTTTCCCTGAGTGTTCATTTCGAATCTCGTCTTGCCGACCAGAAATATTGGATCCTCCTCACTCTCCTTGTCCTCTCCCTCCTTGCCTCCCTCCCCTTCCTTCCCCTCTTCACTACCTTGCGTACCCTGCCCTTCTCCCTGCCCAGATTTCCCCCCACCGCCCCTCCTGCTGCCTCCTTTCATTTGACTTCTCTTCTCCCCCTCCACTTCCTCCTCCTCATCCCCTTGCCTCCATGTATCTGTTCTCTTATCACCACCAAGCTTCCCATTCCCTTGCACTCCCCTCCCCTCATCCTGCCCCTCCTCTGCAGGAAGGTTCCTCCTGATCTCCGCCTCGTGCGCAGGAAGGTTCCTCTCCCACCAGTCTGACAGCCCCATGCCTGCCACTGCTTCCCGCCCGCTCTTAGCTAAAAGAATGGTCCAAAGGGCAGTGATCCAGCGACGGTCTGGAGAGGGGTGTAGGGAGAAAATATCAGGTTATTGAGATGCCTGCCGGTACTTAGCTAAGAGGATGGTGCGGAGGGCGCTTATCCAGAGACGGTCTGAAGGGGGGTAATGTGAGAAAGGATCAGGTCTCAAAACATGCATCTTTACCACTGCTTTCCGCCCGCTCTTAGCCAAAAGAATGGTCCAGAGGGCAGTGATTTCACGGAAGTCTGAATGGGGGTGACAGGAGAGAGGATCAAGTTAGGAGAAGGAACTGGGTTACAAAACACGCCTGCCCGTCACTGCTTCCCACCCGCTCTTAGCTAAAAGGATAGTCCGGAGGGCCGTGATCCAGCAGCAGTTTGAAGGGAAGTTACGCAGCAGCGGCTCACCTGGTTCCTTCACGAGTGTTTCCGAGTAGAGATGGTGCAGATGCAAGTGCCCCCCTGCTGACCCCACCAGGTGCAGCCAGTGCTGCCATCTGCACTCACACGAAGGAGAATGGGCATGCACAGTGTGTTTTGAGGCGCCTAAGAAAACACATTGCCCAGCATAGCACCAAGGTGACCCCCTGCTGACCCCATGAGCCACTGCTGCCACTGCTGCCACGTGGAAAGGTCTCATCCCATCGGCACGATCAGCCTGAAAACCACCTGAAGGCATTGGAACCACCTGCGGGAGACTATGCGCACATGATCAGCCTGAAAGGATACCACACGGATAGACAATCATCCCACCAATCTCATCGACTCACGCCTTCCCTGTCTCACCTGCCCTGTCCCCTCACGCACACCACAGGGTTCTGCACTCGAACCCCCTCCTCCACCAGTCCCAGCGCAAAGATATCCACTGGCTCCTCCTGTTGTGCCTGTGCCTGTTGTGACGTCTCAGAAGGATTTCGCCCTGCCACTATGCGACTCGTATCTCTTTTGAGAATTCTCAAATGCGACTCATCTCTCCCATCTCACCTGCCCTTCCCTTGAACGCACACCACAGGGTTCTGCACTCGAACCCCCTCCTCCACCAGACCCAGCGCAAATATATCCACTGGCTCTTCCCCTTGTGCCTGTGCCTGTTGCCGCTGTTGCTGCTGCTGCTCCTGCCTCTCCTGCTGCGGTTGCTGCTGTTGCTCCTGAAGCTGTTGCTGCTGTTGCTCCTGAAGCTGTTGCTGCTGTTGCTCCTGAAGCTGTTGCTGCTGTTGCTCCTGAAGCTGTTGCTGCTGTTGCTCCTGAAGCTGTTGCTGCTGTTGCTCCTGAAGCTGTTGCTGCTGTTGCTCCTGAAGCTGTTGCTGCTGTTGCTCCTGAAGCTGTTGCTGCTGCTGCTCCTGAAGCTGTTGCTGCTGTTGCTCCTGAAGCTGTTGCTGCTGTTGCTCCTGTCCTTCCTCTTGCTCCTCCCAGTCCCTCTGGCCATCCCTTCCGTGCCCCTTCTTGGAGAGCGAGTGCGGGAGGAAGAGGCGGAGGGCTGTCAGCAGGTCCTGAAGCTTGTCGATCATCGCAGAGGCTGGGGAGGGGCGGGGGTGGTTTGGAGGGGAGGAGGGGAGGGCGGATTGAAGGGATGGGTGCGGCGATTGTGAGGGCTGTCAGCAGGTCACGAAGCTTGTCGATCATTGCAGCAGCTGGGGGAAGGGAGGGTTATAGGGGAGGAAGGGGTTGGGGATTGGAGGGGAGGAGGGGGTTAGAGGGGAGAGAGCGTGTGGGAGGAAGAGGCGGAGGGCTGTCAGCAGGTCACGAAGCTTGTCGATCATTGCAGAGGCTATAGAGGGAGACGTGAACACAAGAGGTGCATTAGAGGAGGGAAAGCAAGAGATGCTGAGAGGAGGGTCAGTGCGCATTGGAGGTGCGCTTCTGTGTCGAACCCTGGGGGAGGGTTTTGAGAATTCTCAAAAGCCAGCTCGTGCGCTTGGAGGTGCGCATTAGAGGTGCGCTTCGCATTAGACACGGCTTTTGAGGTTCCTCAAAACACGGGATACACAGAGCAATGGACGGAAAGGACACCACAGCAGCACCAATGCACAGCCCAGGGTCATTACCCAGACGCACAGAGGAAACAGAAATCGCACCCATCCACCCACCCACCTTCACCGTCAATTTTTCGGGGAGGGGCGTAGGGGTAGGGCGTGTCTAGCGCCTCCCTCTCGATCACATCCCCCATGTAGGGAGGCAGACAGAGGGGAGACACAGCAACGGATAGACAGACCCACAGCCCAAAGCCACCCACTTACCTCACCCACCCACCTTCACTGTCAATCTCTGGCGGGGGGGCGTAGTCATAGGGCGTGTCTAGCGCCTCCCTCTCGATCACATCCCCCATGTAGGGAAACACACCAGCCGTGCGGGCTAGATCTGCCATGAGGCAGTGAAAGGGAAGATGGGAGGTGCTAATATGAGATTTTGTGACAGTAATAAGAGTAGCAGCACGGTGTGTCTAGCTGCTCCCTCTCAATCACATCACATCACCCATGTAGGAAAATACACCGGCAGTGCAGGCTAGATCTGAATTGAGGCAATGAAATACGGGGAGATGAGAGATGGGAATGAATGATTGTGACCAAAATTAGGAGTAGAGGCGTGTCGAGCCTCTTCCTTTCAATCACATCTCCCATGTAGGGAAACACACCAGCCGTGCAGGCTAGATCCGCAGTGACATGGGAAAGTGAAATCGGAGATGAGGCGCTTGAGAGAACCGTGTTGAAGGAATTCGGCAGAATGAATGACCCCGTAACTTCGGGGTGACTTTTGAGTCGACTCAAAAGGTGACTTTTGACTTTTGAGTCGACTCAAAAGATGACTTTTGACCTTTGAGTAGACTCAGAAGATGACTTCTGACTTTTGACTAGAATCAAAAGATGAATTCTGACTTTTGAGCAGACTCAAAAGATGACTTTGACTTTTGAGTCAACTCAAAAGTCACCTCGAGATGAGGCGCTTGAGAGAACCGTGTTGAAGGAATTCGGCAGAGTGGGAGAAGGGGGTCATCCTGGAGAAGGAACTCGGCAGAATGAACCCATAGCTTCGGGAGAAGGGGTGCTTTTTTTTTTTTAAAAGCAAAGTGGCACATCCGTGGATGAGAATGGGGATTTAGCTTTTACCTCCGTTCTTACCTATGCTTCAAGTTATTTCGCAGTCATCTCACCCGGAAACCGTTCCTAAGCTTCCTGCTTCCATCGCAACCCTACAGCCCCCCCTTTCTCCATTTAAGCTCTCTTACCCGGAAACCGCTCTTGAGCCTCCTGCTTCCATCGCAACCCCCCGACCGGGGCACTCAGCGGGTGCACCTTCCCAGAAGCTTCCATCTCCTCCCACAGCCGCGCCACTGCCTCAAACTCGGCCTCTGCTGCCTCCTCCTCCTGCACGCCCTCCTCCCACTCCCACCCTGGGATATGCTTGTACTCTTTACGGTTGTACTCGTTATGGTTGGACTCGTTACAGTCGTGTGGAACGGGCTCAGCTGATTTATTCCTGCCACTTTCGTCAGTGCCAATATTCCTATCATCTGAAAAGCTGCTGCTGCTGTTGCTGCTGCTGCTACTGCTGCTGCTGCTGCTGCTGCTGCTGCTACTGCTGCTGCTGCTGCTGCTGCTATTGCCACTGTCACTACTGCTGCTGCCACCATCCCTATTCTTGCCATTCCTATTGATATGGAAACCTCTTCCTACTTTGTCCCTACCGTCCTCGCTCCACCGAACCTGCTCCGAGCCTCCGACACCCATTTGGTCCAGAAACGCGGCAAGATCCGGCTGAGCCTGTTCCGAACCTCTGTCAGCTGGCTCTTGGCTAAATCCGAGCCTGTCTTGGTTCAGTAGGTTTGGAAACTCATTAGACTCAATGGGTCTGCTACCAATACCGGACCTCCTGTCTAGGTTCGGGAAGATGGAGGCTCGAATTTCCTCTTGGCTCGGCATGGAGGAATAGTTAATAAATCGAATTTTGGTGGGATCTATCCCCTCCCATCTAGATGCCCCGGCAGGTTCAGACGTGGCAGAAGATGATGAGGTGGCGGATGATGACGTGGCAGGTGGGGACGTGGCAGATGGTGACGTGGCGAATGCTGATGTGACAGAAGCTTCTTGGAAAGGAGGAGGAGAAGCATGCTCCCGGACGTCTTTCCCCTCCTCTGCATGGATTGCCGTTTCCATTTGCGTCGACATTTTATTACCCTCCCCTTTCCCCTTCCGTTTCGCCTTCCCCTTCTCTTTCCTCGCCTCCTCCTCCTCCTCCTCCTCCTCCTTCCTCTCTGCCTTTCTCTCATTCACCTCTCTCCCTTTCTGTGACTGATGAAGTCCCTTTCTTTCCCGTAGAACATCCAATACTCGGCTCTTCTTATCCTCCCCTTTAACACCTTTTCCTCCCCCTCCACTCTTCCTTTCCTTCTCCCTCTGCTTGCTCTTATCCCCCTTCTTTTTCTTGGCCTTCTTCGATTTCCCCGCTCCTTCCCCAGCCGCTACAGCTTCCGACGTAGTTAATCTCCTCCAAAAACCCGAGCTTAATCCATCCCGTAGAGGTGTAGTAGGCTCTGCTGTAGTTAATCTCCCCCAGGAACGTCTGAGGAGTGTAGGAGGCTCGGCCACACTCGTAGTTAATCTATCCCAGGAACCCGTGTATACGTGGCAGGAGGTATAGTGTCGTGCTGTTTGGAGGATCGGAGTACGCGGGCCGGAACAATACGGAAGCACGTGGAGCGTAGAAGCTTCCATGACTCGATAATAGCGAAGCTCAAAGTTGACCTCTGAGTCAACTCAAAAGTCAACGCGGGATATCAGGTTTCCAGAAACAGGAATCTCGTTTCCTTGCCCTATTCCTGTTTCCGGGGCGCCAGAAACCTAACAGGGAGGAAATTTCTGTTTCAGGCGCCTCGGAAACTGGAATAGGGCAAGGGAACGAGGCCAGGTACGCGGAAATGCAGTAAGTAATGGACGAATGGTGGATCTACAGCCAAAAGCACGAATCCGGGGAGCCCGCTATAGTAGCATTTAACAATGTGTGCGAAGCGGTATGCAGTATCGCCAGGCTATGCTGCTGCAGATGGATGCCCTGAAAGCTCAATGGAACTCCTGGGGAAATATAACTCTAGATGATCCGTTTTGTAGGGATCTGAGAAAGAAAATAATAAGAATTTGAACCTTGGTAAAACCAGGAATTTTGAAGCCTAAAAGCGAGTGGACTCCACCGAACTTTCTAAAACTTTTATTGATTAAATTTCGTATTCATACTGAATGAAGGATTTTATAACGCGGAGCGAGGTCGTTTCAAGAGAGTACAAAACCTGGAAGATAGTTTCTCGCCCTCGATATTTTCCTGGTCGGGATTTCACCAGATCCATTCTGGCTTGATAGCCTAAACTGTCTGCTGCACCCTCGATAGTTTCTTTTGACTTCCTCCGCGGAAAAACCGGGCCTGAAGCAGACTGCATTGCCACTGGAACGAACGGAATTGTTCATAGTCTAAGGGTACGGTCCGCTTTTCCAGCCAAATGGCGTCAGCGATTTCAACCGCCCCTAGCGCTATAATCACATTCAGCCACAGTCACACCGTCGCGGTGGTTTCCCCCGCGGATTCCCGCCATTCATTCATGATATCCGCGCACGGTGCTACATCTGCGGGGCTACAGCCGTATGCGTCGCAACTGGCCCGCGCGGGCTACTGCGAGAGACTTCCGAGCGGGCAATTCACCTCGCGCCGGTCGCTCGCGGAGCGGAACGCATTTCGCGGAACTGCAGCCCCGCGCGGAACAACCTCCCCTAGGAAGGCTACTTTGGTCTCCGCCATCCGCGGCGGCGGCGGCGGAGGCAGCGGCGGAAGCGGAGGGGACGACGCGGCGGAATGGTGGGAGCGCGAGGAGAGGCGCTGGGAGCGCGAGCAGCAGCGATGGGAACGGGAAGAGCTGCGGTGGGAACGCGAGGAAGCGCGGTGGGCGCGTGAACGCGCATCCCTCGAATCGGAGATCGCGGCGCTCGAAGCGGAAATCGAATCTCTCCGCGCAGCACTCACAAGCGCGGGGGTAGGGGGACTGGCGCAGAACTCCCCCCCTCTCCTCCCCCAGGCGCAGGCGCAGCTGGCGGAAGCGGTTGGCGGGGGAATAGGCGGAGGAGTACGGGGAACCGGGGGAGTGGGGAGTGATCTCTCGAAGCAGCAGCTACTCGTTCTGCTGCGGGGGCTGCTGCACCTGCTACAGATAACTACGGATAGCCACCGAGCCAGCGAGGTAGCCACGTCAGCAGCGATTGCCACGTCATCAGGAGTGATTGCTGGCGCCGGTGCGGAGAGCCTGCTACAGCTGCTGGGGCCGAAGGATTCAGCTACGGGCAGTGCTACAGCCGAAGCTACATCTGGAGCTTCAGGTGGAGCTACAGCCGTTGATGGAGTTAGATCTACGGCCGGCGTTGCAGGAGGAGCAACTGCAGAGGAAATCTTGAGGAACATTCCTGATGCTGACATCATCGCGGCTGTAGCGTCGCGTACAGTGAACCCGCTTCCTGCTGACGTGGACGAGGGCGGCGCTGACGTGGCAGGGGGCGCAGGGAAGCAGGAGGAAGGCGCGAGGAAGGTTCAGCGGAAGCTGAATCGGGGGCTGTATGGAGATGACGTGGCTCGATTGCAGGTACAGTGACGTTTGGAATATGTTTGCAGATATATGTGTGTGTTTATATATATTTTTTTATCGAGTGAATGTTGTAGCGTGAATTGGGGGGCGTATGGAGAGGACGTGCAGTAACTGGCTGGAGGCCGAGGAGGATGAGTTCTACTGTCCCTCACTCTGATGAGAGCCAGAAGGAGAACATGATGTGATTCAAAATGATTCTGGCCGTTTTACCCTGTGTGTGTTCTCGTATGAGCGTGCACGCTGCGTTGGCCATTCAGGGGTTCTACTGTGGGAGGAGGACGAGGATGATTGTATAATCATGAAGCCGTGTGTCGTTGTGCATGTTCTCGTATGTGCCTGCCAGCTGTGTTGGCCATTCAGGGATTCTATTGCGGGGAGGAGGACATGGAGGGTTGTAAAAATATTCTCTCGCTCCAAACTCTTATGCTTTCATGTGATGCTGCGTACGTGCGCGCAGGCTACGTTGGCCATTCAGGGGTTCTACTGTGGGAAGGAGGACTTGAATTCGTGTCCCGCTCTTAAATATCATGTGATTAAATATCACGAAACCATGGTGCCCTTGTCTATGTGCTCGCAGGCTGCGTTGGCCATTCAGGGGTTCTACTGTGGCGAGGAGGACGTGGAGGATGCGTTTTTTGGCTCCAACACGGAGAGTGCTGTGAAGACGTGGCAGGTGAGGGAGTGATGGGATGGAGGGCGAGTGATAGGGGCGCATGGGAAGGGTAAAGGACTGTGATGCAAGGGAAGGGTAAAGGACTGTGATGCATGGGAAGGGTAAAGGACTGTGATGCATGGGAAGGGTAAAGGACTGTGATGCATTCTACTGTGGGGAGGACGACATGCAGGATGCGTTTTTTGGCACCAACACAACACGGAGAGTGCTGTGATGTGAACGCGTGGCAGGTGAGGGAGAGTGCTCTTTCGGCAGGTAAGGAAGGGATTGGCTCAACAGGTAGGAAGGGGATTGTCGCACCAATTTGTGCTTCCCTCTTGCCTGCTTCTGCTCCTGGCTGCTACCACCTTTGATTCAAGAGATGTTTTGAGACGCGTTTTGAGATGAGACGCCTCAAAACACTTCTTTTATCAGGAAGGGAGTGTCGCGGAAGGCTTCCCTCTTGCCTGCTTCTGCTCCTGACTGCTACCTCCTTTCCCTCTATTCTGGCCCACACGTCCTTCACTCCTTCACTCCATCTTTCCCTTTTCTCCCAAGGCTCATCTGAATTCCGCCTTCATGAACCGCACGGGCAACTCCTGAGTCAACTCAAAAGTCATTCTCGCTCACTCCTCCCTTTACTCCCACTCGCTCCCAAGGCTCGTTTGTGTTCTGTCTTGATGAACCGCACAGGCAACTCCCCGGTGGGACTCTCTTCCTTCCAATACTCGCTCCTTAAGGTGAACTTTGAGGCGACTTGAAGCACATTCTGGCCCACTCTCCTTCCTTCCTTCACTCCGCCTCGCAAGGCTCGCCTGGGTTCCGTCTTGATGAACCTCTCGGGTCTTGACGAGCGAGCCTTGCTGAACCGCACGGGCAACTCCCCGGTGGGACTCTCCTCCTTCCAATACTCGCTGCTGAGGGTACTCTTGTCTTCCCATGCGCACCCCTGCGCCCCCACCCTCTAAAAGAGATCTTTTCCCACTAATCTTTCCACTTGTCTGATGCATCAGATCATAAAGTCCCCCCTCCTCCTCTCGGCCATTCCTCCTCTCTTTCCCCCCTCTCCGTCCTTGCTTCCCTCTTCCCTTTCCACCCATCCTCCCATCTCCAGGCAACCATGCAGCTTCAGCAAGATGGCATTATTGCACCAAACCACTTCTCTCCCCCACCCGTTCTCCCTTTCCCCCTTCCTGTCTCCCCTCCTTCCCCCCGTACTGCCATGCTCCCATCTCCAGGCAACCATGCGGTTTCAAGGAGATGGCATTATCTCACCGGGCCTCTTCAGTGGCTTCGAGTCAATCATTAACCTTCCCCTTCCTCCCCTTCCCCCGTTCGCCACCTCGTCCTCCCCACCGTGCTCCCATCCCACCTCCAGGCAACCATGCGGCTTCAGGAAGATGGTGCCGTCACACCGGGCCTCTTCAGTGGCTTTAAGTCGATCGCGAACCCCCACTTCCCTTCCCTCCCCTGGTCCCCCTTCCCCATACTCCCATCTCCAGGCAACCATGCGGCTTCAGGAAGACGGTATTGTCACACCAGGCCTCTTCTCTCTCCTCGTTGGCAATCCCAAACCAGCCGCCGAACCAGCCACCAAACCAACCCCCGAACCAGCACCCGAACCTCCCGCAAAGCCTTCAACCAAGCCTTCCTCCTCAGCATCCTCCCCAGAGTCAGCTTCCCCCCGCGCCCCCCTGCCACGCGGGAAAAGAGAGAGATTGAAAGATATGCTAGGAGTGATCTAGAGATGGGGGAGAGACGGGTGTTTCTGCTAGGGGAGAATCGCTGGGAGGATCCGAACGCGTTGATTGGTCGACGCGGGGAGAAGGATGAGGGGAAGGACGAGGGCGGGGAGGAAGAGCAGGAGGAGAGGGGGGAGGTGGAGGGGAAGGGGAAGGGGAGAGGAGGGAGGGATTTGGTGGATGTCAAGGGGAAGGGGAAGAAGGGGAAGAAGGGAGGGGAGGGCGGGTTGAAGCCTGTTGCTGTTGCATGCTTTCAGTGCAGAGGGGAGGGCAGCGTCGTTTGCATGGGTGAGTTGATCTGGTTAAGTTGATGTGCGTGTGTATGTAAACATACTATTAGTGTGAATCCCCATCTGGCCACCCCCCTCTATCAACCCCCTCTATCACCCCCCTCTATCAACCCCCTTTACCAACCCCCTCTATCAACCCCCTTTACCAACCACCTTCGCCATCCCCCCCTTGCCAACACTCCCTTACCAACTCTTCCTTGATCCCTCAACCTTAACCCCTTCTTGTGCACTCCTTTTCCACTTCCCTTTGCAGAGTGTGAGGGCACGGGGGACCTTAACATCGAGGAACAGGTAAATCCACATCCCTCGGATGGTTCAGAAGAGCATCAGGACGATGGGGACGTCAACTTATGCGCATGTGAAGCATTTCCATGTTTTTGTTTTTTGTTGTTTTTTTTTCATATGTTTATTTGCTCATAATTTCTTTGGTTTGTGTGAGCGTCATGTGGAGCTTATCGTGTCATGTGAGCGCCTCACCTCTTTTCAACATCAATTGGCCAATGTCTGACTGTACTTCCTTTCCTTGCATTCCGTGCAGTTTCTTGATTGGGTGGAGGAAGGCGCTTGCTGCCTCTATTGTAATGGCACTGGGGCCATTACATGTGATTTGTGCGATGGCTCTGGGAAATGAGTTTCCATTGTAAGTTTAATGAGGAAGGTAGGTGTTCCCATTTAGTGTTTCACTGTCTCTCCAGGCTACAATCGACATCGCATGTATCGCGGAAACCGTAGATTTTCCTTCTGGGCTTGCAGAATTCCAGGAATGTAGGGCGGCCGAGACACACGCTCGGAGTCCAGATTGTGCTGTAAGTCTTGTAACGAGTGCAAGCACACGCCTACGATGTGCCATTAACATATTGCGCATCGATTCGAGTCGCACGCCATGCCTTGTAAGCGCGTATCTCGAGAAGGCAGCTCAGCAAATTAGCAGATTCGGGCGAGTGCGAAATGGAAGTGCGAAGGTCGTGCGACTCATCTTCTTCGCCCGATTGCCAATCGACGATCGATCGATGAATTCATCCAAGATCGATCGATGATCCGTCGGTTCTCCGCAGACTTGGCGGCACGGTAATTGGACAAGTCGCAGCCAACAGCCAATAGCAGTCTCCCGCCGCTCGACTTCATTCCAGCCCACACATGTTTCTTGCATCACTAGCCAGCAGGCACAACAGGCAGAGCAGTGAAACCCACCTTCTCCAGACAGGAAATGCCCTAAATGCCCAGACGTTTCCATTTAGGCATAGTTTAGGTAAGATTCAATCCGATATTGCGCGAGTCACGCGTAGAATCTGTACAATGACCCCAGCGGAGAAGTCCCTTTCGCTGCTCAGCCCATCTGCAATGCTCCGAAAAATGGCGGTGGAGTCGTCTGGTTACGCTTACCCCATCCTCAAAATCGCCTTCATATTTGTCACACTGGCCCTGCTGTGCATATTCGGCACGCGTGAGTACTACGAGGTGCAAGAGGAGATTAAAGAGTTCTACGACGAGATCGAAAAGGCGCCGTGTAACAACACAGCAATCCTGTACATCTCCCGATCAAAATATTTCTTCTGCCCGATAGCCCCCTCGGCTTCCGCGGAGGCAGCTGCAAAAAGGACGGAAGCGGGACTTGCGGCGGCAAGAGCGACAAACCAGCCTCCGAAAAGCAGCGACACCGCAGCTTTCGACGAGGAGATTGACGAGCCCGAGCCGCCACGCGACGGGTGCGACGAAGCGTGGGAGTGGTTCACCGACACCAGCGGCGGCGGCGACGGCGGCGGAAACAGCGGCGGGGATGACGGCGGAAGTAACGGTGGCGATTCTACGTCGGCTCCGCGCGGAAGAAGGCTCCTCCAAACCCGGCGACGCGCGAAAAGGTCGCCAGTGGATTACGAGGCAAATGACCCCAGCGGCGTTGACTTTGACGACCAGAATCCGTCCACGTACCCGCCCACGTGGACGCGCGCTTCGGGAATTCCGCGGCGCGAGCGTGGAAAGAACTGCAAGGCGGAATGGGTTACTTACTCCACCTTTTCCGCCGTGGGACTGAATCGCCTCGCTGACGTCACAAGCATGATTAACCTGCCGCTGGCAGTTGTCGGCTTGCATCAACCGTGGAACGGATTCCGTCCCCGTCTGGTAGCCGTGCTCGAGTACGTCCAAAGCTTGCCGCCCGACCGCATCGTCATCGCGACAGACGCTCTGGATGTAACGCCCGTGCCGTCCTGTTCGGCCGACCGTATCATCTCGGCGTTTTTGAGTTTCAACGCGCCGATCGTTTTCGGGGCAGAGCCGTACTGTTTCCCGGATAGACTTGAGGATAAATACCCGCCACTTCCGCCTGAAGCAGCGGCGATAAACACGCAGTTTAAGTACCTCAACGCGGGGACATATGTGGGATACGCGTGGGCAGTTACTGTTGCGCTTAAAGCCGCTTTAGCGAACCCCGTTAGTTGGTTTGACGATCAGCGGGAGTACACTCGGTTGTTCTTAAACCAAACGCAACTGTTGCCGTTCATATCCAAATGGGAATACGAGCAGCAGAGGATTTTGCGGCGGCGGCTGCGGCGCGAATGGAGGTTCGAAGATAAGATCTGGAAGTGGCGGCGCGTGGTGAAGACCATGGAGGCGCGACTCGCGGCGCGACCCGTGATTGTTCTCGACCACATGAACGGCCTGGTTCAGAACCTGTTAGGAACCAACGATGAGGATTACGAGGTCGTTGACTTGAGGGAAATCCAACGGCAGCAGCAGCAGGAAGGGGAGGAGAGGAACGGCCTTGCCAGTACCAGCGGTAGCGGCAGCAGGCGAGCGCAACCTTTCCCCCCGCTTCTCCCCCTCTCGCCCCTCCCCCAATGGCCGTCCGCGCTGCACCTGGGCTTGCGCAACAGACACACGGGGGGGTTACCGTGCCTTCTGCACGAGCAAGGGGAGAAATTCAACAACACGCTGCCCGTGCTACAGCTGCTTGTGCGGCTACAGATTGACGAGGCGCGGGCAGGCAAGGGGTACATTCCGTGGTGGCGAGTGGGGTGGCTGCATAGAGTGGGCAAATATAAGACTTAATTCGATTTTGGAATGTATGAAGTCAAGTTACCCATGCTACAGCTGCTGATCCGGCTACAGATTGACGAGGCGCGGGCAGGCAAAGGGTACGTTCCGTGGTGGCATGTGGGGTGGCTGCATAGAGTGGGCAAGTACAAAACCTAGTGGTTCTTTTAAAGTGTATGAAGTCAAGTTATTCCTGCTACAGCTGTTGGTGCGGCTACAGATTATCGAGGTGCGGGAGTACATTCCTTGGTAGCGCGTGTGTTGGCTGGGCAAATATAAGACTTTATGAGGTTTTTTAGTGTATGGAGCCAGTTACCCCTGCTACAACTGCTGGTGGGGTGGCTACAGCCTGATGACGAACGGGTAGGCACTAGGTACAATTTGTGGTAGCATGTGTACAGCTCCTGGTGAGAAAACCGATGGGAATGGCACGGCCTGACAAGTGCTACATATGGGCATGGCTTGGGCGGGCAAGGGCTAAAGAATAGTTGATTCACATGTACCATCATATGTGTGCATACTATTATATATACTAGTATACCACCGAACCATGTACACTCTACAGGGTGCATCATACACACCACACAAAGCCTGGTATGTAGAAGCGTTCCTCCTCCCTTCTCTATGCACATTGCATAATCAGCAATAAACCGTAGCGGCAGAAGGAACCCCTACCATTAGCACCAGCGACCAGTCCCATCCCATTACCTGCTCTACTCCACTCCCTTCACTCCGTAGGCCCCGTGAGTACAGAAGTAACCCCCCACCATTAGCCTCACCCTGCAGGAGGAATGATTCGTTCAGGCGCCCCCTCCCACAGAGGTAGTGGTGGTGGTGCTATTCGCGTAACCGCTGCTGCTACTGCTGCTGCTGCTGTTACGCTTCCTACTGGATTTACCATAAGCATACACAGTCATCTTTACTTTCAAACCCGCCTTGCAATCGCCCATAAAGCTGCTTCCGAAGTAGAGAGTGGACCCAACCATGCTGGGCTTGATGAAATAGAGCGTCCATCCCACCGGCGAGTAAGGGAAGATGAGTTTTGAGCCGGAGAAATCGCAGTTGGTCCACTTGGTTTCGGACTCAAAAAGACGCACGTCGTGAGTGAGAGGGCTGACCCAACGGAACACTGGAAATGAGGAAGAGGGAAGGGCATGGGAGGGGGGTGGAGGGGGAGGTGGAAGTAGAGGGAATGGAGGGAATGGAGGGAATGGAGGGAATGGAGGGAATGGAGGGAACACGGGTGCATTTGGGCTTCAGACTCAAAAAGACGCATGTCGTGAGTGGGAGGGCTGACCCAGCGGAACACTGCAGTGTGGGAGGGGAGGACGGGCGGGGGAGTGGATGTGGTGCGGGGGGGAGGGATGCGGAACATTGGAGTTGAAAGAGAGAAGTTGCGATGGCTTTGAACTCAAAGGGTCGCACGTCGAGAAGGGCTCACCCAGTGGAACACCGGAGGGGGGCCGGGGGCAGTGGGGAAGGGAGAAGGGGAACAGCTTGGGCGGCGTCCAGTCCCACTGCATGCTGCTGTGGCTTCACTCCCCTGCAGCCCGCAGTGCCTTCACTCCCACTGGCGGGTGCCTTCACTCCCCTGTACGCGATTTAGAGGGACTCCATGCACGAACTCCTCTATAAGCCAACAATACACTTACGCAAGAAATAGTTTGGGTACAGCTTCGGAGGCGTCCAGTCCCACTGCACACCGCGGTGCCACGGACGAATGTGATAAGGCAGGATGCCCCTCTACGCGTTTTAAGCGCACTCTTTACACAAACTCCGCTATAAGAAAAGTGTACACTCACGCAGGAAATAGTTGGGGTACAGCTTCGGAGGCGTCCAGTCCCACTGCACGCCGCGGTGCCATGGGCGAATGTGGTAAGGCAGCACTCCCCCCACCGTCACCTTGTACGTCCGCACCCCTGGGATCTCCTGAAGATCCCTGCGCGCGGCCTGGGGTGCAGGAGAGGTTAAAGGGGGATTGGGAGGGGGGGAGGGAGACGGGTGTGGGGAGAGAGTCAGGAACGGCATCAGCATGCCCCTCATCGTCACCTTGTACGTCCGTATTCCTGGGATCAATTTTGAGAATTCTCAAAAGTGATTTGAAGGTGTATGCTTGAAGTCACTTTTGAGAATTCTCAAAATTGATTTCAATGTAGCAGCACGCCCCTCACCGTCACCTTGTACGTCCGTATTCCTGGGATCTCCTCAAGATCCCTCCTCGCGACATAATAAGCTTGGGATGGGAACGTGATACGGCAGCAGCAAACTCCCCGCCGTCACCTTGCACGTCCGCACCCCTGGAGTTCCCTGCAGCCCCCTCCGCGCGGCCTGGGGTGCAGGAGAGGTTAAGGGGGGGAAGGAGAGGGAGATGGAGGGGTGTTGCGAGTAATGAGCGGAGGCAGCTCGCTCCCCACCGTCACCTTGCACGTCCGCACTCCCGGAATCTCCTGAAGCTCCCTCCGCGCGGCCTGGGGTGTGGGGGGGGGGGGGAGGCGAAGAAGTGACTCGGGGGAGGCGGAGTTGCGTCGCGAATGGCAGAACGCCGCTTCCTCCTCACTCCCGGAATCTCTGGGAGGCGAAAGGTGAGCGAGTGAGGGGAAAGGTGAGCGAGTGAGGGGAAAGGTGAGCGAGTGAGGGGAAAGGTGAGCGAGTGAGGGGAAAGGTGAGCGAGTGAGGGGAAAGGTGAGCGAGTGAGGCGAAAGGTGAGCGAGTGAGGCGAAAGGTGAGCGAGTGAGGGGGCGGCGGAGTTGCGACGCGAATGGAAGAACCCCGCTTCGTCCTCCCTCCTTCACGCCCGAATGGACGCGAATGGAAGAACCCCGCTTCGTCCTCCCTCGTTCTGGTTTTTGAGAATTCTCAAAAACCGCTTCGTCCTCCCTAGTTCACGCCCGAATTCTCCTGCAGCCCCCTCCGGCGGCGGGGTGCGGGGGGAAGGCGAGGCGGAGGGGAGAAGGGGGAAAGCGGGGGATTGTGAATCGCGAACGGCAGCAGAGCGCCCCCCCCCTCTTTTTTTTTTGGGGGGCTTTTGGGTGAGCAGAGCGCCCCTGCCAGGCGCGCGAAGCGCAACGTCCAAGCAGGGGGCCGATCGTCGCGCATTGCGAAGTCACGGCCGGCAAAGTCACGGCCGGCAAATTCGCACCCTCAATATCACATTCCATTCAGGCAGAGATGTTGGAAGACGTTTAAGTCGACTCGAAACGAGTCGTCTTTTTTGAATCGACTCAAAGCTCCTCCCAACTAGGCAAACGAGTTGGTTGAAGAGGACAAAAGCAGGGAGGGAGTGACGCGGGAAAGGAATGGGAGGCGGAAAGCGCGAGTCGCGCGACTCATGACGACTAACCTGTGCTTGGAGAACGAGGCCTGCAAAGAATGCGACGATCAGGTAACCCGCCGCCGCGGAAAGCCGCCTCGCGGTAGTCGGTTTCATGGCGGCGCGAAAGTCGCCCCCGGCGCGGCGCGTGAGTCGCCCTGATTAGCTTTCTTCGGGTTTATCTCGGAAAGATAGCACGAAAAGATGTCGATGTGCGATGCGAGAGACAGCTCCGCTCCTCAATACAAACGCCGTGAGTAATCCGAGCGGATTGAATGATGCACAAGCTGCGGACCCGGGAAGCCGTTGGCGCGCACTCACGAGGGATATTCGGGCGCGTCGTCAAAGGCAAATATCAGCTGTGAACGAGGTATCGCGAAGGAGTTGCTGTTGCGGTGAAACTGAGCTTCGTTGAGAATGGAATGGACCACTAGTGTGTGAACGACCAGTCTACATTAGGTCGGGAGCCTCCTTTTTTTCCCCCTCATGGTGGATGTGTTGGGAAGTGGCGCCGTACTCGGAAGTCATAATCGGTTTGATATGGTCTGTCAATTTTCCGCGCTATACGACATTGTACGGAGGTTTACCGCCCGCCAAGGGGGCACCGCTAGATGAAGCCGAACCTGCGGGATTCCAAACCTCTTTTACCTAGTTTGGAAAGTCTGCCGCTGTTAATTGTTCAGGCTTGGATCTGGGAAGCCCCCACTGCCCGCTTATGATTGGCCACAAGTTTGCAGGTCTAGTGTGGTTCGGAAGCTTGACTTCAGACGAACTCCTCTCGACACGCACGCTGATTTGTTGGAAGTTTGTGCGCTTCGCTCATGGGCTGCCTGGCTGGCAGGTTGACACGAGCGCCCCAACCAACCACACGCGTGCGCACCCAGCACCGAATGCTGAAACGTTGTTGTCGGCGGCACGTTCTCCGTGTGGTTGTGCCAGAAGCATCGAACAAAAAGTATATTTAGGGGCAAAAGGTTGGCAAAAAACCATACATCATGAAATCGCAACTTGATATGCTCGGATACATTATTGTGTAATTTACGGTAAGGACATGAGTCTACTGACCTAGTGAACCCTACCGACAAAAGGGATACATTCCTGACAAAAGGGATGTTCGACGTGGCCTTTGAGGACGAATGCGCTGGCAGAGGAAGGTTCTGCGAGACCCAGATATTTCCTCGTTGGCACCAAAGATGAAGGGAACAATTCCCACGTGGAGGTACAAGTGCTGGAATGGTAATGGCGTGGCAACATCTCATGACGTCACACCAAAAGTTCGCGCTAATGCATACTCCGCAAGCACGGTAATTTGAACAGTGACGAACTCCTCAATAAGTTGATAATACATAGACCAACCATGCTTTATTTACAGGGAGAGAGTTCCAAGCTCGAGCCCCCCCCCCATAGCAGTTACTTCGCCTAAATCCACCTGATAAGCCGAATCTTCAAAAGAAGAACAGAACGCGGTACGCTGTGTTTTGCTCGCTTAAGATTGTCCCTTGCGCCTTGCCAGCTCCTTTTTAATCGCACGAAGAACCCTCTGCACATCCTTGCTCCTGTCATTCATCCGCGCTCTTATCACAGCCTCCGCATCCTCCCACCGATACACGTTTATCGCGGTTTTCAACCCCATTTTGCAGTCGAAATTCCCGGGAATTTTGCTCGAAAAGTACTGCGTGGTGTTTTCCCAGCCTTTCGGGGTCAGGTACGGGAGCCAGCCGACAGGAGAGTTGGGAAAGAGAAGCTTGGCGCCGGAAAAATCACACTTGTCGAATTTAGCCTTGCTTTCCATCATGTACACGCTGTGAGGAACCGGGCTGACCCAGCGGAAAACTGCACGCGGACAGGGAAGACGGGGAGATGGATACATGGGACGGTGGGGTATGGCGGGAAAGAGGTTGGAGCGGTGAGATATGTGGAACAGTGAGGGCGGAGTCTACTGAAAAAATCCAACTTAGATTTAATCTATTTGGTCCGATGTTGTATGATCGGAAAAAAAAAAAAAACGAAAAGCTGATTCTCCGTGTTCGATCTCGTTGACGAAAACTTTTGAACGAGAAACGTACTTAGCAGGTTAAAAGGTTAAAGGAGGGGGGGAAACCCCTCTGGGTGTTAACCACACCTGGCTGTCGGTCGTAACCCGCCTCCCCATTTGTTTACACTCCTCGCTGGGTCAACGAGGTTGTTCTATCCACTCCCAGATGAGCACCTGTGTAACCCCCTTCTGGGGGGCTGGCAGAACACGCCGCAGGGGGGATTTGATCCCGGGACCTCATCTTTCGGAAGTGAACCAGCTAACTAGCTGGGCCACTTCAGGATGAGAAACGTACTGAGCAGGAAGTCTGGGAAAACCGGCGGCGGTTCGGCCCAGATGAGTTTCATCGTCGGACTCCACGGGCTCAGATGATTGGGCAGAAACCCGCCGACCGTTACTTTGATTGCCTGGAGATAATGGGCGGGTGTGACAAACGAGAGGCGAAAAGGTTGGTCATGGACTCCGCGGGTTACGCGGCCGGGCAACATCCCAAAATTTAGTTCGAGGGGGTTGGGGTAGCGTGGCATGAAGTAGGGACTCCGAACCCTTGGTCGTGGTGCGTGCGATGTGTATGCACTGAACCTACACCATATTCGTTCTACCTTGTACGAACCATGCGTGCCGAACCTACCCAAATACAAACTCGGTAGCATGTACAGGCTTTGCCAGTGGCTACTGAGTGTAGACTTTGAACACAGAACGAATCTAGCACGTTCGAGCATACATGGCAGGTTGGGTTCCAAACCTACAATGGACATATGGGGCCTGTACTTCAACAGAACAGGGTCAAAATATTCATCATAATGGGAAACTACTACAATCACTTTTGCGTTCGAAGCCCTTTTTTTCAGCTCGCAAACTAACACAAAGCATCACAATTAGATGCGAAAACGTACTACTCGCACCAAGGCAGCAGATTTAGCGGATTTCGGAGCAGCTTGGGCCACAAAAATTTAGAAACCGTCGATTTTACAAATTGACGGTTCAGATCGAGTCAGAGCCAACTGTTGCAAACTGTGAAGTTCTGTGCAGGTTGGAATGTTAGGCGTCGATCAGAGAACTTTTGAGCGGTCTCAATCAGATGTGTTGTGGCAGTAAGTGAATCGAAACCGTCAAACTGTATTTTATTGGATGGTCCAGATCCAAAGGCTGGAATTCACTACAAGTTGGAATTACAACCGTCGATCAAACCTTTGTTGCATCTCAACCGCCGATTCCTTATCATGATTCCCGACAGAGTTCTTTTGGCTAGATAACACATTTCAACCGTCGATTCCTTTGTCATTCAAAGGCTACGATTTAGAGATGAAAGCAGTTGGTAGAAAATAATGCTTGTCTGTTTCCGATTGGTTCAAGTTCCATGAACCACAGATTTCGCCCAAGGTAAACGCTCATAACTGAGGTATATCTAACACGTAACCATCTTCTCCTCCATTCGTTTCTCAATTTCCAGACAGTCTTTGTTTAGTTCATCTCTTAGGTTGCCCCTGCCAGACCAAGCTCCTACTATCTTTCCACCGCAGAAATCTATACTGCGTGGTGTGCTGCCGTCGATTTCCTCTCTAATCGCATTTACCGTATGTTATGACGGCTGGCGATTTGGGCGTGGCGATATGGGCGTGGCGATTTGAGAGTGGCGATTTCGGCGAGGCGATTTGAGCATGGCGATACGGACGATGGCGTGCGGCGTGCAGAAGCGTTGTTACTTCATTAAGCACTTGATTTAGTTTCTGTTTTTTGTTCTGCTAACCTTCACTTCTTGTTGTCTCCTCTCCAAACACTAACGGTTCATGTATGTGTGCCGATTTTGCAGGATATCAGTTTGACAATGCGAAATGTTCTATTATGTTTTTTATCATCAGTCCTGTTCGGTATTTTCCGGGAAGTTGTGTCTGAACCCTGGTAAGTTCTTGGCGCTCTCAAAATTGTTGTTTTTCTATGCTTGTTTTGCAGGGATGTGTTCATCGTTGTTCCTTCATTGTGAAGACTGTTCCTTCATTGTGTTTACGAAGTCTGTATTTGATGAATATCTAATTGTAACGTCCTATAAATCTATTGGATTTTATTGTAACAAAAACATTGCGTAATCTGGTATCGTGAATTAAATGCTACCAATTGGTCCGGAATTATGCTGTAAAAAGCATTTGGCAAATACTATGTATCTACTGCATGCTTGCGTAGGGAGAGGATTCGTAGTAAATATAGATTCTTTACAATATAGTCACTAGACATGTATTAGGTGTATTTAAATTGTGGTTACCCTATTGCCACCCCCTGTCGGGTTGGAAGTAAATTGTTTGTAGCAGAACCTATAAGTACAATGTCGCTCGGTGCATTGTGTGTGCATATCTCGCATGCAGCTACGGTGTGACTACATTGTAGCTCTTGCGGCATTTTTTGGGATGAACTGGTAAAGCGCTTGAAACTAGGAATAAGAACTTCTTTCTTTGAAGAAAAAACATAAGACCTGTCTAATGCTCTTCCTCACAATAAAGGTGGCATTTGAGAGAAGTAAGTACCTGAGTGGGCTTCTGAGACGAAGAAGACGATTAGAAGCACTGCCACAAGACGGATGTGACAGTTCGGACCCATGTCGACGACGAACGCAAGTTTTTTCGTCTCTTGATTTTCGAATGTTAGGACCAAAAATGTGAAATGCTGCGTCTGCGTCGGCCCAAATTCTGTCGAAACGAATTCTCAGGCTGACAATGATAGTAGGTAGTAAGAAAAGCAAGTTAGGCTCGCGTCACTGCGTCTTTTACAACAGATGCGGCTTCTGAATGCGGAAAGCAAAATGGCTTTTCTTGGTGGTACTATGGCGAGATTGTTTTCCAACTGCTTTGGGAGCTGCACTGCTGCTCAATTTGTACAAATTTGTACCTGGCATGGCATGGCTCGCCTGGCAAATGTGTCTCCCGCGCACGCTGGGCCGCCTCCAAACCAAATTCCGCCCCAGCCTCCGCCTTCTCCAGGTCTTGGCATATTTTCACGTGTCGCCCAATGGACGCGCGTCGTTGCATGCAGCTGTGCTGCACTTGTGCGTGCGGGACCAGTTCTTGCTGTGGGACTGTACCCTCCCGCATGGTTACTCCAGTGGACGCGGGGAAAGCTTGTACCGCAGTTGAGGTTGCGCCAGGCTTGCGCACTCCCCGCAATGCAAGCCGGGCCATTTTCAGGTGCAATCTCTACAATTGGGGAGATGTGTTCAGGTGTGATCCGGCGCATCTTTCCAAGTCTCTGTTGCGTACTGTACACGCGTGCCGGAACAGAGCCTTGAAAAGATACGCCACTCAAATCTGTACTGGCGGAGGGAAATTGATGGGAAAGCAATGCGCCACACACGCTTCGTTTACCGAGGCTACCAGGGATTGCTAAGACATACCCCGAAATTATAAAACTTAATCGCTTCAGGACCCTGCACGCATTTTCGGGAGATCAACCCTAAACACGTGAACCTCCTGGTGTTAAGGGTTGATGCCTCCGTAAGGTTTTCGTGACAAAAAAAAAAAACCCAATCGGGACGCAATCGAATCGGGAGGCATCAACCCTAAACACCAGATGGGTTCCGGTGTTTAGGGTTGATCCCTCCCGAAACTGCTTCTAGGTTCTCTAGGGGTTATATTTTGTTTTTTCGGGTGGCCTTAACAGCGTTGGGTAGTTTGGTCTGGCCATGCTGTATGTTTGACTTCCGTCAGGACTCAGAATGTGTCAGAGACAACCCGTCAGCTGAACAAGATGTGCGTGGCGAGTCTGCACAAGGTACTGTTGTGGCACGTGTGTACAGTGCCGCAACAGTGCCGTAACAGATTGGGTTCGCACCTGAACACATTCTCTGTAATACAGAGATTGCACCTGAAAATGGCCCATGCAAGCCGCGTTTCACGTTGCAACGAATGAGCACGACTTGCTGGAGAGAGGCAACTGCCAGCAGGGATATCGTGAAGGGTGCACTGCAGGAACAGGTGAGCAAGGTTGCCCACAATCTGATTGGCGTTCAGGAAGGTTTCGCTGACTCGACATTTCTCTGAAGTCTCCCTGGCCCTGGTGCTGCTGAGTCGTCTGCCAGCCACATGCTGCGCTGGTGTTGTTGCTGGAACGAGGCTCGTCATTGGCTGAACAAGTGAGAGTCTTGTGCTGGAAGTGACATGGTCACAGATGCATGATTTCACTGATGAGTTGAAACGGATACGCGCCAAGAGCAGGGAGTGGTAGCAGCTTTGAACAGACAAGACAGGGTGCACATCTAACTGGGCTGTCAAGTTCATAGCATGAAATTCTCTTGCAAGGTTTGAGCAAGCAACTCAATTATTCAGGACCAGCAAAAGTGGACGGGTAGGAAATTAGCAATGATGAATAATTACTCTTTGCAGTCTAATAAGCTGTTCGGTTGACTACTGGGGCCCCTTTGCAGCAACAATGTAAGTGCCAGGGAGTGACATCATCTTCTTCCACTTCGAAACATAAGCCCTCCGGGTGAAGTTGTCGTAGTCATTGGCTTCGATGGCATCAAGAATTTGGGCATATAGCCTCAAGGAGGCCCACACCTGAAGTGGGGTTTGACAGGAAGATGGCAAATGAGAAGTTGAGCCAAGAAAGGGAGTGAAGCAAGGTGGTGCTATAATAGTGTCAACCCTGGCCAAGACACGGAGAAGAAAAATAAACTTACCGGCCATCTGCTTTGCCTGTCAAGCTCAACCACGCCTGCTTCTGCTGTCTTGAAGTAGTTGCGAGCCCTTTCAATCTGGAATTTCATGAAGCTGCGCCAGTTGTCAGTCACCTTGCCCTCAAAGATGTCATCGTCAGAGAGGCCAAACTGAGCCAACTCGTCCTGAGGAAGGTACACGCGGCCCCGCTGAGCACTGCGGAGGGAAAGTGGGAAGAACGAGGACTTGAGTGCTAGATTTCACATCTAACGTTGGTAATCATACCCAACATGGGCAATGCAGCAGCACAGGGAGCACTAACGCATGGACACAAGGCAATGATTACGGACAGGCACTCCCGGAGTACTGGAAGAGGAGCACTGCAAACGTTCTACATGTGGATGCAACTCTGGCGATGAATCTGGAAATTCCCTAACTCGCGAACGAATATGCTATATGGTACTCGGAGCTGAAAAAGAAGCTGGAGGTGAAAAGGTGACAAAGTTCAGACCACCACTTACTCTTCTCCAACATCCCTCAGGATGTTTGTGAGCTGATTGGCAATGCCTAGGTCCAGAGCAGCCTTGTACACGTCCTCTACCGGCACTTTGGACTTAGGGTCGATTCCCATGACAGGAACGCTCATGAGGCCCACAGTGCCAGCCACATTGTAGCAGTACACGTAGAGCTCGTCAAAGGTGCGGTATCGAGACTTCCTCAGGTCCATCCGCATGCCATCGACCATGTCTCTGTACGGCTGCAATGACATTGACGGGGATATGGAATAGAATGTTCGATTTGCAAAGCTATGTACATGGCTTCTAGCATGTAGTCACATTCGAAGAAAGTCTTCATTCAAGACTTGAGTTAAGAGCAAAAGGATGGAGGAAGTCAACAAAGGAGAGAGGAATCCAGCATCCCATTGCTCCATACCTGAATGCTCATCGGGAATGTCTGGATGGTGTCTGAGAGAGCAGCATCCAGCATGTCGTACGGCCGACCTTGAAAGAGCTCGTCCAGGCGCTCCTCCCATCTGTCTAGAGCCCTCGGAGTAATGTGAGACGCGTTCGGACCATCCACGAGCTCGTCGGTTCTCCTGCACCAGACTGGAATAACGAGAGGTACAGTGCAAGATGGTTGAGCATATACATTGCACAATCACTCACTGGACACAAGTGTAACGTTTAGCTGCTACCAGTGACGAATGCACAAGGAAAAAAAAACAACAACAACAACAACAACAACAGCAACAGCAACAGCAACAGCAACAGCAACAGCAACAGCAACAGCAACAGCAACAGCAACAGCAACAGCAACAGCAACAGCAACAGCAACAGCAACAGCAACAGCAACAGCAACAGCAACAGCAACAGCAACAGCAACAGCAACAGCAACAGCAACAGCAACAGCAACAGCAACAGCAACAGCAACAGCAACAGCAACAGCAACAGCAACAGCAACAGCAACAACAACAACAACAACAACAACAACAACAACAACAACAACAACAACAACAACAACAACAACAACAACAACAACAACAACAACAACAACAACAACAACAACAACAACAACAACAACAACAACAACAACAACAACAACAACAACAACAACAACAACAACAACAACAACAACAACAACAACAACAACAACAACAACATCATTACCTTGACGAGTGTCTGCGGTCAACTAAACCACTACAATGAAGCAAGCACAATGTACTGATGCGAGCACGATTTGAAGGGCTCAACGCGAAACAGCCAGACGTAAGTATCCATCTTCAAAGTACTAAGGATATCCAGAAAGTGCCACTTTTTAACGAATGCGCTGGTGCGCGTGTCGATAGGGAGGCAGGAATACGTACCATAAATGGCCCAGATAGCTCGGCGCCTCTCGGGAGTCATCAGTTTCGTCCCTGCGCGAACAGTCAACAAGAGCCAGGTAAATCGAAAAGGCAACATGCAAAAGGAGCACAAGGAAGCAAACTAGCTGAAGGCCTCACCAAGATAAAATGTCTTGGCGTATTCGGCACAAACTTCTCCACATCGCTCATAAGCCTCTGCTAACAGCTCCGGGGTCATCAAAACTGGCGCTTCTTTCTCAGCCGGTTTGGAAACGTAAGTATCCGCAGCCTCCTTGACTACAACATCAAATATTCTTTGCTCTGCGGACACATAATCATCGTCCGATTTTCTTTGGCCAGGAATCACGAGTTTCTTTTGAAACCCCTGGAAGGTTCCGGCTTGGCCGGTTGGTACATCAAGAACAGCTCGTGGTTGAGAGAGCGAGGAGCAGGCGCGGATGGCTTGTCTGCTGCTGTTGTTAAGCTGTTTCCCTGAATTCCAAAATGACCGGTTTCCCCAAGAAAGGCTCTGTGTGTTGGCTGATGATGTTGGCGTGGAGCCATGGTTGTTCGGAGCTGCAACCGTCAGGTCCTTCACACCAGCAACCTGAACTAGAGACACGGAAACCATTTTGACAGGCAGTACAGTATGAATAATACCGGTGGTCAAGCTCGTTGGTATGTTGAAAGGCTCCCTCACAATGCCTCAAGCTGGTAAGCTAGGACACAAAAATTACACTGTGATGAAGCGGAAGAAGCCTCTTGCTACCCACAGCCTCGGAATGCTGGGCCTGTACAATGCCTGCTGGAACCTCAACTGGTCTGATGAATGGAAGGACAGTATTTCAATGGCTGCTAGTGTCAGGTGATAGGCTTCGGTTATTGTGGTGGGTATGTCTTGAAAAGGTGTGACAGGGCAACCTAACAGAAGTGGTCTTTTCTGCGTGAAAAACGGAAAACGGGGCTGTCATTGTTGAGATGACGATCGATCGGCCGTCTAAGTTGATGCAACTGGAGAATCCAACGGCCTAGGAGAGACCGACGAAATGAACCTTCGAGGGGATGGGCTCCAGAATTTCGTCTGCCCCTTGAGAATTCCCCTGCGTGTGCGGCTCCAATCAAAATGCACACCTAATCGCGGCAATGGCACGGCCCAGCGAATCTGGCCAACCAAACTCGAGGTGGGGATTATGTGGAGGTCTGAGGCCAAAACAAGATTCGCGGGGTTCGACAGGCAGAGTCGACGTGGCAGAATAACGCTGGGAAAGCAAAAGTTCCCCCAGGAATATGGGTCTAGTCAGCAAACCTATTGAAAGTGATGACCGTGACACCATGAGACGCGTGGTTCATTGCTTTTGCGAAAGCCGAGGTGGGTGGATAAAATGCAACCACTGAAGACACCACAACCATTCTAACGCGCGGCGATGTTCGTAACGACTTCGCACACCGATTTCAGCGAACAAGGGTGCCTGCACCTGCGCAAGACAACACTTCTTCGGAACTTGTGCCTGAGAGACTTGGGTGTGGGTGTGCAATATCAACCACACACCCGCGAAATCCAGGATCTCCGATATTGAGTAACAATACATGCATTTCGTTCTTGAGGGTCATCCGTGATGTAATATAGAGCGGAATTTTCTACATATCCGTTTCCCGATTGTGTGAGGTTTCATATACTACGTAAGCTATAATTAAAAAGGAGGTTGTTCTCCAACGAAGTCAGCTCGTCGCATTAGAACCTCTCACGATTTCAGCACACAATTTTGCAGTCTGCGCGACAATAAAACATGTTCAGACAATTGAAAGGCAGGAAACAGCGTCGTACGGCCATATACGTACCAAAGGTTTCCACAACCGTGCTCGAGCATTCACAAACCAGTCTTCGACCTGGCTAGCAGAATCCGGTTGAAGAACACAGTACAAAAAAAGTACACAAAACAACTTCAACAGCTTGCTTACCTGTTTTTTTGTAATGTTGAATGCAGTCATTAACTCCATCTTGTCTTCTTTTGATGGTTTCCTGAGGACACCACAGAAACCCACGACAGTGTTTCCAGATGGCTTCCATGGTTGGGATAGTGGACAGTGGAGAACAGGCGAGAAAAACCTACAACACCACAACTGCATCATCCATCAGTCATCCCCTCCAAATAACCACTGGATCAGCAGAGTATCCAGCAACACAGACTAGCACAAAGAAACCCCATCCATTCCCATCACAGCACATCGTTACCACACACCCATCATCCCACCCCCATTCCGTGAACACAAACTTACGGATTATCCCAATGCGCCACCAGCCACTGTAGCATCTTCTGGGCGGCAGCTTGCGGCAGGGCTCCCCTAGCCCCAGACAAGCCTAGCTGCTCTCTCGCACTCACTGCTCGCCGCTCCCTCCCCTCCTTCCTCCTCCTCTCCCTCTTGCCCCCGTTGCCGTGAGATGGGCTTTTGTGATGTGGTGGCAGCAGTGGTGATGGCAGTGATGGTGACAATAGCGGTGGTGACAGTACTGGTGGCGATACTGGACAGGTAGGTAGAGTGGATCCTGGAAGTGCAGACATCAGCGTCGCTGCAACTGGAACAGGTGTTACTGGCAGCGCTGGCCTCGGCAGCAGCAAGGGCGGTGGCTGCAGTGGCATAGAAGGGAGCAGAAGCTTCTGTGCCGACAGGAAGGCCTGTCCGTGCTGGTTGCTTGCGGGTGCTGCTGCAGCAGTAACGTGGAACGAGGGACTTCTTGCTGAAGTAAGGAAAGAGACAATCAGAGACAACAGGGGGGGGAAGTAAGGAAGTAAGGGAGAGAGTGAAGCGCGACTGAAGTAAATCAGAGACAATGTGGAAGTAAATCAGGAAGTCAGGTGTTGCATGCCTTGCCCTCCCACCCTTCCACCCCTTCGAACCACTCCTGCCACTTCCCCTTCGAACCACTCCTGCCACTTCCCCTTCGCCCCAAACCTGTGTGGACTTCAGCCCCGCCCCCCGTCCTCTCCCCCCTCGTCCCACCCTTCCCGCCCAGTCCCTCTCCCGCCCCGAACTTCCACATCTACCCCCTCATCTCTTAACGGAGATGGGACTTCCCACATCTCTTAACCCCGTCATCTCTTAACGGAGATGGGACTTCCACATCTCTTAACCCCGTCATCTCTTAACGGAGATGGGACTTCCACATCTCTTAACCCCATCTCCGTTTCCGTTTCTAAGCCCCATCGCATCCCTGCTCACCCACAAGCGTCAGCTTGCCACTGGTACTTACCGTTAAGTGTCTTACTTAGCGCGCAGTTGAGCCTTGACTCGAACCAGTGGATTGCCGCGAAGAGGGCAAGACCCATCAGACCCAGCAGACCTGATCAAGTGCCTTACTTAGCATGCTTACCATTAAGCTTCTTACTTAGCATGCTTACCATTAAGCTTCTTACTTAGCAGGCTATTGAGCCTTGACCCAAACCAGTGGATTGCAGCAAACACGGCGAGATCAGGCAAATCTGGGAGACTCGGTAGAGCCGGTAGACCCGGGAGACCCGGGAGACTCGGTAGACCCGGGAGACCCGGTGGACCCGATAGATCCGATAGACCTGGGAGAAAACTCGTAGGTGGGGCAGGTAAGTCGCTAGGAGCAGGAGAGTTGCCTGCAGAAGCCAGGGCGCCATGGATAGGGTCAAAGGCATGCAGCATCTGCCTCACACAGGCCTCCGCCGTGGCCCCTGCTGCGGTGATTCCTGCGAGGGGCCCAGCCTTCTCTGTGAAAGGAGCAACCATCCCTGCGACGGGCTCAGACATCCCTGTAACAGGTGCAGGTATATCTGTGCGCCCAGCCAGGCACCCCAGCATCCATCCCACCTCCACCAGCAGCGCCCTCACCACTGACTTCAGTTTATCCTGCCCCTCCTCTCCTTCTTGCCTTATCGCCAAAATAGCAGAAGTAGCAGCAGCAGTAGCAGTGGTAACGGCAGCAAAGGCAGTAGAGGCCACAGCAGCTGTACAAGCAGCAGTGGTAGCAGTAGCAGCAGCAGTAGAAAGAGGAGGAGGAGGAGGAGTAGTAACGGTAGCAGCAGCAGCAGCAGCAGCAGCAGCAGCAGCAGTAGTACTGTCAGTAGTAGCAGCAGTTTCAGGCACAGGAGCAAGAAAGGCTGAAGAATTGTCGTGGGTGATGTGGGAAGCAGGCAGAAGAGGAGGCGAAAGAGACACACAGGAATTTACCCCAGCCAATCCAATTATTCCTCCTCCTCCTCCTCCTCCTCCTCCTCCTCCTCCTCCTCCTCCTCCTCCTCCTCCTCCTCCTCCTCCTCCTCCTCCTCCTCCTCTCTCTCCTCCCTCTCTTCCCTCTCCTCCCGCACTCACTCTCACTCTCTTACTCGCACTCTCCCTCCACGCTCCTCCCCTGCCTGCACCACGAACGCTTCTTGCTCGCTGAACCTGCTGCAAAGACGGAGCACGTGAAGACACGTGGCACATGCCACGTGGAGTGCTGCCACGTGGAGTGCTGCCACGTGGAGTGCTGCCACGCGGAGTGCTGCCACGCGGAGTGCTGCCACGTGGAGTGTTGCCACGTGGAATGTTGCCACGTGGAGTGTTGCCACGTGGCAGCTGTGGGCTAAGACCTGGTGGCAAGCGAAGTGGGGTTGGAGGAGGGAGTAGTGGTATTGTGCTAAGTGGCGGTGGTGGGGAGTTGAAATGGGGAAGCGGCTTGAGTGCGGGGGAATGATGGAGTGAGGGTGACAGATGAAGTGCGGGTAGAGTGGGTAACCCAAGAAGTGCTGGCGACAGTAGTGACGCTGACGGTGATGGTGCTGGTGGTGATGGTGGTAACAGCAGTGGTGACAAGGTTGGAGTTAATGCTTGTGGTGCTGCTGATGTCGTTGGTTTTGACGAGGGCGCCGTTGATATTGGTGATGGTGATGGTGATGGTGGTGGCGATGGTGATGGTGGTGATGCATTGAGAGCAGGTGAGAGGGAAAGCAGGGAGACTCGTTCTTGCGCCTGCTTCACCACTTCCTCTTCTTTCTCCTCCACCTCCTTCTCCTCTTCCCGTTGCTGCTGCGGGTGCGGGTGCTGCTGCTGCTGCTGCTGCTGCTGCTGCGGCTCCTGCTGCTGCGGCTCCTGCTGCTCCTGCTGCCATTGCTGCTGCCTGATTGGTCCAGCCGAGTTCAAAACCGGTCGATAAGGAGCATGTGAAACTGGAAGGGTAAGTCGTGGCAGAGACAGAAGCTGGTGATAGTGTCGCCGCTGTGGTTGCTGCGGCAGCTGCAGCTGCTTCTGTTGTTGCAGCAAGTGATGGTGCTGCTGCTGCTGCTGCAAGGGTTGCCGGTTGTTGTTGTTGTTGTTGCTGCTGCTGCTGTGGCGGCAGTGGTTGTTCCAGCAGTAGCACATCCATCCCAAGCCGCCCACTGCTGCCACCCACTGCCGGACCACCACCACTGCCCATCCACTCTGAATCACCAAACGACCGGCTACGGGTAGGGACAATCGCACTTGCACCCACACCTGAACCATCCATGCCATACTGACTCAGCATTGCACCATCAGCGCCCATACCCTGACCATTCATCACCATGCCATGCATGTCACTAGAGGCCACCATTGCATCAGCACCCATGCCATGCATGCCTTGACCATGCATGTCCTCAGCATCTATGCCATGGATGCCCATGCCATCCATGCCACTCATGCCACTCATGCCATCTATGCCACTCATGCTATACATAACGTTCATGCCATTCTGGGCCACCATGGCACCATCATCAGCACCCATGCCATGACCGTCTGTCATCACCATACCATGCATGCTATCACGCGTCCCGATCGCACCACCAGCATTCATGCCATCATGGCTTGCCGTTGTTCCATTGCCCTCAGCACCCATGCCATGACCGTCTGTCAACACCATACCATGCATGCTATCACGCGTCCCGATCGCACCACCAGCATTCATGCCATCATGGCTTGCCGTTGTTCCATTGCCCTCAGCACCCATGCCATGACCGTCTGTCATCACCATACCATGCATGCTATCACGCGTCCCGATCGCACCACCAGCATCCATGCCACGACTGTCCACCATGCCACGACCGTCCACCATGCCATCATGGCTTGCCGTTGTTCCATTGCCCTCAGCACCCATCTCCATTCCTCTGAGGGATGCACATGCATTCATCGCCACACCCCCCCCTACATCCACTAACATTTCGTCTCCCCGGCCCGTCAACTGCCCTTGGCCCATGCCCATCATCTCGCCATTGCCCTCAGCGCCCATCTCCATCCCTCTGGCAGACGCACATGCACTCACCGCCACATACCCCCCTACATCCACTAGCATATCGTCTCCCTGGCCCATCAACTCCCCCATCAATTCTTCCGCCAGTTCCCTCTCCCCTTCATCCCTCTTCTCTTCCTGCCTCTTCTCCTGCTCCGAATCTCGCCGCCCTGAGCGATTCACACTCCCTTTCTGCAAAATTTCATCCGAAAACTTCCCCGGATCTTCTACAGAAGCCCTCTGTGTAGTCATAGAACCTGCCCTTGGAAATTCCGGGAGGTACCAGAGCCAATCAGAGTCGTCCAAACTAGCCATGGAAGCCTGCTGTTCCATCCCAGCCGTTGCTCCCCTGATTCCGTTCCATAACGCGATTTCCTCCCAAATGTCCTCTCGAACCCTTGTGTCTTCGCCTCCAATCCCTTCATCTTCCATCCTTTCGCCTCCCGTCCCTTCCCCTCCAATCTCTCCATCTGCCAATTCTTGGTTTGACCCAGCCCCTTGCTCAATCATCACTTGGCCTTCCCCTGCAACCGCTTCCCCTGCAACCGCTTCCCCTGCAACCGCTTCCCCTGCAACCGCTTCCCCTGCAATCGCTTCCCGTACAATCGCTTCCCCTACAATCGCTTCCCCTACAATCCCTTCCCCTACAATCCCTTCCCCTACAATCCCTTCCCCTACAGTCCCTTCCCCTACAATCCCTTCCCCTCCCATTCCTTGCCCTCGCACCTCTTCACCTCGCAGCCCTTCGCCTGCCATCCCTCCATCTGCCAATTCCTGGTTCGACCCAACCCCTTGATCGACCACCACTTGGCCTTTCCCCCGTGATCCAATCGCTTCCCCTCCCATTCCTTCCCCTCCCATTCCTTGCCCTCCAATCCCTTCTCTTCCCATCCCCTCGCCTGCCATCCCTCCATCTGCCAATTCTTGGTTCGACACAGCCCCTTGCTCGACCACCACTGGGCCTTGCCCGTCGCAACTGGGCTCCTTGGGATTCGCCATGTCATGGCCTGTATCGTGATGGCCAGCCACGTCACGGTCTGCCACGTCTGCCACGTCTGCCACGTCATGGTCTGCCACGTCATGGCTCCACTCGAGCCCAAACTCATGGTTCCCCGCGTCGAACTCGAAAAGGCTTCCGCATTCGTCGCCATTCTGGAAGCTCAGCTCTAGGGTTTCACGCGACGGAATGCTACGAAAATGGTAACCATCGTCGCTGTAACCCGCCGCCAGCGATTCCCCATACTCATCCGTAAGGTTACCCTCCGTCGGGTTACCAGCTACAGTGTTGCATGGACGGTCCGTGCTTCTAGACGGTTGGCCGGTGCTCTGAAAGCTGCTGACGTCATCAGGAGCGTGCAGGAGCCGCGGAACGGGTTGAGAAAAGAGCTGCGGGAGCAGATGCGAGAATAACTGCGATTCGTAATCCAAAGCGGAAAACACGCCACCGTTTTCGTCGCTGTCCGCTGCTGTGATCTCGGCGTCCGCGATTCGAGCTGGTGGATGTCCGGAAGGCTGCTTACGTGGAACGTTTTCTGGAATCGCCGGAACATGAAGCGTAGGTCGAGTGGAACGATCAGTATCGGAGGCATGAAGTGTAGGACGAAAAGACTTCGGATTTGGCAGCGACGGCGAGATCGGCGCTGTCGGCGCTTTGGACATTCACTACCGCAACCCTGCCGTACGCGATAGAGAGCGATCTGAAGGTTTCTAGCATCAGAATATTTGGGAACGAGGCTGGAATTTCAGGCACCCAAAGTTCTAGACAGAGCACCAAGAGGAGCCTTCGATTCAACCACGGCAATTTCGGACTCCAAACTTTACTGGAGAATGCTATAAGCGAGAGACACCAGAACGGCGAGACTCCTGCACGAGACACGCACGATGGCGATATTGCAGAATGGTGGGGAGGTGCGAGGAGGCCGTGGAAGTCGGCAAAACTGCCGTGCACGGGGGACAATAACCCCAGCGAGGTGAAAGTTCGCAGCACTAGTGTGGAGTGTGGGGCTGTTGGTTCGATTGGCGGAGCCGAAGGGATCGGGATTCGGGAGGTACGGAACGGTACGCTGAAGAAAGCGGAACGGATAAGTTCAATCGCCTATGGCCATAGCCGCGCTTCGGGTGTCCATTATTGGTCTACTAGAATTTACTGCCAGGAGAGAGGAGAGGAGGCGGAGTGTGGATGGATGCGAGACGGCAACCACTTGACACAGCAAGCAAAGCGGTGCGCCTGAGCGATCTCTCTACGAAAACCGCCGTAAGCCAAAAGAGCCTGTGATGCTGTCGTGAGTTGCGAATGTACCAGCAGCAGAATGACGCCATGGATAATGGAGGAAGGAATTTATGTTTTCGGGAATAGAAAGTGCTTCGCCGTCGTCAGCCAAACTCTTGGAAAGACGCGGTTTGGTAAGAATCCAGTTGCGTTTTTGCTCCGCATCTGAGGATATTCTTAATTCCTAAGCGAGTTTTTTTATTTTGTAACGAGGGACCAATGACGGGTACAAACGCTAAGTGATTGAGCGAACACGAGAAAGGCAGGTGCTGTTGCTGCCCCACCTAAATGGTCCATCAGGTTTTCCCAGCATCCCTGACGCAGGTGAAAATCCAGCAGAGCACTCAGGAGAACACCTGAACACAGTGACGGCATTGCCCCATAGACGGAACCTGACCATCACTAACCGAAGCCGGCTCTCTAGGGAAGCGCGAACAAGCAGTACAGTATTCTGTACCGTAATGGAGATTCCAGTCCAGAGCCAAGAAAGGATCCCGATGCGGCGAGGGCCTGCTACGTAGACCACAGAAATAGGTAACCCTTGTTCGCATGCCATCGCTGATATATTTGCCCAGTTTTTTTTGCTCCACCTTAGAGCGTGTTACACCTGCTAGGGTTTTAGCGACGATCCTACGGAACAGTTGGCAATCTTACAGAACAGTTGCGATCCTACGCAACAGTTTCCTACCTACTTTTGTACACTGATGATTTTGATGATTTCGATTGGTTATCACTGAAAACAATTGTTACTGTGTTAGGACACTGTTGTGTAGGATTGCAACTGTTCTGTAAGATTGCCAACTGTTCCGTAGGATTGTCGCTAAAACCCTAGCAGGTGTAACACGCTCTTCGCAGACAGTGTCCATCCACTCTGCGCTAATCCCGCTAAACGCCAATGCTCGCGTGAAGTTTTACTGTACGTAGCAGCATCGCAACAGTTGGGTCGGCTTTCTAGACGACGAGACGCCCATCACGCACGAACGATACGCCATAGTGAATGTATTTCCACCTGTGCATGCATCTGGCCAGTAGCTCGTCCAGATCCAGCAGCGACCACCCGTAAATCTATCAGCAGGTTCCCCAAATCACGCAGCCACTGACTGTGAGAGAACAGCAGCTTGTGGGTGTGAGCTTGGAACGTCGAGCTTAAAGCCAGACTCTGAAGAGAAATCATGAACGACAAGAGAGATCCTGAGTAGTGTCGAGACCGGAGGGCCGCTGCATGCTTGGGCACTCGAAAAAAGCCTTCGAAGTACCCAACAGATTTCCAAATTGCCATTCTTGCAGCATCGTTAGCGGAAAAAGCGGGGTTTCAGGCACGGGACTATCATGGCAACCGCCGCCTGGAGTAACGCGGCGCGGCTTCTCTCGCTCCTCCTCCTCTCGCTCCTACTCTCCCAGGCGGCTCGCCCCGTCGCCTCTCAGTCATCCGCGGCGCCCCGCCGCCTTCTCGCCACCGATACGCCGGGCAACCCCGTCTATATCGTCCGCCTTAAAGGAAACTCCGTCGCGGCCGAGATTGGCGCGGACGGGAAAAATGGAAACGGCGGAAATGGGGGAGGTAACGGCGGAGGAAACGGGAGGAATGGGCAGCGGCAGAAGATCGACCGGAACTCGCAACGCGTCAAGGACCACGTCAGTCGAGTCAAAACTCAGCACGCTCGAGTCGCACGCGGCGCGGGGGTTCCCGACTCGGACGTGCTCTACAGCTACGCGTATTCGACCAACGGTCTCGCGGCTCGGCTTTCCAAGGAACAGAAGCGCGCGTTAGAAGCAGACCCGGAAGTAGCATACGTGCAGGAGAGCAAAATCCGCAAGCTAGACGTGCTCGACTCGCCGAATTTCCTCAATCTGCCCAACACGCTCTGGAAGGCGAATACCGCCGCGTCGCTGAACGCGGCCGGCGCGGGAACGGTCATTGGGATTGTGGATACGGGCATCTGGCCCGAGCACCCGTCGTTCCAGGACCAGGTGTGTAGAAGTTACCCTGTAACCAGGTGTGAGTTGAGTTGACGCATCATAGCGCCCCCTTAGCACACGCTCATGCCCTTTACTTCCCCCCTCCGCACTCGCCCGTGCCAAATTCCCCCCCTCATGTTTCCCCCGGGCCCCTTTTTACCCCCCAAGGCGACCAACCGGTATCCCAACCCCCCTGCCACGTGGACGGGCAAGTGCCAGACCACCTCGGATTTTTCCTAGTGCACGCGCAAGCTCATCGGCGCGCAGTACTTCATTGCTGCATTCCCTCCCCCATGTTCCCCTCCCTTCTGTGTCCCCCAGGCGACCAACCCGTATCCCAATCCCCCTGCCACGTGGACGGGTAAATGCCAGACCACGAGCGATTTCCCCAAGTGCACGCGCAAGCTCATCGGCGCGCAGTACTTCATCGCTGGGTTCCTCGCCGCGGGGCTGACGTATTACGACCCCAAGGATTGGCTCTCCCCGCGTGATGTGGCGGGCCACGGCACGTGGTGTGCGGGGTAAGATTTATAGAGGGAATACTTGCAACGCACACTGTTATAACTGGGTGCTTTCGAACATTGCTATATTTAATCGTGGAATTCCAAATGTTCATCGCGGGGTATCCTCTCCATCCGTACCCAGCCGTCCTCACTCTTCTCATCCCCTTGGTTCCGCTTCATCTTCTTACAGTGCCGCGGCCGGCAACGGTCCCGTGTCCTTCGTTTTTTAGTCGACTCAAAAATAGGCTCATCCCCTTCATTCCGCTTCCTCTTCTTACAGTGCCGCGGCCGGCAACGGCCCCGTGTCCTTCGTTTTTTAGTCGACTCAAAAATAGGCTCATCCCCTTCATTCCGCTTCCTCTTCTTACAGTGCCGCGGCCGGCAACGGCCCCGTGTCCTTCGTTTTTTAGTCGACTCAAAAATAGGCTCATCCCCTTCATTCCGCTTCATCCTCTTACAGTGCCGCGGCCGGCAACGGCCCCGTGTCCTTCGGCTCGCTCAACTCCGTCTCGCTCGGCTCGTCCTACGGCGTCGCGCCGCGCGCCTTCCTATCCGCCTACAAGGTCTCGTGGTACAGCACCGCGTACGGCGGCCGCGTCATCGCGGACTCGGATATCTACGCGGCCGTTGACACGGCCGTGGCGGACGGGGTGGACGTGCTGTCGCTGTCGCTGGGAGGGATGGACCCCTCGGATAAATACTTTGACGATTTGGGCTATCTGGACGCTCACCTGGTGAGAACCCTAAGCCTTCTTAACCTTCCCGGTTGACACGGCCGTGGCGGACGGGGTGGACTTGCTGTCGCTGTCGCTGGGAGGGATGGACCCTTCGGACACGTATTTCGACGACCTGGGCTATCTGGACGCTCACCTGGTGAGTCCCCTGAGCCTTCTCTGAGCCTTCTCTGAGCCTTCTCTGAGCCTTCTCGGAGCCTTCTCGGAGCCTTCTCTGAGCCTTCTCTGAGCCTTCTCCGAGCCTTCTCCGAGCCTTCTCCGAGCCTTCTCCGAGCCTTCTCCGAGCCTTCTCCGAACCTTCTCCGAGTGGACGGGCTGTCGCTGTCACTAGGAGTCGTGGACCCTTGCAGCAAGCACAGAAATTCACGTGTGTTCCCCTCTTCCTGTCGTCCGCCCCTCCTCTGAGAATCTGCTTTTGAGTCGACTCAAAAGTCACAGAAATTCATGTGCGTTCCCTTCTTCCTGTCGTCCGCCCCTCTTCTGAGAATTCTCGAAAGTGACTCACAGAAATTCCAGTGCGTTCCCTTCTTCCTGTCGTCGCCCCCTCTTCCCCGACCAGGCGGGAGTGGTGGTGGTAAAATCAGCGTCCAACTTCGGCCCTCCGCCCTTCCACCCCTCTCTCTACCGCTCCATCTCCAACTTCTCGCCCTTCTTCCTCACTGTTGGCGCCAGGTGAGTCACCAGGTTCATTCCGGAGAATAACGTGATTCAGGTTGTTCAAGTGCTTTCCCTCCGTATGTCCCATGGGATTCCCCAGGTTTGACGGCCGTCGTCGCTCCTGTGAGGGGCGTTTTGGAGCGATGACGGCCGTCGATCTGGCGGCCGGGATCGACAAATCTAAACCCCATCCGGATGGCATCTACCCTAAACACCATGCGGCCAGGTGTTTAGGGTTGATGTTTCCCGAGGCGCATGCCCGCGGGCAGTAGCTGGGATCGTCGGGGAAAGCAGCCGGTCCGACTAAGTCCCTGAAATGTACCTAGCTATCTTTTGCCTTTGGTGCAAAATTCCCTCTGTTTTTGTGCCTTTTCTCTTAGCCTTACTCCCTGTCCGTACTCCCTGCCTTATTTCCTTCAACCACTATTCGCCTCCCCACCCCACTCTCCCTCTCCCCTTCACATGACCATTCCCTTCTTGTATGGGCTGGGCCGGCTCGATCATGGTTGCAAATTCCGCCTTCCTCTTTCGCCCCTCTCTCCCCTTCCCCGTTGCTGCATGCGAGCAGCTCTATCAGCCGTCGTTACAACGCGTCGCTCACTCTCGGTAACGGCACCGTGATTTACGGAAACGGGTTTGGCGGCCTGAATATGGGTGCCAACACCCCCCTCATCGACGCGGCTAAAATTCCCGCTGCGGGCTACAATGCATCTACAGTAAGTAAAAGAAAAGGCGAAATGACTCTCTTTCTAATGATCCTTTTGGTTCTGCCTGATCTCCTTTTGCCTTCCTCATTGCATCTACGGTTCTTGAGATAGACAAAATTCCTGGATGTGGGATACAATGCATCTACAGTTGGCGTAACCTACTCTATTTATCATAGTTGTTCTCTCTTATTGTACATATTTGCTACTGGCATTGATTCTGTTACATTCTCTTTTTCCATTCCCAACAGGCAAAGCATTGCAAGCACGGCGTGCTCGACTCCTTGTGATAAACTTTTATTCTTCTTCATTCCTAATTTCCCGACAGGCTAAGTACTGCAAATATGGCTCGCTCGACACGGTGTGGGTGGCTTGGCGCATGGTGGTGTGCTTATACGGGGGGGGAGTGAGCAACGATGAAAAGGCAGCAGAGGTGGCTCGCGGCAAGGGCTTGGCGGTGCTTATAGTGAATGTGATGCCGGCAGATGATGCGTCAATTACCCGATACGGCACGCTCCCTGCAATGACTCTCCTCCCTCCTAACGATGCGATTCTTAACGAGTACCTGCTGTCTGCAAGGTACGCACTGAATGTGCTCTATCTCCTGTTTCGCGGCATGCGCTTAAATTGTTACTAGCAGTGCTGCTCGTCGCAAGTACTTGGCAACCAAATCTCTTCATACGTTCCACCCATTGCCTCGTTTTAACACCCTCCTATCATTCCCCCTCGCCCCCTTTTTCAAGTCCCCTTTTTCAACACCCCCCTTTTCCACACCAGCATCGCCAGCACTTCTACAACCAAGCCCTTCTCTCTTCCATCTCCTCTTGAGCCAATTTCCCATGCATTCACAGGCGCCTTGTCGTACGGTTTCATTCAACCCTTCTCCCTTCTCCCTTCTCCCTTCTCCCTTCCCCCTTTCCCCCTCCCAACCTCTTCCTGTGTCCTCCCAGTCCCACAGGCACCATGTCGTACGGTTTCACTCAAAACACCGCCGGCACCGCGGCAACCATGGCCTATTTCTCTTCCATCGGCCCTCTCGTCCTCCCCTCCACCGTCCCTCCTCCCTCGTTCCCCACCAACGACATCTTAAAGCCCGATATTATCGCTCCGGGGTATAACCTCTGGGGCGCTGCACCCGGGACGTCCCCAGGTGCTGCTATGTCAACCGCTACTAAGGCTTTAATGAGTGGGACGTCTATGGCTACACCTCAGGTTGCGGGAATCGCGGCGCTTATTATGCAGAATAAGACGGATTGGACACCGTCACAAGTGATGTCGGCAATTATGACGACAGCTAACGTGAAGAATAACAAGAACACGGGGATTAAGAGTTACAACAACTCTGGTGCGACGCCATGGCAAATGGGAGCTGGACACGTGGACGCAAGCAAGGTGCTTAACCCGGGCCTTACGTACAATTTGGCCGGGCAGGATTTTTACAACTTTTTGGCCGGGCAGAATCTGACCCTCACCCGGGGATTGGCTCCTGCTGATGCGGTTTTGACCCCCATTCCTGCTTACAACCTTAACCGGCCGACGATTTCCGTGGGACGGCTTACAGGGAGTCTGACTGTAACGAGGACGGTTACAAGTGTGGGGACTGCAGTGTCAACTTATAACGCTACTGTGGTGTCGCCTACTGGGGTTACCACGGTGGTTACGCCCAAGTCCTTCACGATAGCACCTGGCGAGTCGGTGACGTTCAACGTAACGTTCACGGTGGTAACCGCGTACAATAATTTCAGGTTCGGGAGTCTGACGTGGAAGGATGGCAAGAGTGTGGTTACATCTCAGATTGCGGTGGTCCCCTGGTCTGTATAGCCCTGTTTGGCTGGGCCACCATGTAACAGTATCATCCCCGTACCAGTTTATACTGGTAGTTGCTTAGTTTTTGTATTTTATAACGTGGTGGGTCAAAAGTTGTTTGGTGTATTTGAGTCTGAATGTCATACAGGTAGTGTGTTATGCTTCAAGGATGCAGAGCAGTTTTGTGTTTGTTATACTGTACTCTCTGCTCAATCATATTTTCATATACCGTAGCAGTGTTCTGTATTCTCTAGTAATTCCTCTTCTGCCATTTGAATACAGAGCGCAGAAATATCATGTTATTAATGAGTTTACAATGGGACTTGATTAGGCGGTATTATGCACTCTAGGAATGGACCCCCCCCAAAAAATCAAGCTGCTGGACTGTTACTGGACATTGTACACAGGTTTAGCATTAAATGCTTTCTTCGATTTCGACATTATGGTGTACAGATATTACTAATTGGAGAGCACAGCCAAAGATGTGAATACAGCTGGCAAAAGCCAGGGCGTCGGCCAACCACCAATCCCATAGCCACAGCAAAGCAGCCCAGCAGCAGAGCAGCAGCAAACCGCTCAAACGCACTTAACCACTCTGTCATGACCAGGAAAGATGATCCCTGCCAGTGCTGCTGCTACATCCATGGTGATTATGTGCGACAATGCTGCATCCTCATGCCCCAGATTCAAATGTCCTGAACGTGCAGACCTGGGGGGATAGAGGGTTATGTTGCGAACGGAGAAAGAGAAGGTAAGTGGTTGACAAGAGGTCAGACTTCATGTGCTGTACCATGACTGAATTATAAAGCACATTGCAATGTGCATATCCAGTCGATATGGTTATCCGTTCACCAAAAAGAGTCAGCCTCTGCTCTTACTACAAACCTCAAGTCATACGAAATCTCAGCTCTATGATTCCAGTCACAGAAACCCGAAACCACTGGTCCTTTCAGGGTTACTGTTGGTCGGAGTCAGCCAATCAGCTCACCCTACCGGCCAATGCTGACACATAATCAAGACTCGCTGCATGCGTCTCAGAGGACTCTACATATCCAGCGCTAAACCGCTTGCATTGTGACACTCGTCTTACGACCTTTGAGATCGTTTATAAAATCCGCCTTTCCTGCTCACCATCATCTCGCACTGCGATGCGCTGCGCTGTATTCCTGACGCGCTATGTCCTGTACCCATATGTCCCATCTACTCGAAACATCCGCACACAACCCGCATCTAGACTCCTGCACCGGAAGACTTCCTGAACCTACGCTCGCAGCACTGATACCCGCTTCCTCCATCTAATCTTGCTGCACCGAAACGATCTCCCCTCTCATAGACATTCCAGCGAGCAGCAGTTTTCTCCTTTGAAGCTGCTGCTCGCTGGAATGTCTAAGAACTCGCTCACGCTCGCTGCACTGATATCAGCTTCCTCCATCTAAACTTGCTGCACCGAAACGAACTCCTCTGGGACTAGACTTGCTTGGCTGAAAACGACTTCCTGAATCTAAGCTTCCTGCACTGGAAAAACTCCCCAAATCTAAAGCTTTGCACTAAATCCAAGCCCTCGCAGCGCTTCCCTGCACTGATTTATAACGCCGGAACTGGTCTCAGCTTCTCGTGACCACACGTCCGGCACAGTAAACGCGACAGTTTATCAACAAAACTCTGAAGCACCTTACTCAAAATAACCTAATAGATTTAACGCTGCAGATGAAAATCTCTGAGAACTGGAGATACGCGTGGGCTCATCGGGTAAAGCAGGTGTAGAGGTGCTTCAACTGTACACATACATCCCCTTCCAACTGAACAACATACTGTACAAACACATCCCCAACAACGCGTACAACATACCAAGGGGCAGCGACTGCTTGAGCTTGTTCGCCGTGTCGCTGTCGGTGACACAGCGTGTAGAGGTACTTGGAGCATCACAATAGAAGAATACTCTATATCGCGTACAACACATACCAGGGGGCAGCGACTGCTTGAGCTTGTCCGCCTTGTCCCTATCGGTGACACAGAGCGTGTAGAGGTACTTGGAGCACCGCACCTTGAACAATAAACGAACACCCTTATAACGCGTACAACACGTACCAGGGGGCAGCGACTGCTTGAGCTTGTCCGCCTTGTCGCTATCGGTGACGCAGAGCGTGTAGAGGTACTTGGAGCACCGCACCTTGAACTTCACCACGTCTCCTGTCTTCTTGATCTTCACGGCTGGAAGAGAGAAGGGTGAAGGAGGGGGTGGGGAGGGGGGAGGAGAGGAGCGGAGGGAGTAGTGCGTCGAGGTGAATGAGACGTGGGAAATGCAGAGATGACTGGTGAGTGAGCGAGGGGGGAGACAGTGACGGGGAGAAGGTCGAATAGAATCGCACTTGACGATCAGAGCATCACTGAAAGAAATTTCAGGGCAGAAATTTTCAAGGCAACTGGTGGGTGAGGTTAGGAAAGGGGGTGTAAGGAATTCGCACTTGACCATCAGAGCAACAGTGAAGGAACACTCACAAGGAACCATCAGCATCAGGGGGTAGGTGGGTTAGATTAAGGAAGGAAGAAACCCTAACACAACGCTGAGCAGGTTCATCGAACATAGACTTACAGCGGGCATCCTTCCGCCGCGCCGTGAGGAGAAACACGGTGTAGGGGGGAAGGAATGCGTTGGGGTGCCTAAAAAAACGTAACAAAACGCAAGAGTAGATTCATCGAACGGATACGTACAGCGGGCATCCTTCCGCCGCGCGGTGAGGAGGAAGTCCTTGATCTCGTGGATCTGCTTCGGCTGGCCAGAGGAAAATTGGAAGGGTTACAAGAGGGAAAAAGAATCGGGGGTGGGGGGGGGGGGGGGCGGGGCGGGGGGGCGAATAGGAGGGGGTCAGTAGGGAGAAGTGAGGAAGTCATTAGCTCGTGGATCTGCTTCGGCTGCCAGCATGATTCGTAAGCGTTGAGGGGAAACGAACGGGGGGTGGAGAGTGGGGGCGCGGGGCAAACGTTGCCGAATGGAGAAGGGAAGGAGCGAAACGGGGACGTCTCTTAATTAAAAAACCTGCGACCGCTGACAGGCCGTGTTCCTGAGACGCGAGGCAAAAGCTGCTAAAAAAAATGTCTGACTGATGGTTGACGGATCCAATCCGATATCTGAGTCGACTTAAAGTCATCTAATACGTGATTTAATAGCGGGAAGCCAGCAACAGCCCTGTATACACGAGCTAGACGAAAAACTAATCGACAACGAGGATAATATGGGCAGGTTCAGCTGCATGCGCTTCCTGCACCAGTAAATGCGAAGGGACGAGGTGACGTGGGTCAAACCCTAATTTGCTTTTGGCCCCGACACAAAACGCGCCACGCAGCAAAAGAACGGCAATTCCGCCAGCAGGAAAGGAACATCGGAAAGGACAGGAAGAAACCGCAATAGCATTGGAATTTTCAAGTTGCACACACTAGGAACATGTTCTACACAATATGTCAAGCTGATCGCGAGAAACCGAATCCTATCCATGAACGAAGGAAGAAAGAAGCGAAAGCACACGCACCATGGTGACGACGTGGGTGGCCTAAAGACCGAAGAAGGAATCAACCCTAGGTGCGATGAGGGCAAGCTAAGTCGTTGGGAGGGAGAGGAAGGAATCTAAGAGCTAGAGCGAAGGAAAAGGGCAGCGCAGCGTGGAGGGAGCGCTGCGTGGAGGGAGCGGACCAGCGCGCATACGCGTTTGCGGAGAAAAAGGGTTTTGGGTGGGTGGGAGAGTGTGTGGAAGGGCGGGTGGAGGGGTGGGGGTGGGGGGGTTTTATTCGAGAGCAGAACGGCGGGACAAATTCCGATTTGCTCATTCCGTTCGAGTTCTTTTGGGCTTTGCTTCCAACTACAGTCATTGAGTCATCCAAGGTAGGACTTTATTAGTAAGTTCATATGGATATTCTCGTTCACATCGTTATGTTGCCACATGCTGTAAGCGCGTTCTTGCAAGCGACGGGGTTGTTCACCATTCTTGAAAGCCTAACTTGGAGCTCTGGCCAGACCTCCACATAGGCTTGGCTGAAATGCCTCGTGTTTGTTTGCTCTGGCCAGACCTCCACCATACATAAACCATTGGTTGGGCAGCCTAGTTGATGTGGTTCTGCGGGGCCAACATCATAGGCTTGGAAATTATGTCAGGACGGTTTGCAAGTGCATACAACTGACGGCCCCTGTGAAGTTGTTGACGGTTCGTTATCTGCCCGCGATCAGAAAAAAATAAACTCCAAATGGATGACATGTGACTAGGTAAGCTCAAACCTAAATACGGGTAACCGCGTGATTTTGCCGGCGGGCTGACATCTTTCCTCAGATACCGTCAATTGCATGCATCTGCAACCGTACTAGCGAAATCTGCATGACGGTAGCAATTGACCGCGGTTCTGCGCAAGCCTCGATGTTTGTCCCACGTGGAATTCGAGTGAGGCGAATAGGTTATCCCATCCACCCATGGCAAGGCACATGCTGCCCACATGACAGGGTGGCACCTGCCCTCCCCCGACCTCACCTCGGGGCGGACTGGGTCCGGTCTCGATAACTGCACACCCCCTTCTCTTTTTTTCGTAGGTACCCTTTACAGGATTTGACTTGATACGACGGACACCCAGAGATTAAGGGTTTATAAAGATACAACGTGCAGGTCCTCTAGAAAGAAACGCGCACTTAATGTTCCGGGTGAAGGGTTTAGTTAGGTTTAGGTTCTCTTTTATATTCTTGGTGCACCTCGACAAACCCGAATGTACGTCGGACCCTAATCCGCGGTTTTCCTAAACGCTGGTAACTACCCTACGAAAACGATTGACCTAGGGTGAATACCCCAGAGTGTGAGATTAAGGGGAGAAATAATCGAGAAGTACTGTGCTACGGCGGATTCGGTTATCACAGCGGCGGTGTGTTTTGTGGGGGGAGGGATATTGAGGGGGAACGTCATGCCCGGGGATCAGTTGTCGGAAGCAGGTGTGATTGTGAATGGTGGGTGGTTGGGGCAGAAACCAGGGTTTGGCTGTCAAAAAGGGGAACCAAACCAGGCGGCTTCTTGCCGTCCTTTCCATACTGTACACTTCAGCAGCAGCATCAGGCACAAGCAACCATCAAGCCCCGCGAACCACTCCCCCACTCTTCCAGCCCCCTCCCCCCCTTTCCCCCACCCTTTCTCTCTTTCACCCCCACCCACCGCACCACTCTCGCATGCATTGCGATCACACTACCCCAACCCTAAAATCCATGCCTCCCCGCGTTTAGGGTTGAGGCTCCCTGACCGGATGCATGCCCGTCTGGGGTTTATTTTTTTTGCCCGCGGGCAGCGAGCTCCCCCGGGCGGACTCGCTTGTCCGCTGAGATATATCATTCGGTCTGCACTGCACTCAGCGCAACATCCTCCCCTCTGTCAAATTGTACAGTCAGGCATTCTTTCTACAGAATCCGCCTGCCCCAACCTTGCTCGGCATGGCATCCAATCGCATCTATCCCTGCCCCTTCCCCAGACAAACCCTTCCCTGGAACCAGGAGTACAGAGCGGGTCATTTTCGTCCAATCAAATCAAAACTGACTCTAACAAGGTTCATTGTGGTGCGCAATGGTCTAAAGCGGTGGAAACCTAAACCACTCTGAATTGTGGTAAAACGTATTGAACCACCGTCTAATTAGTGCTTCAGCCGCGCAGAAAGTATTCGTTGTGCAAGTCTTCTTAATCTGGGCTGGCTTCAGGACTCCACAGTTGTTATCACTCCGTTCTTCAAACCACTAAGTTTATGCAGTACTGATATTTTCGACCCTGATACCTATTCGTAAACGTCGAATTTGGTACCAAGCGCGTGGATAAAGTCCCTGTTCCCGATTTTGACATTCATGGCGTCGCCTTTTTACCAACAGATCGGCGCAGATTTCGCCACTTACCAACCCCTCGCGGAGAATCCCCATCCGATGCTGAGCCAGCAGCCATATCTTCCACATCAGCTGCACCAACCGCCATTTCAGGCACAAACGCCGCATCCGCTGATGTTAAATGAAGCTGTTTCTTCACAAGGAAGTCCTCAAACCACGCCGCAACTCACGATGAATCTGAACCAAGCTATGGTCGAGGAGGCTCCGGTTTAGCTTCTGGCGTTCTTGGCTTATCGTCCTCCCCAGAGGCTCTAATGAATGCCCTCAATCTGCTTCAGCAGGTACGGCTACGCTACATCGTCCATTCTCTTCCAACTCTCTTCGTTTGAATACTTAGTCGTGTCTTTGCTGGATGATGTGCTGTTCGACACCTTCCCGCCATGGAGAGTACTATTTTTTCGCTTCTTTTCGGTTTCCTTTTCTCCAATATCTCTTGAATCTTGTTTCTCAGTGTCATGCATGGTCTCTCCCTCTGTCTCGGATCATTCGTTGTCCGCAGAACATCAGCGCGCTTCAATCGCTCATCCCGTTGATGGCGCAGCAGCAGCAGCAGCAGCCAATCGACAGCGCTCACGCGGAGCAGCTAAAGCAGCAGCACGCTGCCGCGTCGGCCGGAGTCGCGTCCATCATTTCCCAGCTCGCGCTCGCCGCGGCCAACATCCTCCCCCAAATGGGCCTTCCTGCGCCCATTAATGTCACCCCCGCTACTATTCCACCCGCTACTGTCACATCTGGTGCTTTCCAGTCCGGGAGTGAGGTTCCACAGGGAACTCCTGCGGGCTTTGACTTCCAGAATCTTGGTTTCCAGATGTTGGAATCGCAATCGCGGAATGTGCGGAACGATGATACGGCTACGGCTCAGGTGCAGCTGAGTCTTGTTTCCTTGACCCCTGCTGCTGCCGAGTCTGTCAAGCTGCAACAAAATCAGCTCAAGAGCGTTATATCGCAAAAGGAGCAACAACAGCACCTTTGTCCACCAGCGGCAGCAGCAGCAACAGCAGCAGCACATTCAGCAGCAGCAGCAGCAGATGTCCGTCTTTCCAGGCGAGGATACGTTGCCACTCGCAATCGCGTCGCAACTGCCGCGGAAGCGGAAGAGCCTCGAGCCCGTGACGGCGACGCCAGCTGCTGACGCGCGACATAATCCAGATGGACCCTGTGGAGCTGCTGGCGGAGCACACCCACTTCTGCGAGATTTGCGGCAAAGGTTAGTTTAGATGTCTCTACCTCACAGGAACTATCTCAGCTCTCTGTCTCGGTAGGTGTGTTTTCTCCACCACCTTAGTGGGCCGTGGCCCGTGAGATCTGCACTTCTGCGAGATCTGCGGCAAAGGTAGGTTGTCAAGTCTCAATTCAAGAAGTACTACCGTATTTCTTGTTCACAGCATCTGCGGCGGAGGTGCTATGCCTTGTTAATTTAACAGCGTCTGTGGCAAAGGTATTAGCTGTACGCGGCGTGGTTTATGGAGAAAGCACGCGCCGCTGGGGTTCGTCCCGCATTGCTGATTTGCCTCACTGTGTCTTTCTGCTCTCATGGCTCATCCTGATATCTGTATCCCCTCCTTTTGTCGTCCATCCTCCCTCACAGGATTCAAGAGAGACGCCAACCTCCGCATGCACATGAGAGGCCATGGCGACGAGTACAAGACGCCAGAGGCCCTCGCAAACCCCGACAAAACCACGCTTTCTCGGACAAACCCCACTGTTGCTGCCGAGAAAAAGCCGCTTCGATACAGCTGCCCGTTTGTCGGGTGCAAGCGCAACCAGCAGCACCGGGCGTTCGTGCCGCTGAAGACGATGCTGTGTGTGAAGAACCACTACCGGCGCACCCACTGCCCCAAGATGCTCTCCTGCTCCAAGTGCGGTGCAAAGCGGTTCTCGGTGGTGGCGGACCTCAAGACCCACGAGAAGCACTGCGGGCGCGACCGCTGGCTGTGCTCCTGCGGCACGTCCTTCAGCCGCAAGGACAAGCTGCTCGGCCACCTCGCCCTCTTCAAGGGCCACCGCCCCGCCAACCCCTCCTTCACCGCTGTTGACGACGGCCCTGCAGGCGCCATCGCTGATGGTACTACAGGAGGTGAAGCTCCCGCGATCGCTGGTCACCTCCCCGGCAAACCCACCCTTGCTGCTGTGGATGACGGCCCTGCGCCGGCAGTGGCTCCCATGCTTTTCGGATCTTCCTTCCAGCAACCTGAGCTACAACCTGGGAACCAGCCTGAGCAACGGCCACTGTCAGAACTTGTCACGGCAGATCTCCTGGGCTCAGCCGAAAAGGCTGCACGGCTGGTCCTTTGAGTTCAGTGGGATTCACCTACATTCTGTTCCATTTCATCGCATGATCCATCACAAACCATGAGCGCGGAAGCTGTTGAGTTGACAGCATCCGCCTGCTTGCCTGGGGGCTGTGGATACGCTTGAATTCACCTGCAGCTTAACCATCCTTCAAGGCTGCACAGCTCATGCTGTGACTGAGGATCCTTCTGGGGAGGCTGCTGCCAACTCAACTCTTGTCAGCACAAGGCGGCCTGGTTCCTGTTGTGAGTTTACTTGTATGAAGACTGTGGACCGGTAAATGTGCCCCTTAGTACTAGTGAAAATTGATATATAGTGCCCATATAGGGCACATGGTTCTGTGGGTTCTCGTGTTTTTTTACAGAGTATGGTGCAAAGAAGTCACTACCACAATGTTGTTTACATAACACCCAAAAGCTGAATCCTACTTCAGGAAATCCGTCTTGCTAATGCAAAAAAAAAACAGGCAGGTCATTCAGGTACCTGCCTGGTGGAAATTTGCAAGTAAATCTCATCTCAACCCACAAGTTGAGGCCAAAAAAACTAATTTATAGGTACTGTACCAGAGAAACAGCACATCACAATCAGCCACATTAAAATTATAGCATTCAGATGTTAAACACTCTTGAGACGGCTCAACAGCAGCCCGCCCCCTAGTGGCCTGTGGCTTGCTGTTGAAACACCTCAAGGAACTCTCGAGCAGTCACAGAAAAGAAAATAATAGACGAGTTATTATGCGGCGGTGAGAGTGAGGCAGTGAACGGGAAGGGAATCCATGGGAAGAAAAGAAGGCATGACTGCGTTGTCAGCAATAGGTGTGGGAGGGAGGCATTGCAATTAAAGAAGAGCTTGCAACTTTGATGTGCAATGCTGCTGATAAATCCTGCTGCTGCTGCTGCTGCTGCTACTGGGGCAGCTGCTGTTGCTGCTAAAGAAAGCGCATAGACATGCCTCACACAATGCCAATGCTCCTAAGGAATGCATATCGACACAGCCTCACAAAATGTTGCTGGAGCTGGTGCTGCTGCTGCTATTGCGAGTGCATTGACATGCCTCACACAATGCTGCTGCTGGTGATGCCGCTGCTGTGAAAGGCAGACCTGAATCGAGTGTATGACCGCGATCCTGCTGGTGCTCCTGCTGTGTTGAAGGCAGGTGGAGGAAGCATAGGAGCATTCCCATTAGCACCTGTGGCCACAATACCAGCAGCAGCAGCAGCAGGACCCACCCCGCCTTCCATCCCCCCTGGTTGGTACGATATGGGTATTGCCGCATTACTGCTCCCATTCCCTCCTCCCACCCCCCCACTCCCACTCCCGGTCCCGCTGCTGCTCCCATCCCCTGCACTCATCATCCCCCGACTCCCCCCCAACCCATTGCTGCTGCTCCCCTCCCCGCTGCTCGCAAACGTGATATTTGAGTGGCCGAAGCCGGGCGGCGGGTGGCCGGCCGCCGCCTCGAGCTGGATGGCGTGGTTTAACTCGAAGCAAACGTCCGAAATGCTCGGGCGGTTGAAGCTTTTTGGTTCGACGCACACCACGCCCACCTCTGCCACGCGCCACATGACTTCAATGTCGAATTCGGATGGGGAGAGGGTTGGGTCTATGATTGCCTCTATCTGCCCTTGCTGCAACCGGGATCGAACCTGCAGAGGGGGCATGCATGGGACATAAGGCATGGGTGAAGGGAGGCAACGGGGCGAGAGCGGGAGAGAGTTGGGTCTATGATGGCTTCTATCTGCCCCTGCTGCAGCCGGGAACGTACCTGCAGAGAGGGGTAGGGAGGGTGGAGCAAAGGGCGATAGAGCAGGACGAGAATGCCAGTGTTAGCACACTACTGGAGGGGGAGAGAGTCGGGTATTTTGAGACGTCTCAAAATTATGAGACGGGTATTCCAACCGTTCCTTGGCCGGCTCCGACTAGCCAGCTGGCTCGCACTTAACAATCAGCTGCAACTGATCGAATTGCAGCCAACCGCACTCAACCAGAATCAACTGCAGTCAACCGTGACTCACCCAGTCAATGATGCTCCAGTCATCTTGCGCACGGTTCAGGTCAATCGGCTGCCGCCCAGAAATCAGTTCCAGCAGCACCCAGTCAACCCCAGTCAACCACAGTCAACCACCCTCGAATCGTCACTCACCCAGTCAATGATGCTCCAATCGTCCCTCGGCCGGTTGAGGTCGATCGGCTGCCGCCCGGAAATCAGTTCCAGTAGCACCACTCCGAAGCTGAACACGTCGCTGCGATCCGTCAATTGCTGCACAGTGTAGTACCTGGTGGGATGAAGGGATGGAGGGAGTGAAGTGGAGGGAGTACAGGGGTTGAGAGCCGGATATCAGTTTTAGCAACACCACTCCGAAGCTGAACACATCGCTGCGATCCGTCCGTTAGCTGCTGAACTGTGTAGTACCTGGTGGGATTTAAAAAAAGGAGGGGAGGGGAGCGACGGGAGTGTGGATGGGGTATGTGGTGCGTGTGTTGATGCGCTCTCCCATTCACCAATCAGCTTCAGCAGCACCACTCCAAAGCTGAACACGTCACTGGGATCCGTTAACTGCTGCAACGTGTAGTACCTGGTGGGATGGGGTTGAGTGCGGGGGGAGAGAGGGGGAGGATGGGGCATGTGGTGTGTGTGGGCCTGCTACCAAACTCCTCAGTTCCAGCAACACCACTCCGAAGCTGAACACGTCACTGCGACCCGTTAACTGCTGAACTGTGTAATACCTGATTAGGTCTGGAATGGGAGACGAAGGGGGCGGGGAAAGAGGGAGGGGATAGAGGAAGGGAGAGGGGGTGGAATGTGTGGATGGGGCATGTGGTGTGTGAGGGGCAAGGAAGCAAGGGAGGGAATGCCGAGCAGAAGGGACTTACTCAGGATCGATGTAACCAGCAGTCCCCTTGACGTTGGTGGACACGTGCGTGCGGCTGACAGAGCCCTCCCTGGACAGCCCAAAGTCGGCCACGTGCGCTCTCAGGTACAGGGGACATGGGCTGTGTGCATGCAAGATGCTGCATTCTAGCAGGGGGGCATGGGCACGTGAGCACTCACTCAGGGTCGAGGTATCCAGCCGTCCCCTTGACATTGGTGGACACGTGCGTGCGGCTCACAGAGCCCTCCCTGGACAGTCCAAAGTCGGCCACGTGGGCCCTCAGGTTAGCGTCTAGGAGAATGTTGCTGGTCTTGATGTCCCGGTGAATGATGGGGGGGGTCATGCCTGTATGCAGGTACTCGATTCCTGTGAGATGGGAGGAAGGTTGGGATGGGAGAGGAGATGGGAGGGTTTGTGAGGGGACAGGGCTCTCAGGTTGGCATGGAGCAGAATGTTGCTTTTGAGACGTCTCAAAAACACCCTCTCTACACGTGGAGCAGAATGTTGCTGGTCTTGATGTCCCGATGGATTATAGGAGTCATGGCTGTGTGCAGGTACTCGATTCCTGTGTGGGAACGAGATGGGTAGGTTAGAGTGTCTCAGTTTGGTTCCCGAACGAATCGAATCGTACAGATGATCCCGCACAGTGCCGTGCAGCATGAACTCATAGACCAGCACCTGCTGCCCGCTCTCACATGCTGCCTCCACCTTCACCCATCTCACCTCTAGCGGCATTCAGAGCAATGTGCAGGCGCTGCAGCCACCTCAGATGTCCGAGAGGGTTTTTAATTGAATCATAAAGATGATTCGGCACAGTGCCATGCGGCATGAACTCACTGCTGCTGTGTGCTTAGCGGCATGTACCCTCACCTCAGGCCGCTAATCACGCGCAGATGTTACACACACACTCTCAGTCCCCGACTCACCTCTGGCCGCGTTGAGAGCAATGTGAAGCCATCTCAAGTGCCCCAGGGGATTCCCAATCGAATCATACAAATGGTCCCTCACAGAACCCTGCAGCATGAACTCACAGACCAACACCTGCTGCTGTGTGCCTAGCGGCAAACTCACACACAAGCACGGCACACACTCCCACGCACCTCTAGCAGCGTTGAGGGCGATTTGCGGCCGTTGCAGCCACCGCAGGTGCCCCAGGGGGTTCCTGATCGAGTTGTACAGATGATCCCTCACAGTGCCACGCGGCACCAAGAGTTTTCTCACACCAAGGGATTTCACCGATCTCACCTCTAGCAGCATTCAGAGCGATGTGCAGCCGCTGTAGCCACCTCAGGTGCCCCAGAGGGTTCCCAATCGAGTCATACAGATGGTCCCTCACAGTGCCGTGCGGCATAAATTCATACACCAACACCTGCTGCCCGCTCTCCCGGCAGAATCCAATCAAATCCACGAGATTCGGGTGGCGGGCACGGGACAGCAGGTCCACCTCGTTATAAAACTCCTTCTCGCCTTGTAACGAGTCCTCATCTCTCTTTTTCACAGCCACCATACGGCCATCAGGGAGAATCCCTTTGAACACCGGCCCGAACCCGCCCGAGCCGATTATGTGGGAGGGGTGGAAATTGGCAGTGGCAGCGGCAAGGTCTGCAAGGGAGAAGCGCCGCACGTGGGAGCCTGGAGAGACAAAGAGAATCATTGAGTCAACAGCTGGTGCTGGTGCTGCTGCTGCTGCTGCTGCTGGTGCTGGTGCTGGTGCTGCTGCTACTGCTGCTGCTGCTGCTACTGGCGCTGCTGCAGGTGCTTCTGCGGATAAAGACTGATCCTGGGCCATGGAGCTATCACCAGAGATGCCGTTGTGTGACACACCACTGCCAACCGCACCTGCTGCTGCTGCACCAGCAATAGCCGCTGCCCCAGCTGCTGCTGCAGCAGCACCATTTACAGCAGCAGTAGCACCAGCAGCAGCAGGGCCAAAGGCCGTTGCAGCAGTGTCGGTTGTTGCAGCAGAGGATGCACCCAAACTAGACCCGAGGAGCAGCGAGGAATCTTCTTTTGCTCTCAGCAATGGAATTGTCGACTCTGTAGCCGAAACAGCAGCAGGCACCTTCACTGCTCCGGCCCCTACCCCTGCTCCAGCCCCCACCCCAACCCCTACCCCTACTCCTGCCCCTGTTGCTGCTGCTGCTGCTGCCGCTGCTTTTCCATCTCCTCCCTTCTCCCCATGCCCATTAACCACTACCTCCACCGACCCCACCTGATCATGCCCCAATAACGCCTCCCCTTGCCTTTTCCCATCATATCCCCCTCCTCCCCCTCCCCCTCCTCCTCCTTTCCCTTCCCCATCCCACCCTCCCAGCCCTCCCTTCCCCTCCCCGCTCCCCCCCTTCCCTCCTTTCTCCTCCCCATCCAGCCCCACCCCCCCAGAATAAGCCTCTGCCGCCCGCCTCGCCCTCTGCATCTTCTGCCAGCGCCACAGGACAAATGTCGCCGCCGCGACTATACAGATGCCCAGGATTATGCCTAAAACGAGGAATATTAAAGCCACAGTACTCATAGAAGTAGCAGAGGAAGAGTCGTCGGAGGGAGAGGAGGAGGAGGAGGAGGAGGAGGGGGAGGAGGGAGAGAGGGAGGTGACTGGAAGGCCATTGTTGGAGCAGGCGGGGAGGTTGAAGGCCCGATCTGGGTGACAGAGGTAGTTGTTGCCTTCGATGCTGTGGGAAAGAAGGGCTCAGAGGGATGGGAGCAGAGGGGGAGGGGGAGTGGTTGGAAGGTTGGGGGATTTCGTGAGTCCAGGCGGGGAGGTTGAAGGCCCGATCTGGGTGACAGAGGTAGTTGTTGCCTTCGATGCTGTGGGAAAGAAGGGCTCAGAGGGATGGGAGCAGAGGGGGAGGGTGAGTGGTTGGAAGGTTGGGGGATTTCGTGAGTCCAGGCGGGGAGGTTGAAGGCCCGATCTGGGTGACAGATGTAGTTGTTGCCTTCGATGCTGTGGGAAAGAAGGGCTCAGAGGGATGGGAGCAGAGGGGGAGGGGGAGTGGTTGGAAGGTTGGGGGATTTCGTGAGTCCAGGCGGGGAGGTTGAAGGCCCTATCTGGGTGACAGAGGAAGTTGTTGCCTTCGATGCTGAAGGAAAGGAGGGCACAGAGGGATGGGAGCAGAGGGGGAGGGGGAGTGGTTGGAAGGTTGGGGGATTTCGTGAGTCCAGGCGGGAAGGTCGAATTGAAGGCCCTATCTGGATGAAACAGGTAGTTATTGTTACCCTCGATGCTGTAGGAAAGGGCACAAAGGAAAAGAGCACCAAGGGAAAGAGCACAAGAGGGGGAAAGAACAGAGAGAGGGAGGAGTGGATGGAAGGTTGGGGGAACTAGCCGGTCCAGGCAGGGAGGTTAAAGGCCCTATCTGGGTGACAGAGGTAGTTGTTGCCTTCAATGCTACAAAAAAGGGCACAGAGGGAAAGAGGCACAGAATGAGGGGGGAGGGGAGTGAGTGAAAGTTTTTTCGGTCAGAAGCAGGAGGGGAAGTAGCTGTGAAGTTTCCGAGATGTCCTGAATACAAATTTGCAAAGAAAAAAACAGAAAAAAGAGAAGGAAGAAAAACAGCGAAGGCACTTTATAGATGGCACCGAAGGGAGGGAGAATGAGAGAAGGGAGGGGGAGGAGAGAAGGGAGGGAGAGAGAGAAGGGAGGGAGAGAGAGAAGGGAGGGAGAGAGAGAATTTGCCTTCGACTAGTACGCTCGCAAGGCGCCCGGGTGAGCGGCCAGGATGCAAGCGGACAAGAAGGAGACCAAATATGCCGGGCGGAGCCCGTGGGTGGGCTTCTATGCCATGGCCGTGGAGACCTACGGTTACCCCTCACCTGGAGTCCTCGATTTCCTCCGAAGCTGCGCGGAGCTAGCGGCAAAGCGGCGGTTTAACGCCTCCCCAAAGTCGAGGGAGGTGGCGAAACTACTCACCGAGTACCGCCAGCGCTGGAGCGTGACCCTGCAGAGAGCCCAAGCCAACGCCCTCAGGGATAAGACCCATGAGGCTCTTACCGCGGATGTGCTAGGCCTGCAGGGACCGTTCACTCCACTGAGCGAGGGCCAGCTGTACCAATTGATAGAAGACCCCTCCGGCCACTAGGGCCGGAAGGGGAAGGGGGCGGCAGTAGTTGTGTCGGGATAGGGAAATGATAGAGTAGCTTTGCTGTGTGTGGGTTGCTGCTCTACCCTGTTTGTACCTTGGTGATATTAATACGAAGGACCGTTCGAGAAGGGAGGGGGATAAGAGATGAACGGGGAATGAGGGGAGGGAGGGAAACAAGAGCATGAGATGTTTACTTAATGTCGATGGTGACAGTGGGAGGGAACAGGACGGAGAGAAAGGAGAAGAAGATAAGGGAAGGAGAGATGAGGGAGGGAGAGATAAGGGAGGGAGAGTAGCGGAAGTACTGCTTACTTGATGTCAATGCTGACTGTGGGAGGGAAAGGGAAGGGTCCTGAGAGGTTGTTGTTGCTGAGATCACTGCAGAGAGGGAAAGAGAGAAGAAAGAAGAAGGATAAGTGGGTATGAGAGGGTTTGAGAGTGGTGGGACTTGGGAGACGATTGGTGGAGCTGTGACAGATTCAGGAATTTGGGAAGCTGTGACAGTGCCACCGGCACTTTTGAAATGGATTTCTAGTTGAAACGAAATGGGTAAACTTCCAAGAGGATCTACTAGAAGACCCAAAAAAGGACTGGTGGGAGGGGCTTACAGGTGCAGAAATTCGGGCAGCTGTGCCAGCGCCACCGGCACACTTCCCACCAGCTGGTTGTCACCCAGCTTGCTGCAGAGGTAACGAGGGGTGGGAGGGAGTTGTGAGGGAGTTGTGGAAGGTTGGAGGGAGTTGAGTAGGGGAAGACAGCACAGGAGGCTGACAAGGAGAACTGACTGGCATAAGCAGCTTTCTGCAGCTGCAAGAGAGGTAATGAGGGGTTTGGAAGAGTTGAGTGGAGTGGAGTTGAGTGGAGAGAGGTTGAGGGGCTAATATGGAGGTTCATCAGAAATGGCACTTAGGCGGTTGACTTGTAAGTAAAGTGTTTATGTGTTGTCTTTAGGTTGGCAAGCGAAAAAAACTGAAGGGGCCTAACCCATTTTTATGAAAGATGGGACAAGGAGGGATCAGGGGTGTGGGTCGGGGACGAGCGGATGAGAGGAGGGGAGGAGGGGATTAGGGGAGGAGAGGAGGGGATGAAAGGAGGGGAGGAGGACCGTACAGGGAGTGCAGGTTCGAGAGGGAACCAAGCCACGAGGGGATGTCGCCCGTGAGGCTGTTGTCGATCAGCACGCTGCAGGTGTGGGGTGGGCACGTGGGGAGCACGTGGGGAGCACGTGGGGGGCACGTGGGGGGCACGTGTGGGATGGGCAGGTGGGGGGATGACAGGTTGGGGGTGGGCAGGTGGGGGTTGGGCAGGTATGGGGGGGCAGGTAGGGGTTGGGCAGGTGGGGGGTGGAGGAGACAAAAAGGTCCTGCATGGGTGCATTGCAATTTGCAACCACGGATGAGTTGAATCAGAAGACGGAACAGGTCGGGATATGTTGCCAATGCATCTTAGATTCTCTCAAGAGCAAAACAAACAACAGGAGAAGGTGCGAACGGTGAACGGGAGACAGAAGGTGCGTACAGTGAACGGGAGAATGTGCTTACAGTGAGGAGAGGGAGGAGAGGTTGGCAATGCAGGCAGGTATGGAGCCGGAGAGACCAGAGTGACTCAAGTCCCTGTGGAGGGCAACAGGCAGGCACGAGAGGGATGTAGGTGGACGTGGGATGAGGGCATCGTTGATGCGGGCGGACATAGGATGAGGGCATCGTTGATGCGGGCGGACATGGGATGACGGCATCGTTCATGCGGGCGGACATGGGATGAGGGCATCGTTGATGCGGGCAGACATGGGATGAGGGCATCGTTGAGTCACCTCAAGGCACACAGGGTGGCATGGGTAGGCCCCAACCCACTCCTCCAAACTAGGTCAGCAACATTCACACACTTGAATAATACTCCGGCATTCAAACAACCACCACTCCCAGCAGCTCAACAAGGCTCGGAGAAACACAGCAGTACCCAAACAGCAGCACGCACACAAGCAACAACACTAGCGCTCATACACTCAAACTGTGCACCAGTACTACAACAATCAAAGAGATACTCACAGGCCAATGACGGCAGTGGCATTGGCACTGAAGCTGCACTGCACGCCAGGCCACGTGACAGGGTAGCATGGGTCCCCCACCCACTCCTCCATAGCCGCAGGCTCCCCAAACTGCGTCTTCACACACGCCAGCGCCGCCACAACTCCCCCCCCCACTGCCGGCGCCTCCTCAAACAGCTGGACTATTTCCAACTGCTTCAGCTGTTGTCTGAAGGCGAAGACGCGTGTGTGTGTGTGTGTGTGTGTGTGTGTGTGTGTGTGTGTGTGTGTGTGTGTGTGTGTGTGTGTGTGTGTGTGTGTGTGTGTGTGTGTGTGTGTGTGTGTGTGTGCATTGGTGCACTTTCGCGAGCACACGTGTCCATATGACTTTCAGTGCGCACATCGTCTAGCTCGGCACCGATCCCCGGAGAGGACGAATCCGGCTCTTAGCGGTGGTTTTCACTCGAAGTCTGATGTTTAGCCGGTTTTCGGGTGTGACTGTGAAGGGGATGGTGGCTTGGCCGGCTCTGGGGCCTCCCCATTGGTTGGGGGGGGAGAGGGGAATGACGATGAGCTGGCGCTCCACAACCACGTCGTTTAGTAACACGGTTACCACTAAATCGCCCAGAAAGTCGCCGATGCTGGTGACGCTGGTGCTGCTGTTACCGTCACTGCCACTGCTGCTGCCACTGCTGCTGCCACTACCAGAACCACTGTTACTGCTAGTGCCATTACCGCCACTAGTGCTGTCAGTGCCATTACCACTGCCACTGCCACTACCGCCAACACTGCCACTGCCGCTGGTGTTTCCGTTGCTGCCGCTGCCGTTGCCGCCCCTGCCATTACCATTGCTGCTACCGCCACCGCTGCTACTGCCTACAGAAGTTGCAGTGGCAGCAGCAGGTGGGGGGAGGAGGCTGGTGAAATACAGAAACGCCTGGTACTGACCTACATCAAGGTTATCAAAGGAGTACTCTAACCCTCTATTCGCCAGCGCTGGTGGTGCTAGCACTGTGCGCGCAGACTGCAGCACCCGCTGCGGCACAGCGTTCGTAAAGGAGGTGGTGATGGTGGTGGTGTTGGTGCGGATGGGGCGAGGGATGGTTACGGTGGCGTGACTGGTGGTAACCAGCTGTGTGCGGGTGGCTGGTTGTAGGTCCCAGTGGTCTGTGAGCGTGCTGCCGTCGATCTGCCATATGCGATCTAGAGGGTCTGAGGGGTACCTGGGAGGGGGAAGGAGAGAGAGGGGAGTGGGGAAGATGTTTTACAATGGTTACAACAGTGGTGGTAACCAGCAGTATGCGGTTGGATGGATGAAGGTCCCAGTGGACCAACTGAGTGCTGCCGTTGAATGCCCATGTGCGGTCAACAGGGTCTGAGGGGTACCTGAAACATAGAGGGAGGAAAGTGGAAAGGAGAGTGTGGCGGTTTCAGTGACTACCAGAGAGTGGTGGTTACCACCGGCTGGTTGCAGGTCCCATGCGGTCCAACTGAGTGCGCCATTGACTGCCAATGTGGGGGACTTTGATAATAGAAAATGTTTTATTATTAGGAACTGAAGAGCCTACCCCACATGCGCACACACCCACACACAAACCCACCTGAAAGTCTGGTTCCTGACAGGGCTGTCCGCACAAACAAAGCGCCACCACAGCAGCAGCACATCGGCTTTCAACTGCTGGTAGCTGTAAGACAGAGGCGGCAGCGGGCGGATCTCTATAGCGTTGATGATGGGCTGGGGGCCTTCCCCTTCCCCCAGGCGCACCCACATGCATGCACACCCACACACACCTGAAAGTCTCGTCTCTGATGGGGCTGTCGCCACACGCGAAGCGCCACCACACCAGCAGCACGTCCGCCTTGAGCTGCTGGTAGCTGTAGGAGAGCGGCGGCAGCGGGCGGATCTCGATGGCGTTGATGATGGGCGGGGCAGAGAGACGCCCCTCCCCTCACATGCACACATACGCACTCACATGCACACATACGCCCTCACACAAACCCCACCCACCTGAACGTCTCGTCTCTGGTGGGGCTGCCCACACAAGCAAAGCGCCACCACACCAGCAGCACGTCCGCCTTGAGCTGCTGGCAGCTGTAGGAGAGCGGCGGCAGTGGGCGGAGCTCGATGGCGTTGATGATGGGCGGGACCCCCACACGCTGCAGACAGATGGGCACACGTGGACTGATAGACTCACCTGAAAGTCTGATCCCTGACGGGGCTGTCTCCACAAGTAAAGCGCCACCACACCAGCAGCACGTCGGCCTTCAACTGCTGGTAGCTGTAAGACAGCGGTGGCAGCGGGCGGATCTCGATGGCGTTGATGATGGGCGGGGCGTCCCCCACCCGCTGCAGGCAGATGGGCATGGCCGCGTCCCTGACTGTGGCTATGGCTTCGAGCGTGTAGAGGGTGTCGCCAATAGGGCGCAGGTCCACTTGACCACTGCAGTCAAGAGACCCGGATGGAGGGGAGGAGGGGAGAGAGGCGAGAGAGTAGTGTGAATTGGTGGCAGCGGGCGGATTTCTATGGCGTTGATGATCGGCGGCGCATCCCCCACTCGCTGCAGGCAGATGGGCATGGCTGCGTCCCTGACTGTGGCCATGGCTTCGAGTGTGTAGAGGGTGGCACCTATAGCACGCAAGTCCCCTTGACCACTGCAGTAAGGGAAAGGAAGTAGGGGAAAGGAACTGGGTGTCTTAGAATCTCCGACTGTGGCTATGGCTTCGAGCGTGTAGGGGATATCACCTACAGGGCGAAGGTGCACCTGACTCCTGCAGTGAAGCAATGCCGGTGGAGGAGAGGAGGGGAGGCGGGGAGGGGAGGCGAGGAGGGGAAAGAGGCGGGTAGGCAGTGTTTGAACGGACTCGAGCTGATGCCCCCACTCGCTGCAGGCAGATGGGCATGGCCACCTCCCTAACTGTGACTATGGCATCCCATCCCATCCCATCCCATCCCATCCCATCCCATCCCATCCCATCCCATCCCATCCCATCCCATCCCATCCCATCCCATCCCATCCTATCCCATCCCATCCTATCCTATCCCTCTCATCCGCCACTCACGCTGATCCAGGCCCTATGGTGACGTTGAACATGGGTGGTGAGCTCTTGCCATCGTGGTTCTTTCCCTCTGGCAGCATTTAACAGCACAGGAGCCACAAACACTCTCAAACCCTACACACTGCCTGCCTGCCTGCCCGCCTGCCTGCCTGCCTGCCTGCCCGCCTGCCTGCCTGCCTGCCACCCCATCCCTCGAACATAACTCACGCTGATCCGGGCCCTATGGTGACGTTGAACACAGGTGGTGAGTTCTCGCCGTCGTAGTTCTTGTACCAGAAGGTCAGGCGCACCAGATAACGGCCTGAGAGGAAGGGGAAAGGGGGAGCGAGGACAGGGAAAAGGAGGGGGGGTGAGGAACGAGCGGTACGGAGGGGAAGAAGTGGGGAAAGAGGAGTTCTTGCCATCATAGTTCTTGTACCAGAAGGTCAGGCGCACCAGGTAACGGCCGGCCTGCAGTGCATGCCGAGGGAGGACAAAGGGGAGGGAGGGAAGACGGACGACAGGATGAACAAGAAAGCGGGAAAGGATGTGTGGTGCGAATGGGATCAAGTCAGGGACAGACAGCTTCGTTGTCAGCCTTACGTCCCCCCTCTCCTGTACCCCATGCGTACATGCATATCTGTAACCTATCGCCGTGTACACCTCACCTCCTCACCAGCAGCAGTGAGTGGCACGTGGTAGCAGTTGACGTCCCTGTCGTCATAGAACGCCCTCAGAGACAACTCCGTGATCAGCCTCTCGTTTCCCCCCTCTCCTGTACACGATGCGTACATGCATATCCCATGTATACACCTCGTCATCACCAGCAGCAGCACTCACCAGCAGCAGTGAGTGTCACGTGGTAGCAGTTGACGTCCCTGTCGTTGTTGAACGCCCTCAGAGACAGCTCCGTTGTCAGCATCACACTTCCCGCGTCTGGAGAGATCCCCGTGATGACAGCAGGCGTGCCGGGGACGGTGGGGGGGTCGGGCTGCCAGGTGAAGCCGAGAGGAGAGGGGTAGGGCCGCCCCTGGTACCCACAGTCAATGCTTATAAAGCCTGGACGGGGAAACGGCAGGGGGGGGACGGGGGAGGGCGGAAGGGAGTGGGATCGGGTTTCCAGGTGAAGCCGAGAGGAGAGGAGTAGGGCCGCCCCTGGTACCCGCAGTTGATACTTATGAAGCCTGGGGGACACAAGATGGGGAAGGAAGGGGGGAGGGCAAGGGGGAAGGCAGCTGGAAGGGCAGGGGGAAGGACGGGGGAGGGCGGAAAGGAGGGGCGAAGGGGTTCCTTCCAGACGTTTTGCAAATCACCTGCGTTGCACCCACCCCCCCGTGGATCGCAATTTTTACGCAGCGTTGAGCTTCGAACGTGAACTCGAACGGTCCATCTGACTTGACTAAGATGTTTAAGTCACCTAATTTGCATTCACCTGCTCTGTAGGAGACGTTTGATCCAGCGTTAACGTTTGAATTCTCGACCAAAACCGGCCATTTCAAGACCCGAAGCAAAACTGGCCGCTTTGCCAGCTTCGGTTAGCACCCACCTGCTGTGGAGGAGACATTTGATGCAGCGTTAACGTCCCAGCCCTCGATCAAGACCGGCCATGTCAAGGCCCGAAGAAAAAAATCTGCCACGCTTTGCCAGCTTCGGTTAGCACCCACCTGCTGTGGAGGAGACATTTGATGCAGCGCCGGCGTTCTGACCTAATTTCGGATGGACCTTTTCAGCTGACTCAAAAGTCACATGCATTGAGCCCACCTGCTGTGGAGGAAATATTCGTTGCAGCGTTGGGATTTTGACCCTGAACCCGGACTGCTCCGAAGGAGGGTAGTGTTACTAGTAGAAGCAGCAGTAGCAACATGCTGACGTGTAACGCGGACGGAACTAGGTCGCGAAGCTGTCTCCGTCTCCCTCCCCAGCTTCCGCTACTCCTAGTGGTGACGCGAGTTGCAACGAGACTTGTAACGCGATATGTAACGCGTTCGCGTTCTGACGCTAATCGACATGTCTTGCGGAACTCATACGCTCTTGAAACGTTGAAATGGGCGCCTCCAGCTCCAGGCTGCTTTGATTCCATCCGCTCAAGTCGGCAAGTTCTACTGCAGACTTCAGCGCCTTTGATTCCAGCGCCTCCAGCTCCAGGCGCTATGTACAGTAGTGGCGAGGATTTTTCTGCAGACGCCTAGGTTAGCATAGTAGTGAAACATCTACCAAGAAAGCAACGCCGTCATGGCGACCAAACGAGAGCAATAATTAAGTGCCGTTAGATGAACGCTACAGAGCCAGCTGTTAGAGCCTGCTGCTACAGCCGGCTGCTACAGAGCTCAGCTGCTACAGCCTGCTCACTTGGCGAGCCGCCTCAGGAGCAGTCAAAACCAGGAATCTGTATTCGTCCGTTAAGAGACACGGAGTGACACCTGTATTCCGACTTCAGGAAAACCTAAATTTAAGTCATCCGGAGCACCCTAAGGATAAGCTCGTGTAGGGACGTAGTAGGGACGGAGGACGCGGTGAGTGAGGGCTGTATCGACCAATGAAGAGCGTCCCACAATAAGTTACAATTTACAAATGATGATGCTAGCGTCAAGAGGTTGTCTTGATTTCTGTTCCAGGCGTGCTGCTGCAATTCACACAGGTATGATCACCGGAGATCTCGCTGCCATGTGCCTTCACTGCGCTCTAGTGTTGGATGAGTCAACTATCAAGAGAACGAAAGCTGGGATTGAGAAGAAACACCAGAAGAAAAACGTCACTCTGGCGCAGTCGGAACCGAGGTACTCTCCGATGTTTCCACACCCCCTATCTTCACGCCCTGGGGTACCTACCCTCGTAAAAATCTGATTTCAAAGGTAGTTAGAAACGAACGCGGGGGTTCGAAGGTAATAAGACACGACCTCAATGCGAGTTTAACACTCTAACATTATGGCACTGGGAATTTTCCCCGCTCACCCTGATTACAAATTAGAGTTTCGAATGGCCAGAACCTGACGGCTCTTTACTGATAGACCCGTAGTGTCAGGGTGTCCGTCTCATCGATCCTCAAGCCGTATAGGGTGTCTGGCAAAAACGAGGGTAGGGGGTGTGGAAATACCGGAGTACAGGTGTATATGATTATGTCAACACGAGACGCCGCTCTGCAACCTTACAAAACCGCACTGTTCGTCCAGATTAAAAATTTCCGCATTTGCGCTTTTCCAGTCAGCGGAGTTCAGCCCTGTCCGCGTTGGAAGCTCTTGATGGTGCGCGCAATGATGGGCGGGACGGAAGTCCCATTGGAACGGCGTAACAAACGGAACCACCACCATCGTTGGAGGGGGCGAGATCTTTAGCGAAGTGTGGGAGGACGGCGAGGTAGGCGGTAACTTGCCCTAGCGTTTCGTGAGAGAACTCGTCCAAAGAGAGCATCCAACAAGACACTGAATTGTGTGTCGGTGGAGGTTTGGCGAAATGGCCGGCGGATGCAACAATGCTAGCGAAACTCAGCTGGTTCAACCCCTCTGTGCCGTTGGCGGGATGTGTTGGCAGTTTCCCTCACGCGACTCGTCAACACCGCATTTTCGGTGCTACCTTCCTAGGTGGTGCTCCGACTGGGCCCCGACACTGACTGCGTCGACTCAACCACACGGACATCCTTTACGTAAGAAAGATTACGTTCCAATGTACTTAGATTGGTGGGTTGATTTTCGATTTAATTAGCACAACTTAAATGGACTCTCATTATATACACAGGCTAAATCAGACTGCCATAACGATGTGTCCACACAAATACAAAAGAAGGCAAACTTAGGCATGCTTTTCAAGCACGCCCTAGCAAAAAAACAGCAGAACAAAGGAAGGGGTGAAAGGCATGACGACACAAGAGATAAAGTGGTTAGCAAGTCATTACTGTTGTGTTTGCCTCTCGGCCGACCCAAGAAGATCCGCTGTAACAAGCCTGGATCCAGAAATGCCAAACAGGATTGCCTGACCACCACCATCCACACTTGGACCAGGAACAGGAGCACCATTAGGAGCAGGGCCTTGACCCTCAGGCGCAGCAGCAGGTGCAGCGGCAGCAACATGACCAAGGGTGAGCTGGGCAGGAGAGTCGTGCTGATACACCACCACTTCCCTCTCTCTTTCCATCGCCTGAAACAAACACACGGCGCGAATTACATAACAAAGTGAAACTAAAAAGAGGGACACGAAACACAGATCCAACAAACGACTCAGAAAGCAACCGGGACAAGGAAAGAGGCAACACGTGCATACCTGAGGAGGAGCAGGCACTGAAGGCCCAGCGATCGCAGGAGCTTCACCTCCTGTACCATCAGCGATGGCGCCTGCAGGGCCGTCGTCGGCAGCAGTGAGGGAGGGGTTGGCGGGGCGGTGGCCCTTGAAGAGGGCGAGGTGGCCGAGCAGCTTGTCCTTGCGGCTGAAGGACGTGCCGCAGGAGCACAGCCAGCGGTCGCGCCCGCAGTGCTTCTCGTGGGTCTTGAGGTCCGCCACCACCGAGAACCGCTTTGCACCGCACTTGGAGCAGGCGAGCATCTTGGGGCAGTGGGTGCGGCGGTAGTGGTTCTTCACACACAGCATCGTCTTCAGCGGCAGAAAGCGTTGATGCTGGCTGTTGCGCTTGCAGCCCACAAATGGGCAGCTGAAACGTTTCGGGCGCTGGGCGACATTTGCGAGGTGCTTGTCAGGGCGGGCAAGGGCTTCAGGCGTCTTGTACTCATCGCCATGGCCTCTCATGTGCATGCGGAGGTTGGCGTCACGTTTGAATCCTGCAAGGTAACAAATGCGACGTCAGAAATTCAGCAACACATGTAACAGAGGACGCCCGAACAAGATAGATATGCACTAGACGAGCCATAACCCAAACAGGGCTTTCAATCAACCACACAACAGCCAAGGCATACCCTTGCCGCAGATTTCGCAAAAGTGGGTGTGCTCAGCCAGCAATTCTACAGGGTCCATCTCAATTATGTCGTACGAACCCTCTGCAAGGAACGAATAACAAAAAGCGGGGACAAAAAAAATCAGAAACATATATTTGAGCCCAGAATGGCAGGCGGAAAAATCAACTGCCGAGGGAGCGAACAAGAGTGCAGACGCAAACGCTGGCAATTCCTCCAACTAAGGCCTTCCTGCACGGAATCCTTCTTTACCTGGTAGCGTGTCGTCATCGTCGCCTTCAGGCGAGCCGCGCTGCTTGCATCCATTCTCCTCCCGCACGATCTCCTTGCTGCGCTTGCGCGGCAGATCCGAACCAGAAAAACCGCCATTGCCGGGGATAGCAGTGGCGCCGCCGGAAGCAACAATTGCCGTTCCGCCGTCGGAACTGAGCTTGCGCTTCTGCGTGAGAAGAATCGCCCCACCGAGAAGCCTATCCACCGCGCCTTGCTTCGGGAACTGGCGCGCCAGCGCTGGCGCCTGTGTCTGCGCCGTTTGCGCCTGAGGCGGCGCTGGCCTGGGTGGAACGGCCGCCTTCGCCTGCTGCGGCGCCGCCATGGTCGGCGCAAAGCCCGGCTGGCTCAGCTGAAGCTTCGCTGCCAGGTCGTCTGACTCTTCAGGAGCAGGCGGGACGAGCTTGATTACAGACTGCTGGCGTGGCGAATGTTGCTGCTGCTGGCGATGATGATCGTACGGCGGTGATTGCGTCGCGAGCGTCAGCTGCGCCGCCTGCTGCTGAAGTAGCGAGCCGGAGGCTCCAAGAGAGGATATTAACTGCTTCTGACGGTTGACGGGAGTCGACGTCTCCTGTTGCTGCTGAAGTTGTTGCTGCTGCTGCTGATGCTGGTACTGGTGCTGCTGCTGCTGTTGCGGGACGGCATTCTGAGGCAACACCAGGAGCTGCGACGCGGGATTCACGGCGGAGTTCACGGGGTTGAAACCCGTTGGAGTCCCGGCAGGAACGGAGGAAGCAGGAGCCATTCCATTTTGCGGGGCCGGCGCCGCGGCGGGGGGAGCCATTCCGACTTGCGCCGGAAGAACGGGGGGAGCCATCCCCATCTGCGGGAGAATGTTGGACGCGGCGAGCGCGAGCTGAGAGATGACAGAAGCGACACTCGCGGACGCCGCGGCTTGCTGCTGCTGGAGCTGCTGAGCTTGCGCCGTGTCGGACGGCTGCTGCTGCTGCGCCATCAGCGGAATGAGCGCTTGCAACGCGCCAATGTTCTGCAAAAAAAACGGAACATTTGATCCAAGATCTCGTTAGTAAGTACTCAGACATACAGAAATTTCGGGAACCAATAAGAGACACTCTTGAGACTTACTTGTTGCAACATGCTCAGTGCGTTCATCAGCGCTTGTGGAGAATTCGGTACTCCGCCAGTCGGTCCTGCGACGTAGCCACTCTGTAAACTGCTAGTAGCAACGGCTTGAGGCACAGCAGGATGTTGCTGCTGCTGCTGCTGCTGCATCTGCTGTTGATGTTGCTGAAGTTGCTGATGTTGATGCTGATACTGTTGTTGGTCCTGAAGAGGATGCTGTTGCTGATGCTGATTCTGATATTGCTCTTGGTGTTGCTGGTGCGGATGTTGTTGTTGCTGCTGAGGCTGCTGGTGTGGATGCATTCTCCATCCGGATGTTCCGCCGGTAGGTTGGGGTTGGCCAGGAGACGGATTGCACGCAGCAGCAGGAGCCATATGTTGCTGATAACTCCCTAGAGTTAACTGCGAGGCTCCGTGGTCCATGTTACTTAAGCCTGATAATGAAACGTTCCTGGCACACGCAGTAGTCCTCCTAACAGTCTGCCAACACTAGATAAGAAAGCTGGAAATGAGCAACTGTTGCTAATCCGAGGCTTGATAATGGGTGTGAGTGAGGAGTGAGATGAGATGAGAAGCAAGGCTGTGCCTGCCTCGATATTGGGTGGGTGGCACTTGGGGAAGCAAGGCACTGTCTGGAGAGAGCCACATTCCACGCCAACCTGAACGTTTCCGCCTAGGGTTTGCTGGGCTCCTCCGCAGGACTCCGCTCCGCTCCGCTGATGTCCTGAGTTCCGCTGATGGGGTGAAGGCCTCTGGTTTCCGCCGCTGTTGATTCTGGAGCTGGCTCTGCAACTGGCTTCGCTGCTGGGGTCCGCTGAACTCCCCGCCCCCAGATTCTAGGTTTCTGTTGCAGGCCTCTGCGACGGGGTTCTCCGCTACTGGGCGGAGGGAGTGCGGAGGGGGGTTTGGTCGGAAAAGGCGGGAAGAGGGGAGCTCGTTTCTGGACTGGGATTTCCTGCCGTGCGCTTATCACCCAGTGCGCACCCACTCGAGCAGCAGTAGACTTGAGGGTCCCCCAAACCGATTTCCGAAGCTCCACCTGCGGCAGGTAAGCGCGGAGCCGGAGCTGCGGTACGGAGCCATGAATGTTGCCCCAAGAAAGGCTATATTCATTAGGGCAAAACCATAGCTAGGTTCGGGGGGAATCTAAGGTGGGGCATGTCGAAAGTGTACACCTAGCCACCGCTATTTTCAACTTCTGACCTTGGCACTGTTCCCGATTTTCATGTAATCCCTGCCCAGCTTTTGGGGTTTTCTGTTAGAAACCTCGTTATAGGGGACTATGAATGACATCAAATGGAGATTTCAATCGGGCGAGTGTAAGACAATTTCGGCTCGTGTGGAGTCTGCTTGTTGTTGCGCATCCCATTGCGTAGCTTTCAGGAGTCAGGAACTAACTCTGCGTAGAGCGTATGACGTCCGACACAACCCTCGGTCAAAAACGTTTTGAAGGGTGCCTACCCCTTTGCACACGTGGGGGTTGAAGATAGACCGAAAGAAAATAGCGGTGGTTAGGTGTACTGGGCTGATTGGTTGTCGAAGGCTCGGTCATGCTCGTTCCCGCAAATTCACAAACAAAGGGTTTTTGGTTTCGGAATCTTCAGGTGCTCGCGCGGCAAGCACCAAAACTTGGGCAGGAAAGTAATCCGCAACAGAACTTTGTCCGCCAGTTATCGCAGTCGATGATTTTATCCTCTCGCGCTCGATTGGTTGAGACGGACCAGGTGTTACCCTCGCCGCATTGCAGGGTCACGACTCACGGACTTATCACCTCGTGGTTTACACGAAGAGCCATCGGTTAGGGGGGGTTCGGCTTGGGGGCAGCACCCCGCTACCCTGTGCACCAGAACCCAGCCGAACCGACCAGGTGAATTCCACCAGAAGTACCCAATCACCGGCCGTTCGCCTCCAGCCAGACATCACAACAGGCCAGAACCAGACACTGCCTCTCTTGGCTAGCCTTCAAGTCCTTTTCAAAGCTAGCTGAGACATGAACGGTGGATTCGATAGCGGCATGTGGAAGTTTGCTTGCTGCAGCATTCCTGGTATGTTTGTTGGAAAGCTCTCATTTGCTAAACCCGAAGCACGTGCAAGACTCTACGTTACACCAGGTCTCACAACAGTTTTTAGGCCTTCACTGACAGTTTCAGATAGGTATATGAAGGAGATGGCGAGGCCCACATAGACCAATGAGTAGACAGAGACTGGCCGAATCTATTTGCAAGATGCACACAACACAACCAGCAGTGTGAGTTGAAAGAAACAGACTGTTCTGAAAGTATATCAAGCATTACCCTGAGCCCTTTCATATCCGCTCCTCACTCTTCCGTACATCTATCACTTGCCCAATGCACAGATGTACACTGGGTGGATGTCGGTACAGCACCACCTCCCTCTCTTCTGTATCGCCTTCACACTGAACCGGAGTAGCGCAGTTCAGGTTCAAATTTGAAGAAAGGCAATCGTTTCCTGACCAACGATTGCTACCACCCCCACTTCCACTGCGCTTCCCAGCATCCACGTTTGTGCTTTGAGAGCTTAAAGCAGGGCCAACCTCTCCTGCACCCCCATCAATCCCTTTCTCAACAAGCTGCTTTCCTTTGCTGGAAAAAGATACCACGGAAGATGGGAAAGAGGGCGGGGGAGGAGCAGCGTCAGCATGAGTCGGGGAGAATGTGTCCGTGCCTTCCATAAGCGCTGCTTCAGCTGCTCCTGCAGCAGTAGCATCAGCCAAAGTGGCAGTTGCAGCAACTCCTGCTGCTCCTTGGACAGTGGCGGGGCGGTGGCCCTTGAAGAGGGCGAGGTGGCCGAGCAGCTTGTCCTTGCGGCTGAAGGACGTGCCGCAGGAGCACAGCCAGCGGTCGCGCCCGCAGTGCTTCTCGTGGGTCTTGAGGTCCGCCACCACCGAGAACCGCTTTGCACCGCACTTGGAGCAGGCGAGCATCTTGGGGCAGTGGGTGCGGCGGTAGTGGTTCTTCACACACAGCATCGTCTTCAGCGGCACGAACGCCCGGTGCTGCTGGTTGCGCTTGCACCCGACAAACGGGCAGCTGAACCTTTTGAGGGGCTGCCCGGCAGCTTGTGGAGACTGCTTGCCTGGCCTTGCAAGCGCCTCGGGAGTTTTGTACGCGTCACCATGGCCCCTCATGTGCATGCGCAGATTGGCGTCACGCTTGAATCCTGCACGATTGAACGGTTACAAACCGGGTTACGGGGAGGTGTGAGTAACATATCACGCTAAGCCGAAAGAATCGCTAAAAAAAAAAAAACTCACCAGAAACCAGGGGTGGAATTTCCAGCAGAAACTCTGAAGAAAATACAGATCATGCGAGGCTCGTATGAGACGCGAAGTGAAACGGAAAGAGACGTAAAGTGTGCAAACTCACCTTTGCCACAAATTTCGCAGAAGTGCGTTTGCTTCGCAAGGAGCTCCGCAGGATCCATTGCGTGAGCTCCGCAGGATCCATTGTCCTATCCATTGGATAGGACACACGTGTTAAGGGCACAGTACGTGTAGAGTTGAGACATAGGAATGTACCTTTGCCGCAGATCTCGCAGAAGTGCGTGTGCTCCGCCAGCAGCTCCACAGGGTCCATCTCGATAATGTCGAACGTTCCCTCCGGAAGCGGCGAATCCTCGTCGTTCTCCTCGTCCAAACCCGCATCCGCCATAAACGCACACCCGTTAAGAGCACCAGGAACCTTGGAAGTCGGCGCGGGAGTTACTTTCTTCGCCGCGACAAGAAGTCCGTCTTCTCCGTCAGCGGCGTCACATGCAACTTCCTCGACCTTTCGCTTCTGAGGGAGAAGAGGTTTTCCAAAGAGCTTAGGTTCGGGAGCGGCAGCAGCGCATTGCTCAATCAATGCCGCTGGTCGCCATGGCTCGTTCACCACCTGCGCTGCTGGTGACTGCTGTTGCTGCTGCGGCGGCTGCTGTTGTTCTGGTTGCTGCGGCTGCTGCTGCGGCTGCTGCAGTTGCTGCTGCACCATGGGTCGTTGATTTGTACCGTCATAAGCAGAAACCGAGAAAGGATTAGAGGGCCCCGCGTTGTCAGGCGCCAGAAGCGGGGAGGGCGCGAAACCGCCGCATCGCGCAAAGGCCGGGTTGATGGGAAGGGAGAGTCCGGCTTGCGGGAGAATGTTGGCAGCGGCGACGGCGAGTTGTGAAATCACTGAGGCGACGCCGACGGATGCTGCAGCCTGCTGCTGCTGGAGTTGATCCGGCGTGGTGGAGATCGGTGGCTGCTGCGACATCAGCGGAATCAGCGACCGCAGCGCGCCGATATTCTGTAACCACGTTACGGAAAATAAGATATGAGTGAACTGGTCATTAGAAAGAACCTCGCAGGTCGACAAGTACAAAAAGTCACAGTGAAATGCAATTCCAGTAGTGTCGACATGTGATTAGTTCTAGTGGGAGATAAGAACAGACGGACCTGCTGTAGAAGATTCAGAGCATCCATAAGAGCCTGCGACGACCCAGGCCCTGCAGCATGCGGTGCGGGTAACATCGGCGCAGCGGAAGGGACGGCAGACAAGGGCGCAGCGGCAGGCGCGGGGAACAGCGGTGCAGCGGAAGGCGCAGCGGACAACGGCGCAGAGAAAGGCGCGGAGGACGATGGGGGAGCTGCAGGCGCGGTTGAGGGAGGCTGTGTGGAGGGAGGTGAAGCTGCCTGAGTCTGCTGCTGCTGGGTTGTCGGCCACAATGAGTCGTTTCCAGCCGGAGGCGGTGATTGCAAAGGAATCGGTAACGGTTGGAAATGAAACGGCGTCGCCATTGTCTGGCTAAGATAGTGACGCCTGAAAGCAATTAGGATGCTGCAAGACTATGAGCGATGACTACAGCAAGAGCCCTCTGAGCCTGGTGCTTTCAATCAGGTAAGGAGGAGCATCAAATCAACGAGCCTTTTTCTTTGTCTGGAGAGAAACACTAGTTAAAACTTGGAGCAAAAAACCGAACGTGTCTACCCAGGGCTGCCACACAAGCCCGGCCGAGTCCTAGCAGGTGACCCTGACAAACTCAAAGAACCTCCCTCTAACCAGCCTGAGTGACAGTAACTTCTTGACCAGAATGAATGACTGCGGCTGCGGCTGAAGCTGTGGTGTGTTTTGTGCAAGGCTGAGACCATGGAAGGCTGTACCTTCGCCAACCTAAGTGGTGGAACCGTGGAAGGCTGTACACGTAAAACCGTGGGGGAAGGTTGACCTTGCTTGCTGTTCGGCGGGGGAAGGTTGGCGGAAGAGAGGAGGAGGCGAACCTTGTCGTCACTGACTGATGATGGGATGGGATGCGATGGGATAGAATGAGATGGGGTAGGATCTGATATGATGGAATGCGATAAGAAGAGATGATATGAGATGGGATGGGGCGATGCGATGATGGGATGATTGGATCGGGGAAAAGAGTCCCCTGATGGCCCGATAAAACCAAACCCTAGGTCCCCTACAACCTTGTGCTTCTGCTTTTTCTGCTCCTGCTTCTGCTGCTGCTGCTGCTGCTGCGGTGCTGTTGCTTCAATGGCACTGTTTTCGTCCCTGATGGTGGTGTGGTTCGTGCTGATGTTGGGGGGATGTGTGGCGGAAACGAACGAACGAATCAGTGCAGCGACGAGTTTCGCGACATCCTCGATCTGCTTTACTGCATGTAAACGATTCGCATGTGGCTTCGCCGCCAGGCCTTCGCATCTCGTGTCGTCGTGTCCCCCCAAACAAACCCTACGGTTTGAAACAGGATTTGGTTTGGGGCAGGTTGTTCCCGCCCCTCGAGAAATTTGCGCTAGCGTCGGTTTGACGGCAGAGCCTACGTAGGGGCAGAATGTCCGACCGACAAGATGCGCCATGAAGATAGAATCTGCGATCATGCGCGTGCTGGACGGATCCAAACCAGGGCCTAAGTTATCAGGGCAATTACCCTGTTTTGACTGAAATTTTAGGATGTTTTTCAAGGAGCCCTGATTTTCACAAGGTTTTTTTCGGACCAGCCCGTAAAACTGAAGGGTGATTATTGAGTCAGCTCGGATCTCTCCGGGGAGTTCTCAAGGGGACCCGTATAATTTTAGCAGACATGTTCTCCCCGACCTGCCTTGCATTCCTCTCCGTCTCCCTCTAAACACACGTGGGCCATTTTAGTGAATTTCCTAACCACTCTCTCCTTGTTGGCCTCCAAGTGTCTGATTGCCCTGTTCTACGTCGACATGGCTTAGAAGGCCAATAAGGAGAGAGTGTCTGATTGCCCTGTTCTCCCTATGTACTCTTCCTCATCGTATTTTTTTCGAAGTCTACAATAAGTATCTCGCTCACCCCTCCAGAGCCACTCCATCTCCAATCTCCCCAGCCCTCGTGCAACCCACTGTGAGTTTCCCGCGAAATTCTGGTAATGCATGTTTTCAGGCCTTTTCTGGCTCGAACCCGGATTCGTCAAGGTTTTTTTTCCGCTGGCTCGGATTTTACAGGGTCTTTTTCACAGGGGCCCGGATCGTCCGAGCTAGCAAAAATCCTAGCAATAGCCCTGATCCAAACCACGAGCAGCAATATTTGGATGCTGGTGCTGGAACGGATGGAGGCATCATGCACTCGACTGCTTCGGATCCGTGGCAAGTAAGTGGGTGGCTGTGAATGGAAGTTCCGATTTGATGGTTACTGTTACGTCTATACACTAGTAAGCTCTAATTACAATGCCATTAAAGACAGGTAGTTACATTAGATATGACACCAGCACAAATACATGATTTTTAAGTTGATTTTCTTTTACTCCTAGAACCCCATTCGCTTTCACACATCACCCCCGCCACCAGTCCCCACTCTACTCCTAGAATAAGCTTTGACTCATCGGCTCTCGCCGCTCCTCGCCTCCCATAGGCCCACATTGGGCTCGAGAGAGTTGAGAGCGCAGGGGGTTGGAACCATGTTCTCAGCTCCTAATTCCTGTCCCTGCGTGTCCTAACTCTTCACAATTGTCTCTCGTCGTTCCTCGCCTCCCTCCCACAGCCCCCGCTTGGCCCCGAGAGAGAGCGAGCTTGGGAGAGGGCAGAGAGGTGAACCATCTCAGCTGGTAACCCCAGTCCCCACCTGTCTCCACCTGTCCCAACTCCTCACACTTGGCCCCCGATATGACTCATCGTCTCTCGTCGTCCCTCGCCTCCCACAACCCGAGCTTGGGTCCGAGAGAGAGGGCTCGGGGGAGGGCAGAGGGGTGAAAGTGACCGGCAAAGAGATGGCAGAGGTTGCCGAAGTGGCAGTGGCGCATGAGAGACACGAGTTCAGGCGTGAGCTGTGTGGGGGTAAGGGGGGACACGGGGAAAGGACAGGAGGAATGCAGGCGTCAGGTTGAGGGGTGGAAGTGAGCGGCAAAGAGATGGCAGAGGCACGAGAGAGACAAGATCCGGGGTGAGCTGGTGAGGAAGGGAAGGGAGGAAAGGGTGGGGGAAACAAGGGCCAGTGGGTAAGGGTTGGAAGGCAGAGGGGTGGAAGTGAGCGGCTAAGAGATGGCAGAGGTTGCCGAAGTGGCAGTGGTGCATGAGAGACACGAGTTCCGGGGTGAGCTGGGGGAAGGGGGAAAGGGGAAAGAGGAAATGAAGCATGGAATTCAGGGGTTGGTCAGAGGGGTGAAAGTGGGCGGCAAAGAGATGGCAGAGATTGCCGAAGTGGAGCATGAGAGACATGAGGTCCGGAGTGAGCTGGGGGGATGGTATGGCAGACAAGTGAAAGTGGCTGGGAAAGAGATGGCAGAGATTGGCAACGTGGCAGTGACACAAAGTTGGGCTGAATACAGTAGATAGAGGAAGAACAAGAGGGAGGATAAGCCAGCCAGTCACATCTCACCCCGGAATAGAGCGACAACATGAGGACAATATAAGCAAGAACATATCACCTCTGTGGCATTTGATTCAACTCAAAAGTCACCTCGGAATAGAGCGACAACATGAGGACAATATAAGCGAGAACATATCACCTCTGTGGCATTGTACACGTAGGGATGCCCCGAGTTGGGCTGCGTCCACCAATCCTCAAACACCAAACTCCAATTCGCCAGATCCTCCCCACTCCCCCGCAACCCCACGCCGCTTCCCCCCGCCGCCTCCCCCCACGCACTCCGCCTCCCCCTTCCCCCCATCCCTCCCCCTTCCCCTATCCCCGCCCAAAGCTCGTCCACAAAAGGGCCGAAATCCCCCACAGGGGGGAGGTCGACGAGGATGGGGACGATGGAGGGAAGGTAGTGCTCTGAGGGGAAGCAGGCCGGGAAGACCCCTCGCACCGGCACACAACAGGCCGCAAACTTGTCGTAAAACTTGGAGTCTGAAATCACCTGGTGGATGGTGAACGAGGGACGGCAGGGGAAAAGTGTGGGGTGGGAGAGGGAGGTTCGAGGCAAAACCAGAGAAGTAACTCGAAGAGTAAATTCCCATCCGCAAAAGGGCCGAAGTCCCCCACAGGGGGAAGGTCGACGAGGATGGGGATGATGGAGGGGAGGTAATGCTCTGAGGGGAAGCAGGCCGGGAATACCCCCCGCACCGGCACACAGCAGGCTGCAAACTTGTCATAGAACTTGGAGTCGGAAATTACCTAGAGGATGGCAAGGGGAAGAGGGAAGAGAGGAACAATAATTGGGGCTCATAAGCAGGCGGGGAAGACCCCTCGCATGGACACACAGCAGGCTGCAAACTTGTCGTAAAACTTGACGTCTAAAATTAGCTGAGTGTGGGGGAAAGGGTGGAGGGTGGGGGGTGAGGAAATGATTTGAGCGGAGGAAAGGGAATTGGGGCTTAGAAGCAGGTGGGGAACACCCCTCACACGAGCACACAGCAGGCTGCAAAGTTGTCCTAAAACTTGACGTCTGAAGTCACCCGGTGGATGGCAAGGGGAAGAGGGGAGAAGGGGTGTGGGTGGGGAGCGGAGGGGAAGAGGGAAGAGGGGCACAGGAAGTGGGTTTCAGAAGCAAGCCAGAATCCCCCACAGGGGAGAAGTGAAGGAGGATGGGGATGATGGAGGGGAGGTAGTGCTCCGAGGGGAAGCAGGCCGGGAATACCCCACGCACCGGCACACAGCAGGCTGCAAACTTGTCATAAAACTTGGAGTCAGATATTACCTAGAGGACAGAAAGGAGGGTAGGGGGAAAAAGGGAGAATGATTTGAGCGAGGGGGAAGTGGGGTTTAGAACCAGGGGAGGGAACCCCGTGCACGGGCACACAGCAGGCTGTGAACTTGTCGTAAAACTTGGAGTCAGATACTACCTGGTGGTGGGGGGAAGGGTAGGGGGAAAGGGGGGGATGATTTGAGGCAAGGAAGGGGAAGCGGGGCTCAGCAGCAGGGGGGAGGACACCGCGCACAGGCACACAGCAGGCTGCGAACTTGTCGTAAAACTTGGAGTCTGAGATTACCTGGGGTGCAGCGATGGGGAGGATGGGTGAGGGGGGGAAGGGGGGGGTTGGGGGGTGATGCAAGCAGGAGAGAGTGAAAGAGAGTTGGGCTTAGTAGCAGGACATTGGGCTTAGAAGCAGGACATTGGGCTTAGTAGCAGGACATTGGGCTTAGAAGCAGGACACTGGGAAAGGGAACACGGCATGCAGCACACTTGTACTCTCTTCGCACACTCATCACATTCTCCCTTCACTCCCATCACACACTCTTTACACTCTCATCACAGCCTCTCATCACACAGTCTCATCACACTCTCTCTTCACACACTCATCACACACCCGCACCACAAATCTGAGTACACACTCTCTTTGTACACTTTCTTCACACCGGCACGGCAAGACATCGTGTGAGACCAATCGAC